TCCAAAGTCATTAGCTAGCTGCACATCGGATGAATGTTCAGGAAGGATATGTTCAGACGCAGGTGCAGTAAGTTTCTTCACAAATCTAAAAAGCTGTTTAGTATCACACTGTTCTATGGTTGATGTTAAGTAGTGTGACTTAGATTGTATCAGAAGTTGGTTGTAAGAGCAGCACTGATCCCGATAAAGCTGACTATGTATTTCAAGACGAGACTTCCTCCATTTACGCTCAGCTTGACGACGATGCCGTTTCGCCTCTCGAACTTCATCATTAAACCAAGGGGCAGACGGTCGAAGAGAAACGGGGATTGTGCGCTCTGGTGCGTGTTTGTCCAAAAGTTCGCGCATTAAATTACAAAATTTGTCTGCGAGCAGTGATGGATCCTCAGAGCAATATTGTTGGAGGCTGGAACTCATAATGTCACTCCTGAAATCATCACGATTTATCTCACAAAGCTTTCGGCCCCTGATGAATTTCTTTCGAGCCTGGGGGCGCTGAAATTTTAGTGCTATTAAAATAGCTTTGTGATCTGATGGGAGTCCAGACTTCAAATCAACGTTAGTAACCAAGTTACTACTTTTATCAGATAAAACGATATCCAAGATATGACCAGCTTCATGTGTGGGAGATGTGACATGCTGTTCCAAGCCAGCATCTTCAAGCATGTCAAGGAAGACCTTGGATTCTCTGTTGTGGACATCATCAACATGGATATTAAAGTCACCTACCAGGATAGTACTGCATTCAGATGATGAAGTAGACTCAATTAGGGTAGAAAACTCTTGCATGAATGTATCAAACTTCAGGCCATTCTTTTGAGATGGAGGAGGTCGATAGACTGCACACAGTGCAAAAATATCCCTGGGTGTTACTCGCACAGACAAGTACATAAGTTCAAAAGATGAGAAGCTTGAATGATCCACATTCTGTATGGTTATGCATGATCTATGTATGATGCAAATTCCTCCACCACGAGATGAACGATTGTGGTGAACTACCGAATAATTGGGAAGAGTCATGTTTAAATCGGCAATAATGTGATGATCACGAGCGTCTCCTCGTAACCATGATTCTGTCACGATCATAATATCAATGCCGTTACCCAAAATAAAATCACATATAGGGGTAGTTTTATTGTTCATGGAACGGGCATTCCAATGGCTGACGCATATGGGAGTAGATTTTCCACCTGCCTTCACTGGACGTGCGATCCTTAATCGTTTTAATCTTGGAACACTGATCAGGTTACTCTGATGATGAGTTCCCTGTTTCAGAGCATTGTTCAAAGAAGGTCGGTTACATGTTGTAATACGTACTGGGATAGGTCTCTGCTTTCTCCTTCCCGCCCTTTTCCCTCTGTGGCTCTTCCATTTTCTCCTCTCATTTCTTCTCTCAATACCAAGACAGCAAATGTTCTCTCTTACCTCTCTCTGGAGTTCGGTTCTCTGTTGTCCAGGTACATGAAGCTGTATAAGTTCATACCTGCTGTATTTTCGCGGGTTGTTTGGAGGTAAGGTAGTTGATGTATGGTTCTGCTTTTCCAAGGTCGAGTCATTGCTGATAGGCCCAGGGTTCGGGTTCACGTCCCCCGCTATCAACAGTTGAAGCTGAAGAGTTGATGAAGTATTTGCATAGTATGCAAGACGACTTCCCAGAAATTTCAGGGGCTTTAGTTTTAGCTTGTACTGTACACCACTTAACAAGCCACTGTTGAAAGTACAGTGCCCAGTGAATGCACTTCTTCCCAGGGTAGATACAAAGAGTACAAAAGTGATCAGCTTGACCAGCTCCATTGTAGATCCAAGTGACCATTCATGAAGACAATAGCGAGGCTGCTTGAGTGAACTTCACTGCATACATTTCATATCACCAAAATCGTCTGCTTTTCAACTTTGCTGCTCCCCTTTGGGGATGTGTTTATTTAAGACACACTCTTACAGAGCACACCATCCAAACAAAACCAAAGAGAGGGAAACTGCTCCTTTGTCAATGACCGAAAATTCTTGCGCAGTCGTTATTGTTAAAAACAGCTGAATGGTCTTATTAAGATGCACATACTCAGAAGGCGGTTACTATCATTGGATCAAAGAAAGAATCACGTTGAATGTCCATCCGTAATAGGTCCATGCTTCTATGAAGTACTCAATATGCATCACTGTGACAACCTCAATTCAATTAGTTATCTAGTAGTATTTATCTTAAGCTTCTCATTCTCTGTACATAGACAGATGCTGTGTATAGTTTATAACGTATTTCAGTGTGGTTCACGTTTTTTTAAAGAATACAATTTAACTTTTTTATAATGAGAATTAAAATAAAAACATTTATGATGATAGTAAAATGTTGCATGGCCAGTCCCTGTTCAGTGTTTTTATTGTTTCGTATTTTTTAAAAGCTTTAACGGCCTGAGTTTACAATGAACTGACAGTGTTACATTTAGAGTTGTTTGGAGCCAGAATGGCATTGATGCTGTATAACAATGATAGGAGTCAATGCCCTTTTGGCTCCAAGCAGACAGAAATGTGATGTATGTTAGATTTGTCATTTTTTATTTACCTTTAGACTTTCTCATTCTGAATGGAAATAATCTCCACCTTCAATATGATATCATGGAATCAACTGAGATACAAAATGAAGCATTTATAAACATGCCCAGCACTGAGCACTGAGAAGGACGTAGTAAAGCTTACAGCTTGAAGTGTATGTCGCCCTCAATTTACATGTTTAAAAACAGAATGGAGTGACTGAGACTGAGAGAGGGAAGTAACATGCCTATTACATGCAGTGTTGCGGACAATGCCTCCTCGACTCTTTTACACCTGCAGTGATACTATTATTAGGAAAAATGACTGCTTTGAGGGGCACAGTTAAAATTAAAGAAAGAGAGAACCGTGGAACAGACTACTACAGAGAAAGAGAGAGAGAGAGAGAGTGAGAGAGAGAGAGAGTGGGGGAGAGAGAGAGAGAAAGAGGGGGAAGAGAGAGAGAGAGGAGGAGAAAGAGAGAGAATTGTGGTACTGAGGGAGAGAGAGTGAGAGGAAGAGAAATATACAGAGACGAAGAAAGTATAGCACATTTTTGTAAGAGGGATAACGGTGGTTTAGAGCGGGAGAGAGAGAGAGAGAGAGGGGAGAGAGAGAGAGAGAGCGAGAGGGAGAAAGAGAGAGAAGGGAGGAGATTAAAGGAAAAGAAAGAGAGATAGAGAGACGAAAAAAGAGGAAGAGAGTATGGAATAGAGAACTGTGGTGCAGAGAGAGAGAGAGAGAGAGAGGGGGGGGAGGGGGATCGACGCCGATCAAACATAAAGATAAAGAGTGTGCATCCATGGACCCACTACGAAGTAACAATGAAAGCGCTTAAACATTTTGTTTCACTTCTCCCCAGAACTCAACCCCCACATTAAATAATACAAAATATTTTTACCAGACTTGCGTGTCCAAGAGCTGGTGCCTAGAACCCGACTTTTTGCAACAACAGAAACGTCAACTCGTAAAATATTATATAATCGTTTAAACAAACAATCATTTTTGGATAGCTGGACTGCAGTGGGTCCCAGTATAATTGTATGAAAACCAATATCCATGGCCACAAAATCTGAAGCAGAGGGTGAGGAATTTATTACATTTCTTGATTGTCTAATTTCAGTAAATTCAGGCACCCCAAAAAGAAAATGCAACAGCAGGAACGTGCCTATATACATATACTAATATTAAGTAAAGACATTACGTGATCCAATGAAAAAAGCATGATAGATCTCATTTTATAACAATACAACACAAATTATAAGAAATACAACAAAAGTAATGATAACAAAGAAAGTCTGAAATGGGGAACTAATCCAGCTAATAATGGAAGTTACAAACTGATTCAGCCGAGGACGCAGGTTCGTCTTTCGGATGGTGATGTTCAAAGTCAGTCCCCAGACGTAAATCATATCTGATTGATGCACGTCTGTAAAAACTTAATACTTTTTTTTTTTTTTGTTAACAAAAAAAAAAATACACAAACACACACACATACACACACACACACACACACACGCACACGCGCACACACACACACACACACACGCACACTCACACACACTCACATCTAAGTATGTACAATTCTATGCGCAGCCGGATATCTGACGCACCCTGAGATTCTCGCCTGTGACACAGTTTGACCCTATTAGCTATATAATACTGGAGCACCACCTTCACTTTTCAAATTGTACCTGTCCTTGTTAGGGTGTTTACCCTCTGATAGTAAAAGAGTAAAAAACAAAGCCAAGTCATAAAAATAAAGCCATTTCATAAACACATTAAAAATACAAGATATCCACATGTTTCAAACAAGCATTTTTATGTATAAATATTTTCATAATCAACTACCATCCCAATTTCACAATATTTACAGTTTAAACTCAAACATTCGCAAATATCCCACCCGTTGTTCAACTAAATATCACTTAGAAAATCCTAAAATATTTTTAGCCCAAAAGTCAGTAGGACATCATGGACCAGATGTTTGGAACTCCTTACCAAATTCTCTATTCTTTTAAAGCATCTTTTAACAAACCCTTATATCGAAGTATCTACATGACTGATTTCAACATGTAGGCATATGTCATTGATAATCTCAAGTTTTGGTCACATTGCAACTCAGTTTTGAAAATTGTGTATTTGGGTATTTCGTATTCTTGGTTTCCTTTATTGAAAAGGCTATTATAGCTCAGGGGGTACTCCACTATACCACACAGAGCTACGTGCACTTCCACTATTCGTTACACACCCATACAAACACGCACGCTTGCGCGCACGCGTACACACACACGCACGCGCACACAAACACACTCGCACACAGAACCCACACATTTATAGGCTTATTACAGCAGATCTAAATATAACCACCGCTAAAAAAAAAGTTTTAAAACGTTTTGAAAAGGAGTCGACGGCATGTAACCAATGGAATTATCATGTGCTTTTCGTTACAAGCTTAGCTTAATATCAAGAAAAAATATTTTCGATCTAAACTTGTACTCCAGTTCCAGTAAGCTTCCGCCTTGATATCCGGTATCGTTGTGGTATTTTCACCTTTGAATGAGGCAAAGATCAGACACAATCTATCGGAGCACGCTTCCGGTTATTTATACTGGCTGTTTGGATATATGAGGTTGTTTGAATCGCACGTGTGTGATTAGGACGTCGTTATATGCTTTAAAAGATTTCAGTGACCCCAATAGACGGATTTCCAACACAAGGAAATAAGAACACTCATGAATTTAAATTGTGAAACAAGGAGGAAACTTTGTGCTCTCGAGTCTTGGCAAGGCTATTGTCGCTGATTGAAGTAGTTTGCAGATACTTTTCCCAATGTCTAGGACCACTATCTAAGGTTTAGACCTGACTTTTGTTGTCTGAACTTGGAGAGAGATACGACACAATCACAAATGGTGCAAAATTAAGCTCGGCCGAAACGTTCTTCTTCTTGGATGATTTCATTTTTTGGGGTGGTTTATCTTTGATTGATATATAAATACAAGACTAAATTTTGTGTGCAAGGGAAGACTACTCCTGAATATGACCTGGACAATTTCTTGTTGCCTCGTTGATGTTTTCTAGATTGATAATTTCAACCAGTCCAGACTGTAAATATGTGGATAAGGTTCGCTCAACTGTTCGTCTTCAAGGTTTACAAGGTCCTGATCTTCACTAGACCAGCTAGATTAATGGAAGCACGATGCTGACCTAATATTGCTACATTTGCGAATCATTATCTGAGTTTTTGTATATATATAGAAAGAGAGAGGCCTTTATCATAGTCCTTATTTGGGAATCCCCAATTAGCCAAACGTGGAACCGTAAGCTTCACCTGAAACACTGTAAAGTGCCAATCAAAATGAATAACGACAAAACTTGTACCTTACCCTAGCGGACCAAACAGTTGTAAAGAGACTGGTTTTGAAGAGCTACATGTAGAACGTTGCGCTTGGATTTTTCAAGAGATTCATTTTGGAGCCTGGTTGAAGTATTGAACACACTCCATTACGGAGAATGATTAAGGATTTGGAATGGTGTATAGAGCACAGGGCTCCACTAATCACTGACAAACATATTTTACCTGTTTACTAGTGTGTTCACCTAAGTATTATGGCGTCTCTACTAAGTTGGATCAAGTCTTTTTCTGGACTTATGCTTGTATTGTTCTACATAGCTGCTACAAGTGATGGTAAGTAAATAATTACACATTATCACCTTACAATGTACCTTGTGAATAACCTAACTCATTTAAAAAAGTATTCTTGATTAAGAACAATTTAATAAGCTATGCTGTAAAATAAAAAAGTCAACAAACAAAATACAAAAATACATAACAAATTCCTCTTTTTCAAGTCAATATAAGTCCATACATTTTATGTTATATATATATATATATATATATATATATATATATATTTATCGGGATTTATGTTGCATAATGTTACTTTGTACTAGATGTGACAAAGAGAAGTAAATAATAAGCTTGGACCCTTTTGAGTGTAGGTTTGCATATAGTATAACATATAAGAATGTTAAAGTTCAAGAGTGATATTTTTTTGAAAACAAATATATTAATTTTTGTTTACATTATAGCTTTTTGAAAACTCGAAGTCATAACATCCGTGTCAGTACACGACAGTGCTGTTGTAAAATGTTTAAATCTCCTCTTATAACACAGGGGTAACGTAGACGAAGGTCACTTTTCTCATTAGATCTTTTTCGCAATGCATTCAAATCAGGCCTGATTCAAATAAATCTTTGTGTTTTGCCTCGGTACATATTTCATTCACCTGAATATTGTATGTCACTATGCACAATTGCATACATTACGTGTTCTTAGGTAGCGGGTATAGTTTCATTCTCGTTCAAACGTGGAGAAGCACATATCCTACATGCAAATCTGCCTTCTATATGTTTAATATATATTTTCCGTCACATTTGTAGATATTTAGACGGGAAAGCCACTGAAAACCTTGTCCGTGCATTTATTAAACGTAGGCTTGACTATTGTAATGGATTATTGTTTGGCTTGCCAGATTCACAAATAATCAAGTTACAGCGCGTTCAGTATTCATGTGCAAGACTTGTGTCTTATTCCTCAAAATTTTACATATTACACCTGTTATTAGTAAAAGCCCCTCTAAAGTGTTGGAGCCCCAAATTTGCCAAAAATTTGATGGCAAACGAGATGGCCTTGCCTTTAGTGCTCACACTACCCCCCACCTCCCCGGGCAATTTTCATATTCCCGTCGCAAAAACGGGAAAAAAGTTATCATCCCTACGTCTTAATGAAGAGAAAGTATTTGTGATTGGAGTTTATATTGGTAAGAGGCGTACCCAACATCGATGAGGCATTGTACGTTACATAATCATTCTGTATTAATCGACAACGAACACTCATTATTCTATCTTTTGAAATAATACGTCATCTCAAGTACAGTCAATGTTGACCTTGGGGACACCTCTATATAAAGGACTCCTGAATATAGTGGCCATGTATTTAGTTTCACTCAAGAACGAAATGTGTGTTGTAGGACCTGTCTAGAAAAGGCCGGCGTCTACAGTGGCAACTTTTTCTATTTACCCTGGGTGACCTCAATAGACAGTTTTCAAACTATTAATATGTAGATAGAATACCGAGTGATTACGAGTTCGACAAGCACACAAGAGCAACAACATAGGGTTCGTGCATGTGCATAAAAAAATGTCTGAAGATTTGCGAGACCGACGAACACGAAAAGTCAACAAATCTAAGAATCTGAATTGTCGGGTCGCTTGTCTCGTGGGCCGTTGGTCTCGTTTGCCCCAGGAAAACTGTGATATCCTTGTTCGGGATTGACCCCGTTAGCTTTACAACATGCAGGAGGGGGGGGGGGGGGAGGGGGCTATCCGACATTGCCCCCCAACCAAAAAAGTGGGGGGGGGGGGGCAAAACGCATTTTTGCCTCACCAAAACGCCCCCCCCCCCTCCCCCAAAAAGGAATAAACATGGTTTGTATTTTTAACCCAAAAGAACATAACAATAATAAAAACCTGAATTAAATCACATATAAAATTCCATTAAAAAAAAAGAAAAGTTAAATTTCCAAATCATTGCGCATGCCACCTATGTTTATCAATTAATTGCGATACGCGCATATCGTGGACATATTGTGAGAGAATGGAAAAGCGTGAATGTCTGTTTTTTTGTTATAGGGGTGAGAAGACATGAGCTCCTAAACGCTGGCGTACTGATGGGGGGTATTTCTTATTCGATACCAGTGATTTACAAATGTTGATGGAATGACATGACTTGCCGGTATTTTTTTCTTTATTTTTTTGTAAGTCATACCTTTTTATGCGTTTGTTCGAAAATTAGTTTTGAAAAACGTTCCGCGGGGCCTGCATGTAACGTGTAAGAGTGGTGGTGATGCAGATTTTTCTTCTGCTCCACCTTCCAAACGTTTTTGCTCATTACGTCACTGCCCCTGGAAGGTGAGCCCCCTGGACTGTTTGCCTCCCTCCCAAGCCCAAACTGTTTCCGGCGCGCCTGCTACCCGAGCTTGATCTACACCCGAATTCATGGGGATGTACCGTATCCGGACACATACCCCCACCCCCGGATAACCATCCCCAGTCAATTGCCCCCTAGGACAAATACCCCCTAGGGCAACCACCCTCTAGGAAGACAACCCGCCTCCGGGACAACTGCCCCCGGACATCTACTCCCGGACAACTACTAGGATAGTTGTCCGGGTGCAGTTGTAATAGAGGATGGTTGTCGTAGGGGGTAGTGGTCTAGATATCCATGGGATAAGTGTCCTAGAACCAGATGTACATCGAATTCATTATTAGTTAAATTGGTCAGAAATGGAAGTTGATAATATAATAAGGATATCCCAGGGTATTGCATGTAGTATGGTTTGTCACTTAAGATATATTGGATAATTATGAAGAAGGACATGAGAAGACACATCTCTTCGCTCGTTTGATTGGATATCTTTGCATTTTGTTAACCAAGTTAGCCCACCCCCCCCCCCCCCCCACAAAAAACCCGCAAACATACCACATAATTGGACTCACCCTTTGCCGCTGATTTGCATATAATGGATTTGAATAAACTTTGACATTAAAGTGGAAACAGCTGTAGGCAATTATGAGCAGGAAATAAGACATGGTGAAATAAAGGGATTTTCCAATTTCTGTTCCCTTTCTAGGCATACATTGAGTTGAAGGTTATTGAAGGAAGTGAACAAGAGTAAAAATGAAAAATTTACGGTTTTACCTGAAAAATTAAAAAGGGATAATTTTTAAAGATGTGGTCATCTTTTTGAAAGAGGCTTTTATGAGTTATCAGGTGTTAGAAATGAAACCAAGCCCCATCTTTGAAAGAGTCGAGATTTGAATTAGACGTTTATTCACTTGCGTTAATACCAATCTAGACTCTATTCAGGTCAGATTTTATCATAATGGTCCCACAAACCACTGTTTTTATGTTCAATTGTCCTAAGACTGAACAATTTCCGAACACGTCGAATGTAGGACCAGTTACAAGTGCTCATTATTTTTCTTGAACAGTAGCGTTAGAGGACTATTTAAATGGGAGGGGGTTGGAGGCGGTCCGACTATTATGCCGACAAGATAGCCGATGATTTTCAAACAAAGACATTTTATTGTGGGGGGGGGGGTATTTGTCCACATAATTTTTTTAATGAGGGTGACACAAAGACAGGAAATATTCTAGAACTATTTTAATTGCATTAGTCATTAAATAAAGGTTAGTGAGTGCTGAAAGGAATATTTCTATCAATCTATTATCCAGATAGATATAGGCCTATGTAAATGTTATGTCATGCATGCCGTGGTTTAAAGTGCAGATGTAGTTCCATACTGCTGTTCACGTACATCCGCAAGAAGTCTCTACGAAGTTATAATGACTAACTTGTATTAGGCTTGAGACAAATGGGTGATATCTTTACTTATTTTGTTCCTTCATCACCACCATGTATTTCAGAAATAGAAACATAGAGTATGTACATTGCTTGTACACTCAAAACTTTCTTTTTTCATTAGCGATACAAATTATGTTACTAGCAATGAGAACTGGTATGAACTGGCACAAAATGCAAGGTACTTCCCATTACATAATAATGTACTCTCTTGTTCTGTTGATGATTTTTAAGAGGGATCTGCTCATTGAAATCAAATTTCATTTGTCCTATTATGATTAAGATCGATGGTTATATCATAATTTATTCTATCCCATATATTTAGCAGATATAATTCACTCGTCATATTAAAGAAATATTTTAAAGTTAGTTTAATTCTGTGAATTGTATACCGCTGTCAGAATTGTCTTCCCCTATCATACCAGAACGGCACATAAGAGGCTTTAATTATACAATTATTAGAATAATTATGATTTAATAATCATAATAATAAAGATAATAATAATCATAATAACAATAATAATAATACATGTATTAATAACGATTGGATTTATATAGCGCCTCTTCCAAATGACATAACGCGCTGTCCCTTAGTCTATCAACAAAATATAAAGAAGAATTGTAGAGGTACCCTTTTCTACGTTTCTGAAGAACTCAAGTGAAGTACTATTTCTTAGAAAAAAGGGACTTTATTTCGTAGGTGTGAGACAATGGATTGAAATGATTGAGGCCAGCCTGAAAACATTATGACATGTTTGTCGATCCAAGTAGCCTCTGATACAAATAATATTATAAATGTTCCTGTTTAGTGTATGGCATAAGGAAGTAACATGGTCAGACATTCTCACTTTCCTTTAAAACACTACACCCACTCACATTGACTCAATCCATATATTAAATAAACTATGCAGGAAAACAGAAAGACACTGGTTAAACACATATCTGCTTGTACCCTACATTGCAAATACTAGAGATGGGTATGATATATACGTTATAATGGCATGGCAACCGGATCTGTTGCCACAGTGACAGGAAACCAACTTTTATAAAGGAAGGAAATGTGTCAGGGTAAGAAGCGGTTGGTCGACTTTGCAATATTCTTCTTTAGACAAACATTTACAACTTACAAAGGTAAAAATAATTGAAAAGAATGTATTGATATACATTGACATTGTGCAATACGTCAGTGACAGTGTGTTCCTTTAATTAAGGCCTATTATACATAATAGGCAAAATTATACAGTGATATATAAAAGTGTTTGCAGGTATTTTAAGTTAATATGAAATAGCATTTGTTCATATGTTTATGAGAAGTTTAACACTAACGTATCACGAAATTGATGAGCAATAGGGTAAATCTTCCCCGGACCTCGGGGTGGGATGGGGGGGGGTGATGTGGTGTGACACCTCCGCGTGCTGAAATCCCTCGGTCAGTTTTATGTTTTATATCCTATAAAGTACCCCAGTGCTAAGGTCATATTAGCTCGACATCCAGGTTACTTATTCTAAACAACAGAGCCTGCGCATAAGGTTCAACGCGATATCATTCAAGCAACGAGGTGGAGCAAGGCAAAGTCAGTGTCTCGTGCTCGTGTGATCACCACGCCATTGTTTACCAAACAAATTGTTTGGAACCAGTACCCGTCACATTTCAGTACTCCATTATCATTTTGTTAATGGTCACTTAATTATCTTTGTCATTGTACTTCAATCAAGAAAGATGGGTGTGACTGTTCGCCCCCTGCATCTCAGCAGCCCAGATGCCACATGTGGGCAACTATAATAATCAAATACACTTAAAAGTTGTTTTACTTCACATTTTAAGCTGAGTTTGAAAAGGTAACACGCAAACAGCGATATGAATACAAATCTAGGAGTATTTTGAAAATGTTCCGCCTCCTCTCAGTACATGGCTATTTGCATGTAGATCAGTAAGTCTCAGTATCTCGAAACGTAATTTCAAAGATTTCTTGTCCGTCTTACAAATTAATTAAGAACCCCTGGTCGAAGCATTGCTGATCAAGTTGCTTTCGTCTTTTTTTCGGTACTAAACTCTGATACGTCTATTGTGGGTTAAAGCCTCTTTCTGCGAGCATGTTAATGAATGATTCAGATTAGCTACTATGTTAATGCTCGGTATCGTGTCATGACCTAGTGTCATCATACATATTAATTTGAACTCCTCCTTGTGCTTTTTTTTGTTAGCTGGTTTGTTTGTGAAATGTTTTACAAAAACATTTTGATTACCTTCATGCTATATTTTGCAGGTCTTCTGGGTGCACCAGTTGGTCGGGAAGAGGGACCATTACGGTTACAGTGATTTAGTTTGCTTTCCTCTTCCCCGGCAGCCAACAGATGCACTCAGAGGACCTCCAGGAAAATTGTGCATTTGTAATAAATGTTATTGTTATTATTAATGTTAGTTTTATACCTATATTTACATTGTTATATTTTGTTGTGAATTGCCGAATAAATAATAAATAAAAATAAATAAAATGTAACTTTCCATGTTGCTTAGGTCAAATGGCGGATGCTGTCTCCCCTCATTCAGGACCGGAAGCCTAAATTCTGGGCTACGTAGTCTACTGAGATGTGCATGCTATTAAATCTATTATTGACTATTGTTATTTTTTTCTAGGATACATCGTAGACCTGACATTAGTGACCAATCACCCCCTCCTAGATCCTCCCAACACACAGGATCAATATATCGGCGCCTACCTAGGACAGAAAGATGCAAGCATCAGAGACGATATCACGTTCGACCGAATTATCCGGACCGCTGATACTCCTGTTCTCCCAAAATATATAAACATAGAAGACGAAGGTCAATTTATTAGAAAGCTAATCTTCGAACAGTCCAATCAAACCAAGGCATTAGGAGCATTCAATGCAACTTTCGAATATGATGGAATCAAACGTATGACTTCCATTGTTGTCTTAATGCACAATGGTGAGTATGAATATTTTTAAAATCGAGAGTCTTTAATACGTCGGTCCCACTGCCAAACCGACCAGTTTGGGGCATCTGGAGGTAATATAACTTGTTAACCGGGTCTGTAGTCAGTCTTTTATCGGCCTCGTTGGTATGACTGAAGAATAATGCTCGTACAATGCTTCAGTTTCTTGGAATATATAACAGCATGTACAGTCAACTGGAAGCCACCATTTTTCTGAAAATAGTAAAACTCAGGGACCAGATTATTGACCTCTGGACGTTGCCTAATAATCTAATTTAGGAGATTCATGCAACTAGCTCCAGTCTATTTAAAGGAAAACACATTCTCCAAAACTGGAAAAAATATTAAGATGATCTTAAAACTTTTAAAAACGAAATTAGGGTAATAGCGATTTCATGTATAAACACTGTCCTATTTCTTGAATTTGTAAAAAAACAAATCTACTTAATACTGTACGAGAACACTGAAGAAGACAAAAATCAACGGATAGAAAACATGTAGAATCACTAAAAAACATGATCAAAATTGCATTTCCTGATCATTTTCCCTCATTTCCTGACCTGATGTAATATAATAATAATACGGTCTTCCCTATCTTCGGGTAGCCTCGTCAATTTTAATAATGTTCTTCACGAGGGCCTTCAATATTTCTCCCCCTTTTCAGCTGGGGGACCATGATAAGGCCCCCGAGCATTGGAGGATTTATTCCCACCGGGTACCTATTTATTTCATAGTGGGGAGAGTGGCAAATATAGAGAAATGTATTGCCAAAGGAAAGTATTGCCGTGACAGATATTTGACTCCGTACCGTGTACTTCAGCGACTTTACTGCTAGACCACGACACATTCGCTACAATGATTGTCTCAAAAAGTCGTCAAAATATGTACATATACGCCTATTCATACATCCAAATGGATACCCCGTTTTGACGTTTACAATATGTTAATGATTTCTATACTTCCAGTACTAATACCAATATGATCGGGGAAAAGAACCCCATTCTTATGCTTAAAATCCTATATAATACAGATCATACAGTCGATCAGCGACTTTAGAAGTAGCCTATACAATAAATATCTTTATTTTGAAGAAATTTCCCCCCGAAGCTGCTTCTACAATTCATTTTTTTCCTTCTTTGGTATATTACTCCCATCATGCTCCCATTTACTTTACAGCGACAGTCTTGCCTGAACGGACAACTTTGACTGTCCATGCCGGGGAAACTGTAACAATCGCAGTCGTCACCAACATGACGGAAGGTTCCCTTCGGTGGGGGTTTAATGGTGAAAAGATATCTGACAATAATGGAAAGCAGAGTCTAACTTTGGAGAACGTGGAACTAAATCAAACTGGGGTATATAAGTGTTTTCTATCTGGAAAACGATCGGATCCAGAAAATGCAATATTCCTTCTTCATGTCATCAGTAAGTTGAAAGTTTACCTATCCGTACATGTATCTTACATATTCTCTTATTTCGAAGCAACTTTCATTGCAATAAAAGTATTTACAATTCTACATTATTGATGTCAGCGAAACATCAGTGAAATTAATCCGAAAAGGTCCTAAAAATGTATTTATGTTTTGTGGATTTCAGCATATTTTCACGGCTGTTTCCATACTAACATGGCATTTTTGGGGTATAGATTCCTTTTCCCTTAAAAAAAAAAAGGCAATAATTTCAGCATATTGAAATTTTGATATTGAAAATTGTTGTTAAAGGGTTTTACAGATAGAAAGTTAGAATGCAAGTATGGCAATGCATATTGGCATATCGGTTATTTACTTCTGATATTGTTTAGATGCTGGATTCTTATCCACTTTAAAATACTAAAACTGTTTACTTCAAACAGGATGCCCAGCTCATCGTTGGGGATCTGGATGCGCATATAACTGTACTGAGTGTCTCAATGGAGGCAAATGCGATGCAGACTCAGGAGAGTGTGTATGTCCTCCTGGTTTCAACGGGACAACATGTGAACACGGTAGGTTTTACACTGGCATAGACATACTTGTTGAACAAGGTGGGGGCGAGTGGCACAGACGGACACAACAAAATAACGAGTCACATACTTACAAATAAACACACACACAAGCACGAACACACTCATAACGAGCATAGGTTTAAGGTCTCGACTTTTAAGTTTCATGGATGACCCTTTTTTCAAAGTGGATGATCTTGTGCCCCCCCCCCCCCACACCCTGAATACCCATATGCCTAGACACCAAGCTTCCGAAGCGAAATGTCGAGTTATATCATTGTTTAGTTTAGACATATTTTGTCTTGGATTCAGCTCAATATTTGTTTGATGTGAATGAAAAAATGATTTCATGTAAAATACATGCTTGAAATAAGGTTCAATCTGCAATACTCTTCTAATGCATAGTGATGAACATAACAACATCATCTTTCATTAATCAGATTCAATTCATGAAACCCTTGGTTAAGAAAACAGCATTGTTTCATCGGCAAGTTCGTACATTTTGATCGTTCAATACCTAAAACTCTTTTCAATAAAGCTATCTCTCAAATCAGAATCAAATCAACTCAATGTTGATAGAATAATACTAGGAACTCTATGATGAAAGCATTTATATCATTATCTCTTTATCCTCAGTCCTGGGCAGAAACCGGTTCGGGCAGGATGGCAGCTTTTCTTGTGATTCCTCAGGAGATGATCACAGTCCAGAGTGTCGGGGTAAACTCTTCTGCCTACCAGACCCCTTTGGATGCACCTGTGCAGCAGGATTCATGGGAATCAATTGTACAACAGGTACTTATAATCATGTAAATCAAATTATAGAATCATCCCTGAGCGAATATGTATACTATAAGAGACCTCCAAAATACAAAAAAAAATTGATATAACATACGTGTGTAAATATGGATTACTCATAAATGTGCATGTACATGTATACTACAACAGTTATTCTCTGGCGTAAGTGAAGGTAACGAGAAAAGAGATTATTAACGCGGGCAAAAATTAAATACGAAAGATATGAGTGAATAAGAAAGTATATTTATATTTGCAGTAATGAATAGGTTAAACCATACGATTCTGATGTCTGAAAGAGAGCATTTGTCTACATAGAAATGCTTTTCAAAAGACAATTAGTCTTCTTGTCAAGTACATACTAAGGCGTTTAGACATTTCTCACGGTTTAATATTTTGAAACCTGAACTAACATAAGCCTAGGTATATCCTGAATAGACCAATTCAAGAGTAATGTTATGAGTGCGTTTCAAGGAACATGGTAACATGATAATACCATGGACCAGATACCTCTTTGAGGATAAAAGACATTCCACAATGGGATATACTCTGCCATTCGAAACCTCAGTCATATTATCTTTTAACAAGTGGTGCTTGGGTTGAAAGCGAAGGTGTTTAGTTTTCATTATTCTGTCATCACATAAAGGAACAAAAATAATTATATTCTTTTTCCAGGGACATCAAGTCCTTCATCCGTCTTTCGAAAAGACGCACTAGGTTAAACAAGCGAAAATGATTTTTGTAATCGTCAACATTTTTGTACATGTATTCTACATATGAGGAAGAGCTGGAAAGCCATGGAATATTTAAGTAACCATTAATGATCAAGCACGTAGCCCTTTAAAATTATGCTTGATAAGAAGGAAGGAAACTGAATTGGCAATATTCCACATTATGAAGGATGATTCTTTCTTATCCCACTTCATAGCTAGGTGCTACACAAATTTGTCCAACGTATAAAGCAATGTGCTAGCCAAATCATGTGAGGGCAAAATGATGCATTACTAAAACAACATGCATGTTCACAATTCCTTCGCTTTAAAACCCACGTTAAAAATAAATGTTATCGAGCAAAATATATTTATCATTAGAAAGATATATCTAAAAAGTATTAAAGACGTTCTAATGCACTTGTGAGCGGGAGCTAATTGACAAAAAAAAAACGAATTAGCGGAACCAAATCTACCAAGCATTCAAAACGCACCCTTGAACCCTCATTGACCAATTTATTTAAGCTTTGTTTGATTCATTCTCGAAATTTAATATAAAGGCAACAATTATATCGATGTAACTTGGGTTCTTGGGCCTGCCCCTCGACGTACGTATCCGGACACCTATCTTCTGGACATCCAGCCCCGGATAACCACCCCAGTCAACTACTCCCTGGGACAACTACCCCCTAGGACACCTAACCCCTGGACAACTACCCCCCGGATAACCACCCCTAGAGTAGTTGTCCAGGGGTAGTTGTCCTAGTGGATGGTTGTCGTAGGGGGTAGTTGTCTGAGGAGATTGTTGTCCGCGGGTAGTTGTCCCGGAGGTAGTCGTCATAGAGGGTGGTTACCCTAGCGGGTAGTTATAAAAGGGGGTAGTTGTCCTAGGGGGTCGTTGCCTTAGGGGTTAGTTGTCTGAGGGGTTGTTGTCCCGGAGGTAGTCGTCCTAGAGGGTGGTTAATCTAGCGGGTAGTTATACAAGGGGATAGTTGTCCTAGGGGGTAGTTGACTGTGGTGGTTATCCGGGGGTGGATGTCCAGTGGGTAGGTGTTCTAGAACCCTCAACGTGAAATATTGATGATTAAAAAGCACATTAGGCCCACTTCATAATGATGTTCCTTGTCTTCTATTACTTTATCGATCCCCATGACTTTTAATAGAATGTAACCCGGGAACGTATGGAGCCAATTGTTTACAAGAGTGCCACTGCTCTTCACCTAACATCTGTACCAAGGATACAGGAGTATGTATCGATGGGACTGCGTGTCAAGAAGGCTGGACTGGTGTCAACTGTCAAGGTGATTTATTTTTCAAACAGTCAGTTTTCATAATAAGGTTGTTTTTATTTTTGATACACAATAATATCACAGAATAAACACATCGCGATTGAAGGGCCAAAATCTATTTCGTCCTTTATTATTTCTTGCGCTTGTCAAAACGTGTTTTGATTAAACATGTTACTAGTTTCTGCTGAGTCGTGGCTAGATTTGCAGTTAGTTATCATTTGACACTTATTCCCTGTTTTTAATAATGCTGAGTTGAACAATAAAAATGTTCTCCAATCATACATGAACATATAGGTAGACCAAAGGTAACACATTATCAGTAGCAGTTCCTCTTATGTTTAACTATGTAGATTCATTTTATATACTTTAGGTTTTTTATAAACATCTGATTGTCTGGTAAATAATTAATGCAAATGCAATCGAAGCGTTCTTTGTGATAAATATATTGATAGGAATGGTGCTAAAGAGTTTAATTATTTTGTTTATACGATCTAATAGTCTGAGCTCGTGTCTTGATATTTAATTGTAGGATATAGACCCTTGAGAACCGAATATCTAGTATCAAGATTAAGATTTCGCACATCAATAATGTTAGACGAGCTGCAAGTACTTCAATGATATTCTCAAGTACGTGTTTGTATTGGATTTTTACAGACGTGTATCAATCAGATATGATTGTTTACGTCTGGGGACTGACCTTTAAACGTCACCATCCGAAAGACGTGACTCAGTTTCGAACCTACGTCCTCGACTGAATCAGTTTGTAACTTCCACTGTTAGCTGGATTACAGGCGCACACCACAACGCCCAGCGCTCTTCAGTTAAAAGCTATATTTTTAAAGGCATCGTATTTTGAACAGTTATTGTTCTTCCCATAGTGGTAAATTTGAACCCTGCTGTGTGTACGCAAGATGTGTTGGATGGACGAGAGGACGAGTGTATTTGTCTAAAATACCTGATAATGTCCTTGTTTATTATCGTTTCCCTTTCTTTTTACAGTTCGAAGTTCCCCCATTCAGGACGTTGAAGATGATACATGTAAGCTCACATGGGCTCCTAGTTCAACATAATAATAGATCGAGACGTGTTAAGATAATTATAAAGCAGAAAACCTCAGAGACTTATTTTATATAACGTGTAAATGAATCTCAATGGCGGGCAAAAAATAAAAACAATATTAATTATTTAAAAAAACTTCTACTACTGCTACTTATATTAATTATAATAGTAAAAATAATAGGCAGTTGTACTGCGCCATCTATTTAGAACTTCTATTCAGAGGCGCACAAGGAGAAATAGATCAGAATAAGAGTCTGAATAACAGAGGCTATGTGCTTATTTTGAGCTCTGCGTTTAAGATACAGAGATGTGAAGTTTATTACACTTTACGTCATCACAACAACAAAAAACTACTGCAGTTTACCGCTAAACATCTGAACGAGTTATGTACACAAATATGAGAGGCATTACCATTTCTGCTGTGATAGGAAGAGATTGATACGTTTTCAAGGGGACATAAATATAGACTAAAAATATAATTGTCCTGCGAAACTGCTACTGGCTATTATTAGATCAGAATACCTAGAATTTTGTTATCTAAACATGTATAAGCTTGTGTGGATAAAGAGTACGTGTGTGCGTGCGAGCGTGCGTAAGGCGTAAAATCAGATATTTATGAAATGTTTCCTCTTCTCTTCATCTATATATTCAGCTATTCCCGGTACAAAATCGGCAAGTTCTGGTACCACTTCCTCAATCATCCCCACCATTGAAACCACTTCTGATATAACTGAAGCTACTACCAGTGCTACCACTCCTGCTCCCACTACCATCCCTCCACAGTCTGTTCCATCTTACGCCATAGCGAGCTTCAATTACACCAAGGTTAACAATGGCGAACCTACAACATTGGTTTGTGTTGTGACAGGATCACCTCTACCGACCTCTGAAAACATCAGCGTCACCTATGCAGCCGGTGGAGATGAAGGGATTGTCCTTCTGGGGACCACTGTCAATGAATCAACCAGGACATCCCGGTACCAGGTTATCGTGAGTCTGGGTGAGGTACCTCTGAATTTCACTTGTCTTTTGCGCAGGCCGGACGGGGAAAGTGTCTCGAAAGATGTGGCTGTCTCTGTTTATGGTAAGTAATTCTGAACTATAACAGCATACCTGTTTTTGCTATGATTTACTGAAAAGAGCTTAGCGTCCTGTGTAAACATTCATTGTTAATGCGAATGGAATTAAAGATGCTTTGTACATCTCCATGTACGTCACAAACAATGAATATAAATAATAAACACAATTTGTCACGTTTTTATATTGCCTTTTCTGTCTTTAAAATGGTTTCCATGTGACAGGTGGCTATCTCAACAACTCAGCTCTCAATTAACATAAGAGAAAGAGGACCATGGGGGAACAACGGTGGCCGCTTAGGCATTGTTTTCTATATATAGGGAGCAAGTAGCTACAAGTAGTACAGTGGGGCTTTAAATATGTAGTATCATAATTTGGATGGCTTCATACACATTTTTTTCGAAACTCAATTTACGTTCTATCAGAACCTCCAAGCTTTGTTGAAGCTCACCTACTCGTCCAAGAGATGACATCTCACTCGATCACCTTACGCTGGACACCTTGGAATGAGAATAATGATCGTGGTAATGGGCCAGTGATTGGATATCGAGTCTACTACAACACACACGGACAGGATGACATAGCCAGCGCTTCAGGAGATCTCATCAGAGATACAAATTTCACGATCACTAATTTGACACGGGACACAGTGTATGATTTCAGAGTGACTGCTTCGAGAGAGGGGCCATCGGGTGAGGGGAGGTACATCTCAGTAGCAGGAACTAGGACAAAGTGTACTGGTAAGAGCAGAAGACTATTATCATAAGGCGAGGGATGATGGTAGCCCCGAGATCACCGAGGCGATGATAGTTTGTATCCATTGCCCGAGTAAAAGAGTTTAATATTTGTTTTATATCCCACATCGGCAATAAGGTCTATTTAAAGTGATTTTTACATAATTTAAAGAACTGATTCTGCAGACAGTTTAGCTTCAGCTAGATTTTACAAAGCACAACATGCATACAAAGTAATAAAGTCGATGCGCGCTCATTTGACATTGACATTGACATTTCGCGTAACCTACTTTGCTATGCTTATTTTAATGGGCAAATGGGGCAGCAGCAAAAAATTACTGTACAAAAGTCCTATCGCGGGAGATAGTACTTATCTATCATTGATCATGTGACCTCGTTTAGACCAATCAGATTGCAAGATTCTTAGTATGCGGGATATAACAACTAATAATGGGTGGATCATCAAGATCATTTTTACGGCCGCAGTCAGGACGGAGTTCACTCTTTGACGTCACTCGCTCTTTTCAATATTGAACTTATTAACGCTTTCTAACTTAAGATTGAAATTACGAGCAAATATCATTGAACATTGTTGGTGGGTAAAGTAAGTTAAATTAATGGAATTAATCTGTTGTCAAAAATTGTACAAAGATGTTTAAAACAAAAGCACTCAACCAAGCGTTAACTTGCAGGTTCCGCCATTGTCATTTCTCGAGAGTTGCTAATAATAGCAAATATAGTGGCGAAATTATCATAAGTAATGATAAATAATGTAAAAATAACAGTTTAGTTTATTGGTTATTATGATTACTTTTTCTCTTGACCATTAGGACCTTAACAGCGATCCTTTGAGGTTTCAAATTGTTCTATTGTTAAATTTCCCGCTCTCAAATGTTAGGCTGGTAAATATGGACTCACTGTAGTGAATTCACCCTAAAGGCAAAATAATTTGTAGACAGTACAATATTCACGTGACATGAATATTGTATAGTTATTTGTATTAACCAGCAACTGAATTACAACCAAAACAACTTAATTGTCTTCGTTTTGTTGTAATCCTTTTTGCAGCACCTTCTCAGGCGCCTGTTTTGTCTGTGAGAAATAGAGGTCAAACATCCATCACTTTGGATCGGGAGGTGAGCTAAGAATGATTTCAATGCATTTAATTTCTTATTATTTCTATCAAGAAGCACATTTCAGTTCACTTTACTTAAATTAAATAATTAAAATTTGCTTAATTGGAAGAAGACAAAAAAAAGGGTTTAACTTTTCAGTTTGAGCGCTTATAAACGGATCCAAATACTTTAATTTAAAATACACAGAGATACACATGCAAAAAGTCCTCTCGAAGTATCATTTTTAACATTAATTAGTTTGGATAAAGCGTTTCGTATGTTTACTCCGTATAAAACATAAGAAATCATCAATGAAGATTCGTCCGGATTATATTGAAAATCTAAGGTTTAAAGATAAACTTGAGTTCTGGTAAAAAAAGCAAAATTAATTCTCACAGAATCAAACGAAACTTACACTGAATGTTCAAGATTACAAATAAATGACATGTGCCAAACAATTTTGGAAGAAAATGTATACTGGCTGAGTAATGAGCATAGAAAGACAAGGAAATCAAGGTAGTACCAGCCCCGACACCATGTGTGTTGTCCCATATATAGCTGTCTGTGTCAGTGCTTGTTACTTTACCAAGACTCGGTCAAATTTATTATGATTTTGATGACTCCAGAACCTTATAATAATAATAATAAAAACGTTACTTATAAAGCGCTTACCACCGAAGTCTCTAAGCGCTATAAACTTGCAGTGCACACCAATACTTACATGCCACATGATCAACTGTTTCTGATCCTTTCCACACCTTTTCTTTCACAATGCAATCGCATTACCAGTACTAAAGTTTATCTTTAACGGTAAATGTGGTAATTTTACATTTCGCTGATTTGTCAAATTGGCGCACTATTCAATTTTTTCCTATTCATATTACTATCACTCAGGTAATACCAGAGGGATCATGGGGATGCAGTGCCCTTTCTGGATTAGAAATCAATATTAGCACCAATGGACAAAATGGCTTGCCTCGAACCTTGTCATTTGATACTACGGCGGGTACTGCTAACATTGATCAGCTTGAGGATTGTACGACGTATAACATCAACGCAGCATTTAGAAACAAAGACGAGTTGGGGATCTCTTCAGAAATATTGTCAGTGAGCACGTCTTTGATACGTAAGAATATTTGTTTTCTCTTATTTGTTAATTTATTGCCTTGAGTTGTACGATGAAAACGCTCGGGCCGAAATACATTAATCTTATTTCTTGTTTGTTCGATCTTATGTTTGATCCTATGTTTGACCTCATGTATGTTTGATCTCACTCTTATTTGTATTATTATATATGTATGATTTATTGAATAAAGAACAGATGTATACGTTTTGGTTTATAATTTTTTAGTCAGACTATAGTGCGCTTAGAGACACCAGTATTAAGCACCTAATAAATATTGTGTATTATTATTATTAATACCTTATATTCGCTTATTCATTATGACAAGTTAGTTTGTTCTCTACTCCTTCTTCATCTTTGACGGATGATAGAAATTCACCAGAAAGACTATATCACTAAATGTATATCATTGAATCATTTTATATCTTTAAAGAAAAAAAGGAAATTTCAGGAGTACATGGTAGTCAAATATGGTCTAAATGCTATCATAACTCGTACGTTTAACGACTTTCAATTTTTCTCAAAATGTTCTTTCAATTTGAAAATTGCAAGTTTCGTTTACCTGTATATTTCAAATTCATTTCCAGGACCCGCACGTGTAGAAGCCTTACAGATGTCTTCTTCAACCACACAAATTGGAGTAAGCTGGGCACTATCATCTAGCCTATGCTCCCCTGACTACTATAGCATACGCTACAGTCTCCTTCGAAAGTTTGCCTGCCAATCACCAGAAACCACCCCATCAGAGTTTGAAGTGAACACCAACGTCACACAATACAATAATCTAGTGGGGTTAGAGCCTTACTCGCGATACAAGATCACAGTTACAGCTGTAAATGGTGCCGGGCAGAGTGAACCCACGATCGGCTATTCGTATACCAGGCCGGGACGTGAGTAATGAACTAATAAGAAAAATACCCTTTCCCCATAACAGTTTCAAGAAATGTACAAGGTGATATATTTTGTTATCCGTGTTGTAATTATGAAACAAAGTTGCGATTGGTCTAAAGCTCGTCATGGGATATCGATTGTGAGGATCGTGATTATCCATTTATTACTCAAGGGCTCTCTTATGTACATCGTTGCGATCGATATAAATAGCAAATAAGTTGCGATTGATATCAACTCTTTATAGACGGGGCCCCGGTCAGCAAACGAGCATTTACCCTCGTGATCACAATTCCCCTCAGCGCTGCGCGCTTAGTGAAGACAAAAAAACCTTTTGAAAATATAACTCAATTCGGTAATTCAAAAATGTTATATTACACACTCTACCAGTCAATATATGCATTCGATTCCCTTTATATACCGTACACATTGGTGTAAAATTATTACTTGTCAAGATTGTTTACTGTATTTAATTATGAATGGTACAGTTTGGTTGTCATGTATATTCCCTTCAACCTTCACGCTATAGCATTACTACGTATTAAGCAAATAACTCGTCAGGTTTGAGCGGATATAGGAATGTTCTCTCATATTTCTGATTCTCTTCAGCACCGTCCAATATTACACATGCCAGGGTTAACCCAGAAAGGACGTCTCCATCAAGAATAGGATTCACATGGCAACCTCTCAACTGTAGAAATGTGAATGGAGTGTTCTGGTACTACTATACAAGAATCTACAAGGATGGTGATAGGGATGAGAAGCAGCATGCTGGGAGCAAGTACTTAGATTATAACATTTCATACTCTTCAGTTGAGTTCAATGATCTTGACGCATGTACGGTGTATGAACTGAATATCAATGCCGTCAACAGCCGTGTGACAACTCTTGGAAATCTGTCTTACGCTATCGGTGTAACAGGTGTTACTTGTAAGTGTCAAATAGTACAAAGATAATATATTCAAGAATCACCTTCGTGATGTGACATTAGGGACTTTAGGGCTAATGTGACGTCCTTTTAAGGCACTGCCGGGTACAGCCATTGCCTTAAAAGGACGTCACATTGCCTCAAAAGGATGTCACGTAAAGCAGTCCACGTTCCCGTCGTGCAAAGCTAAAAGTCCTTATTACCCTGTTGTGTGAACGTATTCCAATTATATGAATTTCGTTCCAAAAAAGTGTATTTAAATAAAGAATTGTGGGAGAGATCCACGTCCATATAGTGATACCAACGTTTCCTTGGCAATATAATCCATATTATGTACGACATTATATTGCACATTTACGGATCATGTCTTTGACAAAAATTAAACATTTTCAGGTAGGGATGGCTATATTTTTCCGAGTTACCATAAAAGTGTCGTTCTAACGATTTAAATTTCTTTGAAATCTCAGTCATTAAGTTTTATTGGCGAAATAACCTTATATTTAAAGTATTTTACCCATTTTAGGGGAACTGTCATAAAGAATTTCACACATGGAAATGATAGTACGGGGACGGAGATTCTTAACTGAATATGTCAGCCTCTTTTTATTTAATATCTAGATACGTCATGCATTGTAAGTGTATTAATAATTATTATGATCCACTGTGGATCAGATATGGACCCTGTACTGATTAGAGAGCAAACAGTTATCATAAGAAAGGGTCCATGTAAAATGATAAGAAAAAAAACAAAACATAAAATCTGTTTCTTGTATCACGCTTTGGTCAACCGTGTTCTCCGTCTTATGGTCATTGGTTGGTGTAGTGTAACCCTTCTTGAACACAAACCATTCACCTGGATTGTGCTTTATTTCGTTATATTAACAATTAAGACCTTTCTCTCTATTTGTGTTTCATCAAAAGTCACAAATGCATCCGCTTCTGCAACTGGGAATCAACCCGGTCTGACAGTTCAGTGGAGTGTTCCGCACCAATGCAATGTGAATTACTACAGATTATCGTATCACCTCATCTCACGTAAAGCATGTCAAGATGCCCCTGTAATAGATGCTCCAGTCTACGAATCCAACGTCACATCAGTTTCCAAATATATTTCAAACTTGGAATATTACGCAACCTATAACATCTCCATCATAGCTGTGATTATGACAGCAGAGAGCCTACCTATAAATATTAATGGAGACACAGGAGATGGAGGTATATAAAATATAACATGCTAATACTCGCAACGGCGTATTTACGGGGGGGGGGCAGAGGTGGCACATGCTCCGGATGGCACTTGAAGTGAGCACCCAAAAAAAGGGAAGACGGAAAAAAACAAGAGAAAGAGAAAGGGGATAAAGGGAAGAAAAATAGGATTATAATATGAACCCTAAATATGCAGAATAAACTGCATTGTAATTTTATTTGTTAGTGAGGTTTAAATGCGAAAGGTTTTCATGCTTGGTCCCTTTGCTCATTGCGTATTTTCCTTTAGGAACGAAATTTCACGCCTCCTTTAATTTAGGATACATTATAGTATCCTGTGAATGGTTCAAGATCTTTAAAAAATGCAATTGTCTTTGCTTGCTACAAATTTTATAATTATCATCAGCCTCTTGTTAAATATAAGGCAAAGGACATAGGAAAAACCATATAAAGTAATTGCAAAGGGTCAACATTTAAAAGAAATCTGAAATTTCCGGTTTTTTTTTTGTTTGCCCCGGGCACCATAATCCGGAGATACGGCGGGATTACTAGCTTATGTAATGAATGCCATGATAATTAAGTCCACTTCGTAAATCACGTACCGAATCATTATTTTGTCCAAGGACACGTTTCACAAAGCTTTCTTTTAATGACAAGTGACAAAAATCAGTGACAAATCTGCTGATAACCAATCAGAAGCAAGGATTTCACTAGCTTATAACAAAACCTGTCATTTGTAACTGCATGATGACAAGTTCTGTGAATCGGGGCCCTGTTATACGTCTACCCTATGTGGTGTTATGTACGCCAGGTAAGACAAAAGGCCCACTGCTTTTGCTGTAAGGATCGTTATATCGGAGAGCCTTACGTGACCCTTACGATGAGATTCTAAATTATAAGAAAAATATTGTCACTTTCCATAATTATTACTTTTAAGTACACCTGTTTACGATTTACATTGACCACATCTCATTTATCATTCAACGTTCGATTTTCTTCACAGTACCCTCTGTCATCAAGTCAGTGTCGTACACCTCCACTGCCCACTCCTTGGACTTAGTGTGGGAGGAACCCTCCTGCGAAAGCCTACACGGTGTTTTGAATCGATATGAATACGATCTCTATGGTGGGCAGAGAACTGCCCGGTATGCATTGCACACACGAAGGAACGATGTACAAATAACTGGTCTTGATGCTTGCACAGAATATCGCTTCAGGATAAGAGTAGTTACTACCCAACAGAGAAGGAGTGAATGGCATATGGAAATGGCAACGACTAATATATCAGGTTTGATAAATGAGATATAGGCCTATCGTACATGTGTATTGGTTATAAAGACATGAATTGTGCAATTCTTATGTTGTACACATTAATCTTTTGGCGATTAAAAAGTATTTGTTTCCAAGGGAAAGTATGGGAAACTGTATGTTGCAAAGTCCAATGCAAATCGGCTTTGATAAGTCCATCTCTTGACGTTGCTTCAAGATAGGTAGATAGCTGGGGAGTCAATACATATTCTAAAGATAGATATTAGATTTAGTGTAATCACAGTGTAATCAATCGGTTATTGGAAACCTGAATTAGCCCGAATGAAATATTTATTCCTTCCTTTCTAAACACTTATCAGCTCCTGGAATGCCGCTTATTACAGAGCTAACCGCACATCGGGAAGACAGTGGCACTACTGGTCTAACAGTAACATGGCAACCTCCTTCCTCACCTCCATGCCAGCCTACACATTATGAAATCAAGTACTATGTTCGTCAAGGCGATATGTGTGAGAATATCCCGAGCGATCCTACAATGAATTTAGCAGGGACCGTCAATGGTTCAACTTTCACCTTCAGTTTCCTGGAGTTGCGTCCCAACTCTGAGTACATGGTGTTCGTGAGAGGCGGAACCAGTAGCGGTTATGGCGATTCGGATTCCCAATCAGCTACTACAGGATATTCATGTTAGTATTATGTGTTCATGTACGTAGGGGAGGGTGAGGGTGTGTGTTTATGGTGTGAGTATGAGGGTTTGTGTACGGGTATAGGTATCAATCACATATATTATTTACATCTGGGAACAGATCCTTTACCGTCACCATACGAAAAACCGAAATCACTTTCTAATTGCGGTCCGTCTGAGTCAGTTGTAAGAAAAAGACAGAAAGCTTAAAGTACCGCTACACCAATTAAAATCTCAATATCTACTTTGCACGACGCTAAAGTTAGGTCAATTCTTTATCTGACAAATTTGATCAGAAGGGGAACCATAATCTACACAGGTAGTGGTACGGATATACTTTGAATGAGACCTTGCAAAATATCATCGGAGAATATGTTACATGAAATAAGCTGGCCTGAAATGTCTGTTTAGAAAGAAAAAAGAATCATAAAAAAGTATACTACAGGGGTTAGAGAATGGTTTAGAAGACAAAGAAAATGGTTACGATCTCAATGAAAATGTAGATTAGCTGATAGTAAGAAAATATAGATGAGGTTAAAATGGAAGACTATGTATAAGAAAAATGAACGAGAGTGAGTTTCACTCCTTTAATTTTACAGATCCTACTGGTCCTCCAACTAATATCCGGTCCACTTCCACCAAGAAGCGCAGTATTGTCTTCACTTGGGAGACACCAGAATGTGGTGATCGGAATGGACCAATCTCAAGCTACGAAGTTATGCTCTCCAATTCTACAGGTAACCTCAAGAGAAATAAATACTTTGTAGAGTGCTAAATGAGGTGAAATGCCAGATATTGCTTGTTAAAAGAAAATACTATCTTCCATTGCAGAATAAAGTGCCATTTAATAACTTTAAATGATTAAGCCCTCCGTATTCTTTAATATATCTAGGATTTTTCTGAATGCGTTAAGAATCTCGGATCAATGATGAATTCTGGTCAGTACTAGAGTATTGCTGGTAATTAGATGGTGTATTTGTCAGTGATGTGTGGATAAAAATGTTCAGAAAAATATTGACTAAATGTCAAATTTTCAAATTTTGAGACCAAAAAAAAAAGGAAAAAAAGTGTCCGCTTACCCCCCCCCCCCCCCCCCCCCCCCCCCCCCCATGAGCGACTTTTCGGCCGGCGCGATTTTCAAATTTTCGGGAGCAAATTTTTCGGGCCCGATTTTAAAACCCCCCCCCCCCCCCCCCCCTTGAAAAAATCCTGCGTACGCCACAGGTGTTGCATCATGATGATGAGTGTTTTGATTTAGTCCATCAATCATACATGTACAAACAAATGCTCTCTATTGTTCAATTCCGCGGAGTAATTTGTTTAACTTTCCTTAAATAAACATGTAGCCTTGCTACGTCTTCGCGGTACTAGCTTTATACTCCAAGGTAAAATGTACGCTTGATGTATTGTAGAGATGTTTTAGTCCAATGGATGATAATAATAATTATAAAAACGGTGCTCATAAGGCGCTTACCACCGAAGTCAAACAAAATACAATGATAAACAATTACATCTTAAACAAAATAATGCACATAAACTAAACCTATAAATTACAATACATAATTATAAAATATACATCAATGTGAACAGGGTAAGTTAATCATCAAAAGCAATTTTGAATAGATGTGTCTTAAGACAAAAAGGTGCGGGGTTCAAATCCCAACACGGCACTAACGTACTTTAGAAGACGTTACATTGCCACTTTCCACTTAATTGTAAATGGGTACCTGATATGCTTGAGCGCTAGTTACTTTGGCGTGTCGGATATATTAAGCAGGGTAATAATGTAAAAGGGCTAAGGGCCAACTGTGTGATGGATGATAATAATCAGGTCTGTATGAGAAGCCATTATTATTGCTATTGTTCTTTTCCAGGAGACGTGGTTTATCATGGTAATGTGTCAGCTGGCGCAGCTAGCGCAGGACCTAAGCATGAAATATCGGACCTTATCCCCTACTCGAATTACAGTATTAGAATCAGAGCTTGGAACTATGAACTAGCAGGGGAGTATGGTCCAGCAATTCGGACACAGACAGCTGAAGCAAGTAGGTCTCAAAATGCATGTCTTTTATTTATATTTTGATAACGATGAAGAAAAGAAATATTTGCGTAAAGGACGAAAATTGTTCAAATATAGTCGTTTTTTATTAAACGTTGTCAACCGTGTATCTATAGAACCGAAAATACAACCTTGATCATTTTGTACTCAAAATTTTGAAAATTTAGACTTGGTCATTTACAGGAACTAATGATATGTGAACATGAACAGGAACAATTCCTTAATTTGTTTTGTTGTTACATTTCTCATCCTTTTTTCATCCCCTCCCCCAGCGAAAATAAAAAAGAGTGTCGAGAAATCATTCTTTTTAAATAAATGGAACCCTAATTAAAGGGACTTGGTAACATTGTTCAGGTGAGAGATAATAGGGACTTTTAGATTTGCACGAGGAGAACGTGGACTGCCACATGTGACATCCTTTTAAGGTAATGTGACGTCCTTTTAAGGAACTGCCATTGCCTTAAAAGGATGTCACACGTGGCAGTCCACGTTCTCGTCGTGCAAATCTTAAAGTCCCTAATGAGTGGACAAGAACGGCGTGAACGTCCACTGATCATGAGTGTCTATGGCAAACCGTTTTCACATTTATTCCTATTTCTTGATATCAAGAAATTATTTTCTGTTGTAAAGCAATGGTAATTCTTGATATCAAGATATAGGAATAAATGTTAAAACGGCTTGCCATAGACAGGCTTGATCAGTGCACGTTCACGCCGTTCTCGTCCACTCACTAGGGACTTTTAGATTTGCATAACGTCAACGTGGATTGCTAAGATCGACGTCCTGTTAATGCACTGCATTGAATGGACGTCACACGGATCAGTCCACGCAAATCTAAAAGTCCCTAATATAAAAGTCCCTACTAGTGACTTCAATGCTAGATGTACAATTGAAGAAAATCTAAAAGTTTCAGTGAAAATAGACAATTATTAATGATACAAATTGGGAGAAACTGATCTGATCGATTCCTTAATTCTCCAAACTATAGTATTACAATTTAATTACATTTTAGCTGAGTGAAAATCGTCACAAAGAAGAATTTACTTCATGTACCATTCCAGACATTTAAGTGTCGAAAGATTTTTAAAAGCCCGTTTTATGTCTTATTTTCATGGAAAAAACGGTTGTGTAGATTTTAAAAAGGTTTGGAGAATTTAATGTTAGAGAGTGTCGCACAGTTTCCGTCGCCTTCAGTGAAAACCATAATTATCTTTGAGGTATGAGATTTTGTTCAGGATTCTTTGCATGTTAGAGGGTTAGACAGTAGAAGGAATGTAATAAGTAACACTTCATACACAAATTACGCAGTTTGTTTCATCAACCTTCAACAATGTTACCGAGTCACTTTTAAGTATTTTATTTTTAGTCTTAAAATAATACGTAATGGATTTATCTTGAATTCTACATTTCTTGCACCCAAAACCCATGTTGACAGCTGTCCAGGATGGGTTGATTCTGCGTGTGCGTGTGTGATATGTGCGAGTAAAAGAAGATGATATTATTGCTTCCTTCGAAATCACAGTCAATGTAGCCTAATAATTACCTTGATTTTTAACATTGCTTGTTGAAATCTATCTTCCGTCAACATTTCCAGTCAGTAGAATTCTATAAGAATTTCTTTTATTGATATGAAATGACAGAAAACGAGACATGATACTATTTTATACTATCTTCAACGTGTGATAGATTATTAAGTTGTGTGGATCTTAATTATCCTACGTCATTTCTTAATGATGTGTACATTACAGAGCCAGCGCCACCAATCGGAGTAAATCTGCCATCTTCCGACCAGGAAAGTATCACAGTAGAATGGATGTCACCCAACCCTCCTCTAGGCAGGATAATAGGTTACTACATTCTCTACTGGGAGACGTTTGGTAATAGTTCCACGCCCAGTAACGTCACCATCCCGTGTTGGGACGGGCTGTGCTCTGACATTAACTACAGGCTTTCCGCAGATATTCACGATCTCCGGCCGGACACGAATTATTCCGTTCAGGCAAGTGTGATTCGTGAAGGCGTTATCTAACAGGGATCTGTACATTGATAAGGATATACGCATGATTTGATAACAAGAAGTGACGTGAATGATAAATTTTTTAAAAATGTTATCGAAAAGAGGCATATTAAAGCGTGTGGCCTTGTACTCATCAGAATAAAACCCAATAAACGCAAATTATACCACAGAGCTCGGAACTAAAGGGAACAGAGCGCGCAAAAAGGAAACGAACTATGATTAGATGCCGATGAAATGTGGACATGAGCCTAGCAGTTACCGGCCACTCTACCAGGCTGTGAAAATGGAATGGACTCACCAGACCAAGCGCGTACGCAGGGGGGTGGGGGTGGGGGGGTAGGGCGGGGGTAACAGCACATTTTGTTTTGTGTCCCAAAATTTGAAAATTGGGCCGATCGAATATTTGGTTTCCTCGGGGGGGGGGGGGTTTCCACCAAAACACACATAAAACAAATTAAAGGGGGGTTCAACCCCCCCCCCCCCTGCGTACGCGCTTGGTGTGGTGAGTCGTGTGACCGTTATGGTGTGAAGAGGGGTCAGGTGACAAAACATAAGGGAGAGGGATTTCTTGTAAAAGGGTGTCGGAGTGAACAAAGGGAGTAAATGACTGTTGCATGTGGGGGATGTGAACATGAAAAGAAGAACATACTTGGTGGTGAATAGGAACGCAGAGTCTATAGAAATTAAAGAGGCTAATTAAACCATTGAATCATTGAACTTACAACTTTTAGGAAAACAAAGTGAACTTCAAAGGTTAAATTTGAGTACAATACGCAGCCCTACATTGGTATCTTTATTCTTTCTGATGAAATGCATACATGATAAACCATTCGTGCTTATTGGAAAAAAATGTGCGAGGATGCCCATATCTTTTCCGTCCATCCATTCGAGGTCAATCTCTAAATTATCGATAATTTATTCTACTCTGTAAGTCATTCCCCATTCTAACTCTCCTTTTTATATCACAATGTTTTTCTTTCAACTATACAGGTCAGGGCGGAGACCATTCGTGGTGTTGGTAACTCAAGCCCGGACCCACCAGTTGTCAGGATTACATCAGAAGGAAGTACGATATCTGTCTTCTCATTTCTATAATGCCCCCATGTAGATCAAAATGATCATTGTAGAAATATACTCACCCCCATTAAGAAAGGGAAAGAAAGAAAGAAACGTTCAGACACAGGGAAACATAAACTATACAAACATCACATGTTCAGAGAACACGATCGCATAGACTTTCAAGAAATACCGCATCGTATTGGCTACGTAGAAGACATCGTCAGATTACGTAAGAATGTCATTGAAGCGTTGAAAAGAGTTTGCAATGTTAACAATATGACTGTTTACCCAGGTTAGCCTCATTAGTATTGATACTGTTCACCCTGAGGGCCCCATAACTATTTCAATACCCATCGGCTTTAGCCGAGCTACCATGAAAAGGTGCTCAAGCATTCTAGGAATTTATCCCTACAGGGTACCCATTTACCTCACCTGGGTGCAGTGTGGCAAATGTAGATTAATATCTCGCCAAAAGACATTAGTGCCGCGGCGGGACTCGTGGTATGGAAGTGTACATGTACATGATGTATTTATCCATGGGTGTTTCTTACGATAGCATGATATCCCATAATCCCCGAGGAATAACAGGTGTAATGTTCAGTGCATGCAAAGAGTGACCGCGTGGGCACCCAAAACACAAGATGATGCATCCAATCCCCAGGTATTAAGAAAGTAATCAATAACGAATATTGAAAATCTTTCAGCCAAATCTCAAACTTAACCTCCAGCACAAATGACACTGATCTACAGTAGATGTTAATTCACTGAAATTCTCTGCATAAATACAGTGTTAAACAATGCATAGAGAAACAAATTTGTCAACGGAATGATTATTTTGTTTTAGGTTCAAAATCGAAATTGGACAATCGTACACAAAAAATTTGACTTGTATTGCACTTTTTTAATGATCTTATTTCCTGCTGTATAGTTCCTAGTGAGCCCCAGGCGTTGGCTGTTTCCAGCAGATCAAAATCGTTACTGATTACCTGGAAGGAGCCGAGGTACCCCCGTGGAAGAATCATCTCCTATACGGTAACCTCAATACTATATTACCAGGAAAGATCTCCTATTGCTTTATGTGTATCCGAACTGTAATCCGTTTACTAACCTTCTCTTTGGAGTTCTCTTCTATATCAGGCAATATTTTTTCTAAGTCGAAGTTTCCAGTATTTTCGGTTAGACTAGGTGACTAGGCTTTATCTGATTGCTTGAATAGGACTGTTATCTTGATATACAAATATAGTTAATCCATTTAAAAAGGAAACGCATTTAAAAAATAAATATATCAACGAGCAGGAGGTAATTCACGACCCACATTAATCATTTCTGAATTACTGAATCATATGCTGAAGTATAGGTACAGTTGTGGAGTTTTAGATGAGTCAAATAAGCTTCACAGTGTTCATGTAGGTTACCAGTTGGCTATTCAACTCTCATTAAAAAGAATCGTTTGAACGCCCACTCCCCTCCCCCCCCCCCCCCCCCCCCAAAAAAAAAAAAATTAAGCAGATGCATTTTACCGATCTTTTACAATGAAAGGACACAGACTTTTCTAGTTGTTCCCGAGTCAAATTGCAAATATCCATAAGGTGACCTTAATACACATCAGTTGATGATAGTATTATTCACAATTGCGTTATCTTTTTCTTTCTCTCTCTCTCTCTCTCTCTCTCTAACTTTTTTTCTCTCTTTCTCTCTCTCTCTCTAACCTCGCTCTCTCACTCTCTCTCTCTCTCTCTCTCTCTCTCTCTAGCTGGCTTACAAAGTAAAAGGAAAGCCATACGACAGATCATTCCAGCCAGAAAAATCATTTACGATGAAAGAGATAGCGGGAGCCTCTTTGAGCTTTGAACTTGATGATCTGGAGCCAGCTACACTCTATGAGGTCTACGTGGTAGCGTCCACTAGCAAAGGGGAGGGAGAGTCTAGTCAGCATGTTGATGAATTTACGCAACCTCCCGCAGGTATTGGAAGAAACATGTAGGAAGTTTTGACATGACCCTCCCCCAAAAAAATAAGATAACAAATAAAATAAAAATAACAAAAAACAAATTACAAACGCAAAAAATTGCAAAATATAATAATAATAATAATAATAATCATATAAATAAATAAATAAACAAATAAATACGAATAAACAAAGAGCCTACATTAGTATTTGAGTAAATAAATAGATAAAATAAAAATATTTAAAAACGGATTATAATATTGTGAATGGTTTTTGTATTCCATCTACTGTGACAATGAAGTTGAAGGCCATTAGACAAACCCTTCAACACTAAGTTTGTCTTTGCATACATGTTAGCATTAGTTTTACAGGCGTTTAATTCTTACCATCTCTCTCTCTCTCTCTCTCTCTCTACGTGCCATATCCTGAGACGTTGGCGACCATAGAGTGCCACAACTCTCTATCCCATGTTCTATGAAGTAATTCATTCTCCCCGAGATCAATTCCACATTCAGAAATCCCACTCCTTAAGCTACTCATCCACAGTATCCTCCTGTCTACCCCTACTCCTCCTCCCCTCGATTCTCCCAGTCAGTGCAAGATTTTCCAAACCATTCTTCCGTATAACATGGCCCAAGAAGCTCAGCTGTCGACTAACTCTAACCATAGACCCCACTATTTAAGCTTTTCAAGTCTCTATGACACTTCTTATCACTTTATATTAACAAATCGAGATGAAGGGGTTCGATTTATAACAGGGACAATACGTCCGGGTCCCAGTTCGTAGGTAGAAGGACTTTACTGCAACCATCTTCTACTTTTCTTTTCGAATAAGAAAAGAAGAAAATAGCACCACTATCCAACTTAATTGCTACCAGACTACATGTCCTAACCGACGTGTATGGCTGTGGACAAGTGGTCTGTTTAACGTGTGCAACTGTAAACAGAGGGTTTTTCTAATTTTAATATTGGACAAAGGGCATTGCTCAATGAGGTTTAAGTTTCATGTTGATATATCTTGTTTGTATTGTGCCATATCTGAAGAGCTTCCGATGCCCAATCCACCAGTGATAGTGTCTTCACCTGACGGTTCGCCTACCATTCAGTTTAGCGATGTGCTTGAATCTCCATATATAACGTAAGTATTCTTGCAAGCAGTGTCTCGCGTGCTCCAGCTACATATTCCAAACGATGATTGTCGACCTTAAATGATATAAATCTTCGTATCATGTTTAAAAACCATGTGTATATATAGACCACGGTTAGAAAAATACATTATGCTATTATTCTTATTATCATTATTATTATTGTCATAATTGTAGTTGTTATTACCATTAATAATACCATCATCAGTATCTTTATATTCCCATTATGTTGCCAATGCCTGTCTTCCTAACGCACTGCTCTTCATCATTATGCGCATTGCCTTTTTTAAAGGGGAGAAGCCGGGAATGCATTTAGTGAGCCAATGGGTTTCAGTACTGTCTTTTTCGGAGACAAGGTGGATGGCCATTTCTATCGTCATGTGAATCCACATTCCTGCTATATATTCGTCATAGACTACCTCCCACAACTTTTTTAATGAGCTCTTAGTATAATACTTCCTGAATGTGATCATTCTTAATTTGTGAAAGCAACTTTTTCTAGAAAGTCTGCCAGTCAGTCTCATGTCATGTAATGATGTATAAAAGCTGGAGCCCAACATTATTTCCACAAGGGCCTATATAAATTATGGTTTTCCTCGTCCTTGCTTTATAACAAAATAATACTTATTAAAATTAAGGAGGTATAATCATGCCAAATATCCCCTTGCACTCTCAGGCACATACTTGTTGCTGTTGAAGAAAGACTTCCGGTAGCAAGGCGCCGACGTCAACAGGCAGCGTATGGATCCTTTGCCGAGAATCCTTCCTCATACATAACAGCTAGCATCAGCAAAGATGATCTTCCGATAGAGCTAACTATAGGGGATAATGAGACTTATGGAATTTACCACAATGCACCCCTCAAAGACAAAGCGATATATGATGTACGAACAGGTGTTGAGAGCAACGTTGGAGGAATGGTAAGATATTAACGGTGGATATGTTCATATGTATGTCCCAAGTGATCGCCTGTCGGCCTACACTATGTAGTGGCCTACGGTTGGAAGTGATACTTCCGTGCAAATATCGGTGATAAGGAACAATAATGAGGAGCTTAAGAATGTGTGGTTCCGTCGTGTGTAACTGAAATCGTGAATATTGTCTACTCTTGTAGCTTGTACACTGTGTTCCTTCTAGATATCAGAAACATGCTATGTGCGGTTTCTATTAAAGGACAGTTTCCGTGACAAAAACACAACAACCCCTTTTTGGATCAAAGAATTCAAGTGTTATGTGTTAGCTTTTTAGAGAATTACAGTATTTTGTAATACGACTCCTACTACATAATTTGATGGACCATTAAAGAAAAAACCTTTTTTTTTAAAGTTAACCGCAATTATGAATTCAAACCAAAGTGGTCTAATTACTTGGTCCTTGTCAATACCAGAACTATTGTGGAAGTGCAGAATATTTGGCCATTGTATGTATATCGTAGAATCATTAACACGCGCTTTGCGCTTTCCTGGAATAGAAAAGGTTCTACTTTACTGTTTTAAAACTACCACTGGATAAATACATCAACATTTGATTTCAGAAAATGATTTACCGATTTCTTGTTTTCCCTTTATTCAGAAATCCACCCTTTTCGGAGATTCGACTGAAGTAAAGACAGGTAGGGAGGCTTATTTTATGAGATTTTTTAACTTTGATTTGCTTTTGCTTTTGAATGGATATTGGCCTACGTTTAAACAGATATGGCACGTTCTCGTCACTTGAACTTGTAACTTCTTTTCTGAATGAACCGATCTTTTCATTATGTTCAATATCACTGCCAAACTAGCTATGAATAAGTAAGCATACATTGTTAATAGTAAAACAGATCCGAAAATCGAAGTGATAAATGCAACCATAGATCATTGAGCCAATTTTTTAAGTTAATGGCTCTTTCCCAAAATTCCTGATTGGCATCAGTTTTGTTTGCAAGATTTTACTAGTCTATCTTATGATTATATATACTACAGTATCTATACTGTACGTTATCTAGAAGTCTACATTAATATAACAATTCAATACAAATAGAATTTAGTAATTCCGCCGAGAAAGGATTCTTTAATCTCTTTTAAAACGTATGTCTGCTCTTCGAATGAATTGAGTGATTTTTTTTTTACAACAAAACTACAAGAAACTAAACTGAAATGCTGATAAATATAACGGTATTTAATTTTCTATGTGGATACAAAACATGGTTCTCAGGAATAATTTCTCTTAGCAGTGCAAAAAAAAAAACTTTAGGTGAAGCCAATTATCACCCATTTCAGGTTTGACATTTTCATTTAGATATTTCTATGGCGGAAAATGCACTGTGCCTACTGTAATTTCAGTCAGAATTGAAAAGTTAAAATTCACCTCTCCCACGTCCTTCATCTTCCTCAGGGCCAACAGGTGGAGGTAACTCTGTAGTCCCTGTGGTAGTAGGGGTCATATTTGCTCTCCTCCTCGTAGCTGTGGTGGTAGTCGGTGTTTTATATTACAGGTAGGTTAATGTGGATGATTCTGTGCAGTATGACACGCACTACATATGTCTTTGTTTGTATTTTCTTTGTTTTAACCATTGAATAGGCCAAATGGTGCTTTCTCGTATTCATTACCGTAGGACATATAGTCATATTAGATTCTCCATTCGTGGAAGAAAATGGTACTTAGACGCATATGTCGCACGGGATAAATTATATATTGCTCGGAATATCTTATATGTCCTAATATGGTATCAGCAAGTGCCTTCATTACCGATACACGTGCGCATTATATTCCAAAAATCCGAATAGGACAACATGATAATATATATTTGGTTGGCAATTACTGTGGCTATTATGTTCTTAGTAAAGAGGAGAAAAGTTGACTTGAAAATGAAAATCTAGTACTTTATTTGCAAAGAGCAGCTCGGGTAATTAGCACTGTAGTACTGGGTAACTTTTAACAAACGTGTTGTTTCATTTTCCACACATTGATTTTAGCTTATTCAACTACAGCATGGTACCTGTTTTCCTAAAATGATAATTACAATTTGGCATATTTTAATTGTATAGTGCTGATACCTTCGGCACATAGCGCCCACCGTATTACGACGGCTATAACGATTTCGGCCTACTCAAATATTTCCCCCTTATCATACAATGACCAAGCCCTCTTACACATTGGTTTAATATGAGATAAAGGTGAAAGTTGGCCACCAAATAACAAATACCACTAACAAAAATTTGATGAAATTAAGTAAGATGAAAATACACAGCCTCTCATTATGTTGTACATATCGTACAAAAATGCCTTACGTAATTTGCTAGGCAATGCTATGGAAATGTACCAGTTAAAAGTAGCAAATGAACACACTTCTGGTTGTTACAATCCTTTTACAAACAGAAAGAGAAGAGGGAAGTTCAGTAGACTTCCAGCGTCCATCCTAAGACCGCGGAGAACCCCACCTGTCAGAACCAACAACAGAAATCAGTGAGTCCATACACCCTCTCAATTAAGTTTCGTTTATATATGTAAAAGAATTGGACATACGTTGGATAACTTGAAAAAATGTTTTGTAGATAACTAGATCGATGGTTATCAATATATAAGCCTCAGGTATTGTAACAGTATGATTCTTTGCGTTGGCTTACATGGCATTGAGAAGTAAAACGAGAAAATTACTGATTTTTCACAATTTTACAAAAGTATTCTGAAGCGTTTCTATACTACAAAAGAGGGTAAAACATCATACAATTTTTACGTAACGTTTTAATGGATTGGAGTGCATTTCAGTAATAATGGGTATGAAGTTAATTGTATAATTATAATGTCTGGGGTAAATATCAAAGAGAGATGACTACTTCGGCGCAAAAAAAAGGATTTTTTAATTTATTCTAGGTTCAACTTCCACTAGCGTTTCCCCAATAGTATGAGTTGGTAATGTGTTCCTTAATGGGCATTCAAATGCCCATCTACAAATGCATGTATATGAATTTCCAATACAAATGAGAACATTAAAGAAATCTTCTGTTTTTCCCCCATTCAGGTTCAATGACAATGTGCCAATGAGACAAGTGCATAGCCTTGGTAAGTTATGTTAAAATGTTTCAATTCATGTACACCTAAATAAACTTAATGATTTATTTGATTGAATAACTTGACTCGAGGACCCCTACAACTATCGGGATCAAGGGGCATTGGTATCATGTTTTACCCTGATCCCTGGTTTGATTTGTGGCCCGAGTTCGAGTGGAACTTTCACTTAGTCAGCACTCTCTAATGAAGGAAATACAACTATTGTTGAGATGTCATAGGCCTGATTCCTATCGACCAATCACAAACCGTTTCTGGAGGGGGAGGCAGACAGAATGTATTATGGAACACACGAGTGACTTAAGTTTGTCCTCCTTTGGTCAAATCACAACCTTTTCAAGAGTTTTTGCGCCTTTTCAGGAAAAATGTACCCCCTTAACAAGTTTAACTCCCTCGAACATGATTTCTTAGATGTTATCTACTCGATTAAAACCTCTAAAAACACCATTCTCCCGATGTCTGTGGTGTATTTGACACTCTTTATGCGTCACGTGCCTTAACGAACAGAAATGCCATTTCCACGCGTTTTTTTTTTTGGGGGGGGGGGGTTGGGGGTTGCGCGTGTGAACACCACTAAATGTGTTTAAAACCGCCTACACCATATTTTATCATCATATATTATATTTAGAACCAGGGCCATTCGAACATAGATGCTGACAAGAAATTCTGATCAATTTGTGTAGGTCGAGGTGGTACACTTCTCAACGCGCCCTCCGTTGACGGCTTAAGTAACGCAGCAGATAACGGAGAAGACGGGGCTATCTATGCTAACCTACAACCGGAAGAAAATGCACATCAGCCTATCCCACTTGACCAACTCATCACCTATGTGGCTCAGAAGAAGGCTAGCACAAAGAATGGCTTCAAGCAAGATTATGAAGTGAGTGCCGCTGGGTTTTGCCTTTTCACGTTGGAATGCAAATTAAACAGGTCGGCTATTAGGCACAATAATTTGAGAAGACATAAATTATTTCCTACATTCGTAATTATTTTGAAATATGTTTTCTTTCAATTCGATTGCAAACGGTAAATTACTGTTACTTTACCATATTTGCATTTTTAAAGATATTATATTTTGTTCATAAAAGATACGATTTGTTATATCCATATGGACATTTGTATGAACTTTAACTTTTATATGCTTCTGGTGGTTCAAATGTCTAAACGTTTTTGTTTCTTCTAAACCAGAGCATTCCAGGTGGGCAGCTTCACCCGTTGGATGTGGCTAAGAAGATTGAGAACAAGCAGAAGAATAGATACATCAACATTATAGCCTGTAAGATTATATGGTTTCCCATGTTAAAGAACGCTAACACTAGCTTAAATAATTAATATTGCTTGGTTTGGATTTAATACTAGTGGGTTTAACAATGAAGTTGTAAGAAAGGTTTACTGCTTATTGTATTACAGGAGTTTTTTAAAATAAATTTTGTCCACACATCTCTTTTTATGAGACTCTCTGGAATCTTAAAATGTTAATAATATGCTTCGCTTTAAATAAATCTTTCACTTCCATCATGGTGTTCATGAGAAAATCCACATCTTTGCGTATGATTCGATTTGTAATTATATTTTTAAACGTGCATAAATAAGCTTTATCTGCAGTCATCATGGCAACTATATATATATATATATTATAATCAAACTTTTCAACAGATGATCACTCCCGCGTCCAGTTGCCTTTTCTTGAAAACGATCCACATTCAGACTACGTCAATGCAAACTTCATTGATGTAAGTATCTACAGATTACCCCTAGAATTTAGAGCAGTCGTTATGGTGACAATGCTTTGGCGGTTTAGGTAAAACTTGCTCCATACATATTCTTAAAATATGTATTTTTTCAACGTATCCAGAAACAATTTTATATTACATGTATTATATAATTTTTCTCTATGGATAGTCATTTCATACCTGCTATTGTAGAAAGTGCACCAAACTACACTTCTGAAAATTATATTTTATTCTCTAACAATATTAAATATGTATCTGTGTTTTTCCATCATAAATATATGAACATACTCGTTTAGTACTTACCTGTAGGCCCAGTCATTCATGTTGATTGAAATTGATTTCTATATTGTTTATCATTCATTATTTTTTTTTAGCACACGTATGGTGGCAGGAAAGAAAAAATGTGTTGATATAGACTTATTAATGTCAAATATGTTTTGGTTCTACAGGGTTACAATTACCCAAGAAGGTACATCGCAGCCCAAGGTAAATATATTTCCAGAAAAATAAATAACCGGTAACTTTTACAGTGTGTAAAATGAGTACATGAAATAGGCACAAAAAGTGTGTAACTCAACATCACTAGCATCTTTTGCATCAGCATTAAAATTAAAACATCAAATCAATTAATCATAACCTAGGATATAATATATCTTTATATATCCCAAAATACTAAAAACAGAAAAATAATTTAATCAGGTTGTAATAAGTAGATTTATTGCAGATATGAAATAGAAGGATTCCCTGTTTGATAAGTGTTGGTATATTTTCTAATTACAATCCAGAGATTATTGATCATTTGCTTCTGAAAATCAATCCAATCTAGTTCAAGGCAATCTGATCCACAACTTATAATAACCCATGATCTCAATCACATTAGGTGGGTGCTCTAGAATTTCTTGACCTAGCAGGCAAGAAACTTTATCTGGAATAGCTTGCCTTTTGCTTGACCCGCAAGTGTAATACTTTGTTAGAGCCATGATAATCTTCTGTAACGCACCTGCACAATGATTTTTTCAATTGGATTTGTTTTATTATTGAGCAATTATCCACTAACAATAGATGGCCTCCTCGTAATGAGAAACATATCACAACACCGACCGCTTGTAATCTGCTGATAGTAATATAAAAAAGCAGTTACCATCTTCATACTTATAATTGCAGAGAAAATACTTAAACTATAATCAACTTTACGTGGAGTATCCACATGATTAAAATATAGAGAAGGCCCACCTCTCTTCAGATCATTTTCATCCACCAGTGCTTGCAATTTTAGGTCATTTTTGGTTGCAAAGTTGCGTTATCCTAAGAAGTCGTTTAAACAATGAAAAAAGAAGTCTATTCATTTATGGAATTTTCTACAATCACTTTGACTGACAGTAAACAATTTTGATATCTTTTTCACAAATTACAAATGCCTGAGTTTATGTTTTTAACATTTCATTCACTAGGTCCCAACGTAGCATCGGTGAAGGATTTCTGGCGTATGGTATGGGAAGAAGACTGCGGCAAGATTGTCATGCTAACCAATACGGTAGAGGGTGAAAAGGTAACAAAATTTGTCTCTTCTATATATCCGCCAGTTGATTTTGAATTCATCTGCATTATTTTGGCATACTCGATGGATTTCAGCCTCTATGCAAAGGAAATGTCTAGATTTTTTCTACATTAGTTGCCTAAAGGCTATGATCTTGATTTTAGGTTTTGTCGTGAGAAAAAGACGTTTGTCTCGTCGCCATGTAACTTTTAATACTGTATTATCTCTTAGCATCGTTTCATCGTTCAAAATTACTTTCATGCTTTGTCTATATAATTTGTTTCAAATGAAACACAATGGCAGCGACCCCTTCGTACCTATTCTTGATCAGTTCGTGCAGTTTAGTTTTATTTATGCCATTATCAAACTTATTGTGTCTTTCTTCTTCTCATAGAGAAAGTGTGAGAAATACTGGCCTGACAAGAAGATGATATATGGAAAAATCACCGTAACGATGAAGAGTGAAGAAGTGAATACCCATTACACGGTCAGGACATTCAATGTCGTGGTAAGTTATTGTACAGCTTTTGAGGCTGTAATATAAATTAAAAGGTAGTTGTAGTGCAGTATAAACTAGACAATGTTTTCCTTATCACTGTAAAACGGGTATCGTGTCTTTAATTTGAAAGCATTGGTGTTAAATGGGTACCCGGTAGGATGCGACCGTCATTGTTTGTCAAACAGTTTTTGAGCGTCAAATAACGCCTGGCTGGAATGCTCCCTAGGGAGTGTAGATTGTGCACACAGTGAATGCGAGCAAGCACTGAATCCGACGACCGGGGTAAAAGTATATCTGTAAAGCGCCTAGAGACATTGTATCAAGCGCTATGTTAAAGCGGAATACTATTATTATTACAACGTAGGCATTAAAGAACAAACAATTGCCAGTACGCATGATTTGAAATTTGCCATGTTTTTTTTTCTTTCATTTGACCATATTGCCAGTTAGACTGTAGAGCTACCACACGTTGTCATACAGTATTTGATCCTGTTTCCATGATAACGATCGTCCCATGGTAAATTTATTTCGAGAACAATTTTACCGTTACCTTTTAGCCTCCCATGGTGGAAATTTTCAAAATATTTGACCAAGTTAACATTTTGGTCAAGTGAAGTTTTCAGTATGACAACACAATTACCACATATCTTGGTTTAGATCTGATTCAAACTTATAAACATAGTTGGCACTCGATCTGTTTATATTCACTGAATATATATAATATCTGTAGAAGTTTGGGGAAAACATCCGTGAAGTTGTCCAGTTCCACTACACCTCCTGGCCTGACATGGGTGTACCCAAGTACACCACACCTCTCATGAACTTCATCAGAACCGTCAAGCAACATCATACCGATAGCCAAGGAGCCATCGTCGTCCATTGCAGGTAGGTTTTTTTTTCTCATTGAAGAGAAGAATTGATTTTGTTATTGAAGGACAGCCGTACTTACCTACCAACCTCCTCGACAACTACCCCCCAAAAAGACCATTTACTGAGCTGTGACATGCTGAATAGCAAATTCACCGGGATTGACATAGCAGATGCTTTTTAATACGACGTGTCTCTTACTTATGCTAGATATTTGGAAATAGTTTTGTGAAGACTCGATATAATAATGATATAAACATCTATACTGAGAAACATAATCTCATCAACGACACCCCCATTATCACTATGAACATGACTGACAAAGAAAGCGGACAAAATATACAGTTCCTCAGGTAGACAAAGGAACATCCCTTCACTGCTATTATGTAAAAATGTGTAGAACAGGTATCACATGCATATTCACCTTTTTACATAATAGCAGAGAAGGGGTGTTCCTTTGTCTACCTGAGGAACTGTTTATTTTGTCCGCTTTCTTTGTCTGTCATGTTCATAGTGTATACTCCTCAATTCCACTATTCTTATCAGGCCTTCCATTCCTGCAATTAGTAATGTACATGTATGAAGTGCATTAACATGCAGTCATATCAGGGTGATCTATATACCTTGATTGGGTCTTAAGTGTATGATTAGGGTTAGGATAGTGTGAGGGTGTGAGGGTAAGATGTTGGGTGTAAGTAGTTCTGAGATGTAGTCTGGACACATGTTGATGAGAGATAGGATTATTATACCGTAATTGCTGGGGAGAAACAGTGTTGGATACTCTATACAGAAATCACCCACATACCCATATTTTTTTTTCGTAAAAATCTGCTATAGTCATGATCCTCTGCATTAGATTTGCATTTTCCATTTTTACAGAACAATGACAAATTTGAGATTTGTTTCAATGTCTGTAACAATACACATCCCGCTTGAAGGGTCCTTAAAATTTAATCATCTACTTTGTCTTTCACCGTTTTAGCGCTGGTGTCGGGCGTACAGGAACGTTCATCACATTGGATGCCATGTTGGACCAGGCAGAGGCAGAGAATACCATAGATGTCTACAATTTCATCACGGGCATGAGGCAGAATCGAATCAAAATGGTTCAAGTAGCGGTGAGTTTATTCACTGCAATGTTAATCTCACAGGGTAAAATAAAGCGATTCATTACACCTGTTATACAAAAAAAATGAAATGGATTTATATAAACAAATTGTTGTCGGGCAGGTCCAAATGATTTTCCCATACGTTACCGAACACGTCTAAGACTATATCTGATCATCGCATTGAGTTAATAGCACCTCTAAAAGGTCAGATAATGACACATTTGATGTCAATGTAGGTGTAGAACTACATATTACATATATGCAACATTTAAAGACATATCTCAGCTTGAATGGTGAATATGAATGTTTATCCCAATGAAAATACGAATGACCAGCTTATTATTGAATTTTTTCTCCGATATCATTAAATTCTTTCAACTTTGACAAAAAGGCCCAACATGATTTACAATGAGTTATATGATGATATGATGGTATGGTATGGTATGGTATGGTATTTATTTCATTCTTCATAAAAAAACATATACAATACATACAGAGTATTAAAAAAAAAAGAGAAATATATAAATACATGTAGAAGGGTAACATTACAGATAATATGAATAAAATAAAAATAACAAGGAAACTAGTTAAGAAAGAAAATTTATGTCGAATGAGGGGTCAACAAAAAAGAGCATTTAGCCTTGTTAAACGTTGACCCCTAAACAAGTACGTAATTAACATAACATTAAGAAGAAAAAGAAAGCAGGTAGAAACAGTAAAACGGAAAAGGAAAACATTATACAAAAAAATAACATATATATATATACTATGATATTCAGGTTGTTGAGTACAAATTTGATAAAAACAATCGGAAGGAACGTTTAAAACTATTTAAGGAAGGTTGATTCTTTAGATGGTTTGGAATCGTGCTCCATAGATGAGGACCTTTATAAAAAATAGTAAACTTTGAAATATTAGTTCTAACTTTTGGCAGATGGTATTCAACAGCATTACGTGTATTATAATTATGTATGTTACTATTTAAAATAAATTTTGATGTAATCGGAGATGGTAATAAGCCTCTAGAACACATAAACATAAATATTGCAATATTCAATCTATTAATGTCATAAACATTTAGGAGATTTAACCGGGAAAAGATTGGCAAAGTATGAGCATGATATGGTGAATTAGAAATTATTCTTATGGCTTTTTTCTGCAAAACAAATAGTTTAGTAATAAAATAATCATGATTGTTTGACCAAGCAATATTACAATAATTGACATGGGAGAAAATCAATGCATAATATAACATAACTAAAATATGTCTTGGAAAATGTCTCAAACGGTAAATAATGCCAACAGCTTTGGCAACACGATTGCATACGACACCAACGTGTTCATGCCATGTTAAAGATTCATCGATATGAACACCTAAAAATTTCACACAAGAAGTACGATTAATTTGATGACCATAAAAATTGATTGCAAAATTATCTTCAATACGTCGTTTAGTGAATACAATATATTGGGTTTTAGCAACATTCAAAACTAGTTTATTGTTGATCAACCATTCACTTAATTTATTTATTTCAGAATTGAATGAATCAACTAGCGTACGGAGATTATTATGAGACATGAACACGCTGGTATCGTCTGCAAATAATATAAAATGTAACAAATCAGATGAACTCACAATATCATTAATATAAATTAAAAAAAGTAAAGGACCAAGTATTGAACCCTGGGGCACTCCACAACGAATGGGCAAATATGAAGATTGTTGATTTTGAATAGAAACAAATTGTTGACGATTTGATAAATAATCTTTAAATAATTGCAAAAGAATTCCACGAATACCATAAGCCTCTAATTTACGTAACAAAATTACATGATCTAAAGTATCAAAGGCTTTACTTAAATCAAGAAATAAACCAATTGTGAACTGTCTAGAATCAATTGCATAAGAAACTTTATCAATGAAATTAAGAAGAGCAGTCGTTGTGGAGTGTCCCGTTCGGAAACCATGTTGATTTTCAGACAAAATATTGCACGATGTTAAAAAAGTACTTAAACGCTTATATAAACGCTTTTCAAAAATTTTAGAGAAAATAGGGAGGACAGAAATAGGCCGGTAATTATGTACATTAGTGCGATCACCACTTTTAAAAACTGGAATAACTTTGGCTATTTTCATTTGATTAGGAAAAATACCAGTTGACAAACAAGAATTGAAAATAGAACAAAGAGGTACACAAATCAAATGTATAATTTTCTTGACAACAGTAATATTAATATCATCATAACCAGCACTGGTATTCTTCAAACAACGAACGATATCGATAATTTCTTTACATGATATAGGAGTAAAATATGCTGATTTGTCATTAACAAATACATTATCATTGTAGAAACTGTTGGAATATTGCACATTGTTTGTCAGATTGAAACCAATATTAACAAAATATTCATTAAAGCTTTTAGAGATATCTTCTTTGTTTGTAATTGTGGAACCATTTACATCAATTTTTTCAACACAATGTTTGACAGATTTCGTACCAAGTTCTCCATTAATAGTCTTCCAAATTAGTCTAATATCACCCTTATCATGATTAAATTTATCCTTAAAATATTGATATTTAGCTTTCTTAATTTCATTTGTAACTTTATTTCTGTATTGTTTGTAAACTCTTTTCCTATATTCAGTTGAATTTTTCAAAGATTTTTCATACAATTTCCATTTCTTTTTAATTTTTTTCATCAATACTTTATTTATCCATGGTTTATGCTTACGTCTATTAACATTTATTTCTTGCAAAGGAAAGCATTCTTCATAAATGCGAATAAATTTTGACAAAAAGCAACTATAGCTCACATTACAATCACTTGATTTCAAATTCCATCTGACATTTTGCAATCGTTTACTGAATTCAAAAATATTACTATCATTAAACTGTCTTTTGCTTATTACATATTTCTTTTCCTTGATTTTATGATGACAAACACTAAATACAGGAAAATGATCTGAGATATCAACTAAAATAGCACCGTTTAATTTATTAGTAACATCATTAGTAATAATATTATCTAATAAAGAAACACAACGATCGGTCACCCGAGTAGGGTGATGAATGAGTGGATACATAGAAAAAGTTACCAGCATATTTAAAAAGTCATTAGCTTTATGACAAGATGTGGTATTTAATAGATTAATATTGAAATCTCCCATCAGATATACCATTTTATTCTCTGTGTTTATTTTATGAAGAGCTGAACCAGTTATATCTAAAAATTCTTGCACAGACTGATCAGGTGGCCTATAAATTACTCCTATAATTATGTTCTTATTACATACATTCTCTATTTCAATAAATATACTTTCTATTACTCCATTGTTAATATCTAAATCACCTCTATGTTTATGAATCAGATTTTCCCGAATGAACACACCAACACCCCCTCCTCTCCTCTCAGCTCTACTATTATGTAAAAAGCTAAAACCTTGAATATTGCACAATAATGAGTTGTCTTTCAGCCAAGTTTCAGTTACGCCCATAACAGAAAACTGAAAATTCAGACTATTTAACAAAGCAGAAATACCATCAAAGTTACTTAGAATACTACGACAATTCATATGTAATATGGAAAAATTTGTCGAGTTCAAAGAATATTTCAAAAGGGTAGAATTAAGGTCATCAGGCAAATAAAAAGATTGATCTATTCCAAACGTCTCATTATCTCCAATCATAGGTGACAAAATATGGGAAACTGTACTCAAATCAACATTACTGATCGCACGTTCATATGATGCCCGAAGGGTCATCATTCACACGTATACACATAAATACACAAGAATAAATATTCACAAAACCAAAGTTATTACTACTATTACATTGAAAAAAAAAATTAAAAAAATGTTCCAGGAGTACAGAGTACTGCAGATTTGGAATGCACCACAGTAATTGCATGATTGATAACAATGGGGAAATGGGTCTCTGTAGAGTCAGTGATAGCTTCAGTGCTAGAGAAAAGTCTTTAATAGTCACTTTAAGTCATTTTCGCTCGTAATTAATCGTTTAATTTGTTTGCCTCCACTCGTTGGGAAGAGGCCGAGTATTCTGCCATCGGAAGACCATGCGGTAAGTGTCTTCTCACAATTTTTCGCTTTTGCTAGTAAGTTAGCGTTTGTCTTGGTAAGGTCCTCGTCGATCCCCATTCTTGTGCCTTTCAGTTCGCGTCGCTTTGACAAGACAAGACTCCGCATACGGTACGACACGAATTTAGCGATGATGACGTCAGGTTTTGTTCCGTCATTGCGTTTGTTGCTTCTTGTTGAACGGGCAGGGGGATTCACAGATTCCGTAGTCTTTGTAGGCAGGCGGTGTGATCGTTCGATGTCCTCTTTCTTCAAGGTCACTTTGAGCCTTTCTCGAGCAAGCTCACAAATGAGGTCATCAGTGTCCTTTCCCTCTTTGTGTGCGACACCGTAAAAACGCAAACAATTGCGTCGCGAGTATTGTTCTTGGATGTTGGCTGTGCGCTGGACCCTGGTCAGCGATGATTGTTGGTCTTCAATCAACTTTTTTAGATCAACGATCTCCTTCTCCCTTTCATTGAAACGACATTCTAGGTCCATGATCTTCCCTTCATTTATATCAATTCTATTCAAAAGCACGTTGATCTCTTCATGAAGGGCTTCACGGACTGTTTGTCGGATTGAATTAAGAAATTCTTCTCCCTTTATGTACCGCTGGATAGCGTCATTAGCAACGGATTTCTCCGTATATCTGATACTATTCATCATAATCGCTATCATTAATTTGGCGTATGGGACATGTTTCACGAAGCCGTCCTAAGTACAAGTTCGTCGACGTCCCAATGGAATGCGTGTATTAAGCTCGACACCTGCTTCAAAGGGTTGTTGGTGAGCTTGTACTTTAATATGACGATTTTTTTTTAAACAGTAGCTTGTTGTTTCCTTGCAGGAGCAATACCAGTTCATCTACGATGCCTTGTTGGAGACCTTTGTCTGTGGTGATACCAGCATAGCTCAAGATCTTTACCTTCAGCGATACCCCTCCTTGCTAGCTCCTAGTCCTGATACCGGCTCCACACTACTACAGGAACAGTTTGAAGTAAGTTCTCATCGAGTTGACTAAGCTACCCCTTTCTTAACTTACACCAGAAATATGAGTGGAATGAATAGAAAACTTGTACAGAGTAATTTCAGGGAGATGATTGGACCATTGAACATTATATTCTCATCAAACAGCTATTTGCTTTGAGACTGTGACCGATAAATGTATTTTGGGCTTACTTCTCACTGATAAAGTTATTTTGTTATTGTTCCATGTGTTTATTACAATGTGAGAATAATTATGTATTATTTTATAAGATAAATAATTCTTACTGCAAATATCGACAGTATGATGATTTGAATCAATCATAAAAATTTAATTTATGCATTTTCAGTGCTCTTAATTGTTCGGCTGTACGACATTTGCTCCTGTGACTATTGATGCGCGACCATTTCCTACACAAACCATATCTCGACTCCAACTCTGACCCCTATACTTCACCCAACATTAACCCTAAACCTAACCTGTAATCCAATGATAACCCTAACCCTAGCTCTTTACTTTTGAGGAATTAAACCGCCGGCGGAGAAATTGTCGCAGGAGATAATGTCGAATCGCCTGTTATTCACGATGAACAAAAACTATAAGCTTAGAGATGAATCGAGATTTCGTTAATTTTGTATTTTGTTTGTATGTTTTAGCGTCTAGACATGTTTACCATCAAGCCGAGAGATGATGAGCTGAGGACCGCCAGGAATTCGATGAATGTCCACAAGAACAGATACCATGACAAGCTACCAAGTTAGTCCTAGATCATTTGCCACTAGATAGATGAGAAGACGAAGCTACCTTTGTTGTATCAATACTGCAAAGACAATCACGTGATTTATCCTACTTCAAGAGAGTCGGATGAAATCCTAATAACAAGGATATCCAAGCTCTTTAAAATTCCCAGCAAAATATGTTTGTTATACATGTTAAAAATGAAACAGAAGTATACAAAAAACTTTAACAGAGTGTCATGTAACTCTTAGCATGCTGATAAGCATTTTGACAATAATACATGTAGGTGTAGGTAACGCCCTTAGCAACCTGATATTCCCTTTGCATGATATTTGAAGAGACTCACTACCATTACTATTTCATTTTCGGTGAATATCCTCTAATTGTTTTCCTCCCTTGTGCGACTTACTTTATTCTCTGTTGTCTTTTGTCTCCTATTAGCGGACAAATCTAGACCATATCTAATCACAGAGGTGGAGAATGGAACCAACTATATCAATGCCTCTTTCCTACCTGTAAGTACATATTTCTAAACATCAAAACATCAAATCATCTGTTATATATGTATCCCTATTTCATCATAGTCTGGTATATAAGATTTCAGCAAGGGCTCTAATTGGACTACACAAATCACTTTCCAGGACAATTGCAAACGCTACTTTGAAATCAAGTACATTATCATTTGACAAATACTGTATTTAATTACTTTAAACAAATCATTAGGAAAGCAGATACCACGATGGTCACTAAATATTAAGGCATGAATTTCCCTTCATTTTAGAAACATTAATTTTAGACTTCTGATTTCCAAACCATTGTATCAGACTAATACAGGCTTAGTGCATATTGCAAGAAGTACAATTTTGAATCTATTTCTGGCACATAAGAGCAAGTTTTGCTCTGGTTGATATTCCTGCACCTTAAATGTATCGTTTAACATGTTTAGGGGCCGCAGTTTTCAGGGTTCTAATTCCATGGTGTCCATCCGACATCAGAGGATCATTTGGGGGTAAATTGCATATCAAAGAAGTTTACACGGAGTGAAATATTCAGATGTATTTATCAAACGAATTATATGGGATAAATGAAATTCTCCTGTATGGCTTTCTCTTGAAATTTTAAAAGGAAGGAAAGATAGACAATTCACTCCCGCTATTTTAAATTGTAGACATTCCATAGTACTAAATTGTTCATTATTGTCTCACTTTCACTATAGGATCACGGGTTGTGAGACGGGGGGGGGGGGTAGAGTGATTCAGTTCGCTTTTCCCCTTCCAGGCAAAGGTGGCGCCAAATACTTGAATAAATGATAATAATGATACTATTTTTCTCTGATAGGGATACACCAAGAAGGACATGTTCCTTGGTACCCAGACGCCTCTCCCAAACACAGTGGGAGACTTCTGGAGGTTGGTCTTTGACTACAAGATTTCCACCATCATCATGCTCAATGGCTTAGCCTCAGAGGACCAGGTATCTATTCTCCCAGACTCAAGATAATTCATGTAATACATTGTTATCCTCATGAAAGAATGATAGTGGACATTGTAAATTGTAAAAGCTACGGAATGAAATTTCGAGAGAATGTGTTAACGGTATGATGCAGAACAGTTTAATTGAGAATTGCACTTATATATTCAGCGTAATTTTTTTATTTCTTTTCACAATTTTCTCGATTTCTCATTGTATGACAAGTGCGATATCTGCCTAAACTTAAGATTCAATCCCATTATCTACATAATATCTGTTCAATAGTTAACCATGCTTTATAGAGATCTGCGTCATATTCGTAAAAAGATATGAACATGTATTGGTTTGGAGAAGAAACAAAATCCACCGGTGGGCCTATTATTTCAATTCGGTGTACTAACTTTGGATTTTTCATTTTTCTATTTTCCTCCAATAGTCAATGGCCGAGTACTGGCCGGATGAGTCTGAGAGTGAAGTCACGTTTGGTCCTTTCACCATCACACTCATTGATGAGGAGCACTATGATGAAATATCATGTAGGACTATGGAACTCAGAAGCACTACGTCCAAGGTACGTAGCTCGTATGATCGTACGAAATCTGGTCTGGTAGGAATTGTTGAGTGGTCAATTTATTAGGGTACAATTTTCTAATTCCTGACTTCAGCTGTGAACCCAAGACTAGAACTTACTTTTTTAAATCAAATATTATTATCAATTTACTTATGAGCGCCTCAAGTTGTAAACATGCCTGCCTTACCTACTACACCTGATATTAACCACACTCATTATGCAAAGTTTTACTCAAGACATGAACTGACATCGATGTATTTGATTATGTGTGATATTATGATTGTGGCAACCACAGTCTATTCATATACGATTTTAGTTATTTATCGGAATATCCAGCTCCATTATGTAAATTAGTTCAACTATTGTTATGTATTTTTTTTTTTTTTTTTTTTAAATCCAATTTTGTTGCAATAAAGTATTATTCATAATACTTCAACGCCTCGCCTAACTTCAAACCCAATCGCAACCAAAACTCAAACCCGTTATCATTTACGAAGATCATCGAATCACTAATTTGTAAATGTTTTGATTAACACGAAATCTCTCTCTCTCTCTCTCTCTCAAAAAGAAAAAAAGAGGAAATTATGCTTAGTAACGCAAATGAAAAGTCACTATATCAGTTCAGGCTTATGACAGTGAATGATATTCTAACATTACTTATGATTACTGTGAACAGATGGATCATCAGAATAATTCTTGACATGAGTTATTTTTTTCTACCTATACCAAGATATTCATTCAGCTTCATTAGATCTAACAGTGTCTCGTTTCAAAATGTAGATGTAACATATGTGTTGTAATGAATTACTTATACTTGTTACACAACGTGAATTCAATTTCCTATTCATCCATTGTAGTCTCGAGTTCAGACCGTGTACCAACTGCAGCTCACCACATGGCCCATAACATCTGAGATATGTGCCTCGGCCATCTCCTTTATGGAGCTTCATCGCAGGGCTATGGTATGGAATGAGGCCAATGCTAAAGATGCACCGATCATGGTCCATTGCAAGTAAGTACAAGACTTACTTTACGGAAGAATAGGAATTTCACATGGAAATGTATACACTTGTTTATACAGCGCAGGAAAGAATAAGATCAATAGGAAAATAGAGGGGAAGATGAGGGGTGGGGTGGCGAGAGCGAGAGAGAAAGAGAGAGAGAGAGGGAGAGAGGTTGAACTTGGCAGAGATAGGAACATATAAGTTATTAACTAATTTTCTTTTTCATGTGATATAAAACCTGTAGTTCATCATCTTATTACCTTGTGGTGAATACAATGTTCCCTGCAATGGTTGGATCTTGACGAATGTATTTCACACAATGATTACATCTTGACGAGTGTGTGTGTAAATTTTTCTTGTAGGGATGGTGAAGGAGCTACAGGAACATTCTGTTCTCTTTCATCGGTGCTAGAGAGACTAAACGTAGAGAAACTGGTTGATGTCTTCCAGGCTTGCAAGAAAGTTAGGGCAATTAGACGAGGGGCAGTGGCATCATTGGTAAGAGACTGGAAAATGCGGTTCTAAACTGCACGACCAGTTCTTCAAAGTTCGTTCATCAAAATGTAATACAATGAAATATGTATGTTTTGTCAAAGTTTACTTAAAGTTTGAATTTACAACATGATGACATGATTTATGCAATTGATCTCCTATATTTCCATATCTTCATATGATAAGACGGGCCATTATTTATTTCAAAATCAAATTCAAATCAATATACAGTCAAGCGCAATCATTTTGCGTCGCCGTTTACCACGTCCAAGTGTGATTGGTCAATTAAATTCGAATCTCCATTTCATAAGCCGCCAACCGGATCATATCAAACATCTAGGGTTACCGGTCTTCTATTCAAGATGTAAAACTATTAAAGGCTCTCTGTTATTTTAAATTTCAAGAAAAATGAAAACTGAGTTTGTATGCTTTTATATGTTCAAAAAAATCTTTGAGGTTCGGAAAAAGACTTTTATTTAAATCAAATATTTGTTTTATTCCAGGCCCAATATGAGTTCATCCACTCTGTTCTTCGACTGTATCTGGATTCATATGACATCTACGAGAACTACCGGACATAGGATGGTTCTGTTTTAGTCAGCACGCTCATCCAGTTATGAATAATGTGGGATGTCAAAGTGGATCTGCCTTGTAATTTCAGCATTCATATCGTCGAATGAGTCGAATGGTTAATGTTCTTGATTTGAAATTTTAAAGAGCACTTTTACACATAATGTGCTACAGATTTGTATTTTGTAATGATTACTTTATTCATGTTGATGGGAATAGCCTAATACCTTCTTTGGATGTATATAGAGTCCCTTTAGCGTAGGGTTAATGCTATCTTGTATCGAGTTTTCGTAATATCGAGATGTTCTTGCTATAACATGTGTGCCATCATAATAAATACAACTATGGCTTGTGAATTTTAGTTAAATGTGGAATAGGAGAAAAACACTTGTTTTAAACTTAGGTGAATAGTAATAATAAAACGTCGTCTTTCTGTTTTCAATTCCACGTACTCAAGGATAAATTTTCTTTAACAAAAACACAATGGTTATGAATAATTCTGAATATTAGCCTTAACCTGTTAACTCGTCGCTTTAAAACATGAAATACGATGACACATGAATGGACTGAAGAAAAATCAACCTTTTTCTAATTCTTCAGGTTTACAAATAATGTGAAAGAGTTATTTTATGTCGGAACTTAATAGGCATCCAAACACCTCGTACCATAAAAAAATCATATACTCTGTTGAAGGTAATCACAAATTGCAATATATCAGTGCATCAATATTATGTAATAGTATGTATATATCTATGGTATGTCTAAAGTTTTACTTCTGTGCCCTTTGGCGGACATTTATATTGCCCTATTTTTGTTCTGTGTATCATATATGCAATACTAAAAGTCTATGCATCCGAAAAATTTCCTTGCATGTATCATATTTTAGATTTAGTCGTCCGTCTTCATCACTGTTGTACTTTGTAAAACGTACTGATAACTTAAAGGTGAAGACCAGTAAAGGTAAAGACCAGTTATGGTCATGCGATTGCATTGTAAAAGAAACGTTGTGGAATCGATCAGAAAAGGTTGATCATCTAGCATCTAGCATCTGCAAGGTTCTGGAATCATCAAAATGATAAGAAATTTGGCCCATTCTTCGTAAAGTTACAAGCACTATACACAGAAAGATGTATATGGGACTACCCTATATCTCTCACAGTCAAATAGATATAATAATTTACCAAATATATCAATTAGTAGGCGGTTTCCCAGCAATTTTGTTATCATTATGTATTAGTCAAAACATATTCTTTCACATGATTGGTAATGAGAGCTTCCATTTCATTTTTAGAAATTGGGGCGTTTCCAATACTGGTCTTTACCTTTAACGTAAACAAAATATATAGCGCACATTGTATGGGCCATTGGTACTAAAATTGTATTGCAATAATATGTCAACATGAATTTGTGTGTAAGATTATACACTCATAAACACTTTCTAAGCATTCCAAAAGGTATCATCCTAGTCAGTACTCTCTGAAATGTTTCTATCTTAATATACATTCTTAAAATCTAATCATGAATTAAAATGTGGATTTTATGTATTTGTAATTTGAAATGCAATGTGTAAGTACAAGTACGTTTAATGCTGGTGTGCTATAACATTACAAATATGCAAGCATAGAAAAATCATACAAAAATTAGATATATGGATTTGATGTATATTATAAATGAATTTGTAGTGTATTTGTACATGTATGTTAAGGTCGTTTTGTTATTACATTAGATTTATGCCAGCATTATAATATGATGTGTTTTTGTTTACGTACATGCACATGTGTACGTACTGACTGTATATAGAGCAGATCGTCAAAATGTTGACTTAAATAAAGAATGTACACTCAGCAACAAAAACCAAAAGGAAAGTGGAATCACTCCGAATCAAAATTTTCAATATAAACCGATAATAAAATATAACAATATATATGCAAGTATAGACAAAGTATTATTCTACCAACGTCAATGAATATCAAGTTTGTAACTTTCATGCTTGGATTGACACAGATTAAGACTTGCCTTTCCGTTCCACCCAAGGTCGTGGAAGACCTAGGAGACCTCCAATGCTCACGAACATTTGAATGGCCAGATGCCCACTACGGCAATTTTTGCCACTTCCTTTAGAGACTCATTTATTGGTAAATGGTTAATATCCTCTCTCATTTATGAAGGGCAAATTCAAATGGCATATCATCTTAAGCAGAATTATGAATATACATTTATTTTGATATATGAAATATAAGTTTACATGAAGTATTGATCTTGAAATCTTAACTATGAATAGTGTCCACATTCCTTTTTTGCTGAGTATATGTAGCTGCAATGGCCAGTCATGTAAGATGCAAGTGTCCATACTACACAAATTACTTATCTAGAGAGAATAACACGCATGTAGTTGAGGTAAATTTATGATGATGTCAACTTCATGCTTGTGACTTTTTATTTACTCGGTCATTTTCCGTGTGAACCACGAAATGATTTTTAAAAATGCGTCATTTTCATAATATTTTTTTCCGTCAGTTACTCTTCAAAACGTCGTTCATGAATGTCTTTTTTGATAAGATTGTAATGTAGTTTAATGAAATCAAATTTTAGATCCCTAGATTCTCTCATTTGGTTGAAATTTACGAGCGATTTATTATTTAATCACGTACTAAAACCATGGAAAGTAGTAAAATGTAAAAAAACATTTTTATGTAAACACTGTATTTAGGTTCTGGAAATTCGTTTTGCGCTAACAATTTAAGAATTGTATACATGTACCGTGTCAGTAAAAAAAAGATTGTCATTTATTTTGAAAGTCAGCTATAAACGAAATGTTATCATACATCTTTTGAAAGAATGTTTTATCCCGAATCGTTTGTTATCATTTATGTGTGGTATGTGTTCACGCTCGGATGAATAGGAGGTATTGTTTGTGAGAGTGCAAAAATCGACTTGCGCAAAAGTATTAAATTGAGAGAATAAATTGCATGTATAAAATGAGATGCATTGCATATGCTTTTTTCAAAATCACACACAGACACACACACACACACATAAGGAGCACCCACGCGCGCGCGCACACCCACACACACACACGCACACACACACTTCCGCGGACTCGCACAAAATACACGCAGCCAAATCTTTATTACGTAATGAACATTTCTGTAAAATCGCGAATTTTCCATTTGATATCAAAAAGGAATTTTAATTTAATCATATTGCCATAATGAAAGTTTTGTACATTAATCGATTACATATACCCCCCAAAAATCACATCATTAAAGAACCGATAGTACGCCATTAGGGTCCATTTCAGAGGTTGATGGATACGGGTGGGTATAGAACTTCTGTATGAGAGTGCCCCCCCCCCCCCGGTTTCCATCCCAATGGAAAGAACGAAACAAGAAGGATCTACAACATGTTGTACAGTCATTGTGTGCAAAACGAAACATGATCCTCACACAGGCACAAGCTTATTGCAATTTTGCAAAGTTTCACCTGTTAGAAATTTTCTGTGTACAATTATAATAAACCAGGAATGTATATTGCAATTAATACGGAATATCGTCGCTGTGTTCTTTAATCAGCGAGGATTCGTCCCCGATAGATCATACAGAACGGCGAAGAAAATAATTATCTAAAATGTTGTATTCAACTTCAGGGCCCTGGGAACGATTTCTTTCACCGGGGGTGCTGAGATATATACAGTGCGTCCCAGCAACGAAACTCCGTTTCGTTGACGATCAGCCATGCACAAAGAAGACGAAATACCTGATGAACGGCTGATCTTTAACGAAACGGAGTTAAGTCTTTTGTCAACTCTGTTAGTTGCTACGGCAGGCAGCCAGTGAAAACGAACTCGTTTGATCAAATTATGGAAATGCAAGCATTACTTTAAACAAACAGAACTTTGTTATTCCTGGCTCATTTTACCTGATGGAGGTGTCATATAAAAGAAGAGAAATTGAACTTTCTAGAAATGTGATTTTCTCCTTGAAATTCAGATACCGCCCGCCAAATGACTTTTTGGCTTCCTCTCTTCAAATTGCTTTTTATCACTCATGCGTGAGATATGAATCATATGAGTTGCATCAAATGAAAGAAGAGGATCTAAGCTTTCCAAAGTCTTGTCATTAATTAATTACAATTGTGATTAAGTTATGATAAAATATCGATAGTTCTCCGTTTCGTTTTTTCTGGGACGCACTGTATATACATTCTTCTTCTTCCAAGAGTAGGAAGCATTTGCAATTTTAGAACCACATTAGGCGCATTTTCAGGCACCTCCTGGAGTAATATGACATGAAATTGCTTGTCCTACCCTCTCCAAGTGTAGGGATCTTTTGCAATTTGAGAACCACATTTGGCGCATTAAAGTCCACCGGCACTTTCTGGAGAAAAAAAAACGAGGCCTTCTGATTGGTTAGAAGTTAGAGAAAGTGATCTGTCACGTCGTGATACGTTGTAAAGACGTATAGTTAAGACAAATTAGTATTAGAAATATCAATTCAAATTCGTAATAATGTTTTCTGGAATAATAACTTGTTTTACGTGGTCAACTATCTCCTCTCTGCATTAATCTATTTCGATATCGTCTTCTGATAACTTAAATATACATGCATTATTAATAGAAGGGGAAAATGCTGATAAGGCTTCTGCTAGCTACCCTGGGATTCTGCACCATCATTGAGAGCACATCTAGGATAAAGCCGTCCCCTTCTCCGCTGCTACAAGCTAGCCTACATGCCAGTTGCAGTACTTCAGCATGGAAGGAGGGGGGGGGGGCTTGCTAAATTGGGCTAATTGCGTCAATTTCGCCCCACAAATGATTGAATATAACTGAATTCAAGCGAGGCACAGATAGAAAATTAATACAAGAACCCAAAGTCTCTCCCCCCCCCCCCCTCCCAAAGTTACCCGAAGCCCCCGTTATTTTTCTAGAACCGTGCCTGGATGTACTAAAGTTCGGAGCTGAAATAGGCTAAGTTTGTAAATCCCACCCCAAAAATTACTGTTTATAAATACATTTAAGCGAGGCTCAGATAGCAAATCAATACAAGAACCCCCAAGTCCCCCCCCCCCCCCCCCCAAGTTCATCGAAGCCCCCAATATCATTTTAGAACCGTGCCTGCTGACTGTGTCAAAGTACATGTAGGGCCCAGTCTTCAGTCAACTTAAAACTCCAAGCAAGCCTTGCCTTATGGAAGAATTAACAGATGTCCGAATAATAATCATAATTCATCATGATATCAGAGTTTTATCATCTCACGATGACGCAAGTAAAAAGAAATTTCTAAACACGATACTAATGCGTGTTTCGTCGACCTTTACGGGGAAGTTCAAATCGTGGAATTTGGAACTGCGTGCAACATGTGTATGGGAAAATATCTTAAAGGAAACCTCACCCCAATAAATAACTTTTATTTTATTCTGAGAGATTTCTTATATTCTTGGTCATTAATCTAAAAGATTCCCCACCAAAGTATTAGAGAGAGGTATAAAGCAGGAATAATATACCGTTTCTCAGCAGGACATTGGCATCGCCATTTTCTTGATAACGTGACGGTCTATGCCAAGGCGTTTATCAACTAAATGTATTCAAATGTATGGATGCTTCCTTTTCCTTACGTTCAAACTTGCATTCTGACTTGAAACGTAGTATCCCTTCCCAACAGGGGCATATGAGAGGAACAGCTAGTATCACGATTGATGGGTGCAAAATATTAATTAAGACTCAAGGCCAACTTGGATCCATTTGGACTCAATGTGATGTACATTCCTTTGTTTTTAACTTGCAAGAATAGTTCTCCATGTATGTTAAACTAGGTCCGCGGTGGCCAAACTTTGTAAACAGATGGTTCTGAAAATCGTAAAAGAGATGCGGGGGGGGGGGGCTGGGAGTCAAAGGTCTGCCCACTCGTTACAATATTTAGCGGTCACATCACTGACTGAATAGGTCCAACATAAATTGTCTAATAGGAAATAGGGTCCCCGTGCACCATCGACTTTTGTTTGTATATACCCAGCCTTTTGTAATGCTTTAAGTGTCTATTTTACAAATTGTTATGTTTCCATCATGAAATCCTATCCCGTGGGGTAATAATGGGAAAGTATTGCCATTTCTGCATTTAAGAGCGTTTTAGTATGGTCAGCTAAATAACAACTCTAAGATTGGATTATAACGGTTTTCATGCACACAAAGAAATCCTTTGCCTATTTTGTGCAAAATACCATCGACATCTGAGTATTAGAGGTGACACGCCGACTGAGGGACTTATGTCACTTTTATATTTTCGTAGTGTACAAGTACAGCCACGCCTCTTCTTTCTGACAATCTTTTGGCCATAGGCCTTACATCTATAATTTTAGCGAGCTCGTGATAACTAAACAAGACGGAATTTTTGACATCGTATGGTGTTTGGTGCATTGGGAAGATTGGGTGTAACCCGAAATTGGGGTATGTTAGGGCTGATAAAGGTCTATGTCTGCCACAAATATATCATATCAAAAGGAGGAAAGATATCAAACTTGTCAATTGGGACGAAAGCAAACAATGATATAGCTGCAAATGTGGTTGGGCTTTTGTTTGCACAGGGAGAGATGAAATTTTATTTAGAATTGAAGAACAGAGGAGGTAAGTCCACCAATCATCGGGGGGGGGGATGTTTGGGTAATTGGATGAAGCTGGCTACGCTCGATTTTGAAATTTGCCATTGGCATCCGATTCGCATATGAGAAAGGCCAATAAAACACCCTTCGTATGACCATTTTGAATGTCAGAACTTTTGAAGTGTTGATACGTGATGAAAACAATATCGCTGCAGGAAGGAAGATGGCTCACCAGTTTTGTGATTCTCGTAATTTTTACCAAATCCAACAAAGTTTAACATGATCACTGTCGTATGCATAAAAAAGGCAACTGTTATCTGCCACAAGAATATCATACGAATATGTAGGTACGTCAAAAGAAGGATAAAGATAATCAGATGACACGACATCAAATAATGCCTCATGTAAAATTAGCAGATGTTAGATTAATAGTTATATCATCATGATGTCAGATGTTATTATCTCACAAAAAATGAGGTCGTAAAAACATGCTCCAGGCACGTGTCTGAAGCATGTTTCCAGTATAAATCAATTACGGTACCAGTGGACTCAGTAAGTTTTTCTGAGTTTTTTCTTCTGTCGAGACCAATTCCACAAAAAAGGATGGGAAAAATCAAAGGAAAATCTTCATTAGAGGCTCAAGTTGAATGGCAACAGAATTTCAACTGGACAAGAATTGCATATTACAGCAATTAATGTAGTAAAAAACAGATATCAGTTATCTGAAGAAAAAAACAGTTTTCAAACACGCTCCCGAAGCGTGAATCATTTAACCTACCAGGTTTTAGCAGCATAATATCACCAAACGGCATGTGAAAAATCGCAACAAAGGTCAGAATTTACCCAAGATCGCACAATTCTAAGAAAGCTTGCTATCAATGCCAATAATGGCTAATCTTCGTAAAATTTATTATACTTAATTTCAATTTAGATTTTTGGCTATTGGATATTTGTCACAAATTTCATATGTAAAAACTAAAAGAAAACGGTGTATATTGCGTGTCCTATACCCAATGAACTCCCCATTGGATGACAGCACTAGAAATCAGATTTACTTATTGGTTGATTGATTTAATTTAATATTGAGTACCCATTTAACACCTGGGTGGAGAGGGGCAAATGTAGATCAATATCTACACTTGGTTAGTAGTGGTTATTTTTACCTGACTGCTAGTAAGCAACCAGACGGCCGACGGCTTTAGGTCCTCTCCGAGGGACCGGGTAATGAGGATTTAATGACTTACCAAAGGGCACTAGCGCATCGACTTGGTTTCGGACCCGGGTCACCGGATTACGAGACCACTGCTCTACCTATTGAGCTATCGCGCCTCTAGGCGGGACTCGAACCGCGGACTCTGTGATCCACAGTCCAACAACTTATCCACTAGACCACAACACCATGCCGAGGTCTCTCATCTCTTTGTTTACTATCTACATGCACATGTATGTATGATTTACATTTCTTAATTTATGCATGTGTCATCAATTTTTTTAATCGATTTATATTTAATCACTCTTGATGTACTCCTTTATCTTAGTGCTGACGTGAGCTATCTTGCATTGTCTATGCAATGGTAGCGCGACAGGTGTGATTAAAAAATGATATCGGCCTTTTTTTATTGGATTATTTCCAACCAATTACGACATAGATAATATTTGATCAGATCCAAGGCAGATGATTATATTTAGGAGTCTTCCCAGTCAGTTTAGACAGTTGTCTTTTCTTCGTTGGAAGAAACACTTTGACACTTCGCTAACTTCTTGTGCAGGTGAGAGTTTACCGACCTTTACTATTAGCACTTCTCATATCTAATCAATCTATTCTATTTTCTTTATCAGATTCCAGAACAATTTCGTGTCTTTTTATGTTCATTCTCTTTCAGCCGGAAAAGCGGAAAAGGTATTTTGATTTGGGTCTTTCAAAAATATTTCATCATGTATTATATTTTGTTGGTTTTGCTTTATTTTCAAAATATGATATAAACAAATCTTTCAATCGGTCTGTATTTATTTATAGAAAAGGAAGTCATTTTACATTTGTGTACTCGTGAACCTATTTACAGCACTGAATCTCTAGATAACCTAAATCTATGTTCGTATCCTTTTATCTATGCAGAATTTATTTACGATATATATATATATATATATATATATATATATATATATATATATATATATATACAAAGAAAGAGAGAGAGAGAGAGAGGGGGGAGGGGGGGGGGGACTTAACACAAAATGATAACGCATATGATATATACAATACTATTACATCTGGTCAAAACAATATATGACTGAAATCATTTGGAGAATTATCATACCCTCAAGCCTGTATAAAGTGGAAATATACAGATTCATATCATTTATTTCATGTCTAGCGCCATACAATTATTTGTGTAGTTTCATTTTATTCCATTTTTATTCTTGATAAAATACTACATCTGTACATGACAAACTTTTGCTGCCACAGATGACTGAACACCAAAGTTTGTATCGAAGTCTCGTAAAAACCCTCGTGATTAAAATTTGCCTGATGCAACAAATGTGGTCGCAGCGATAAGGATGGCTGTTAATACTCTTTTTTTTTAATACAAGTCGTAACAAAATAATATTTTGTTTCAATGAATCCATCTAACATGTTTAAAGTCATTGCATTGATCTGGGATTTCACAAGGTGACCTTAATCCATTGTTGTGTCACTAACATAGTGTAATTGGCAAATGAAAACTCTTTTTACCTGCCAGAAAATATTTGTCTCATATATGCTGGCAGCAATATATATTTCAACCGTTCTCTTTTGTGTAAGAAAAGAAAAGCGAACAACGTGGTAACAATAATTTTGATGCGCGCTGTTTAAATATTATTGAACGTGAAGTAATTAATCTAATCATGAGGCTAATATTTGATAATTCAAACTGATAAGGGGTCATTATAATGTCAGGCCCTACGTTTTTTTTTTCCAACACTTTGTCTATGTTGGTTTCCATAGATCACAATGAGGTCGCTGGCTCTCCTCATCGCTCTCATCGTTGGGGCTTCAGCTCAGCACTACCCGAATTTCAAGGATGGTCGGAACGTGATCGTTCACCTCTTCGAATGGCCGTGGAATGACATCGCCGAGGAATGCGAGAGGTGGGATAATATTAGACAAATCATGTTTTTAAATCAAATGTTTATTTGTCGTAATCCGTGAAACATCTGGTAATAAATAGATCAACTGCAACAAAATAAAATCACAATAAATGTTTTTATCCCAATAAAAATATTTAAATATAAATTCTCAATTGATGAGAATAATATTTACTGAGTTCTTTTCAAAGCAGAATATTTTATTCCGCTATTAAGAGTACTATGTCTTTATTTTCAAAATCAACCTATATCAATTTCTTAAAATATATATGTAATCATTATGCATCATACCAATGTAAATGATACGGAGTTCAAGTTCAAGTTTATTTTGTCTTTCTTCCAATATGAATGTAATACAATTTAACAAATTTATTACAAAGTCATGTGACAGAGTACCTAAAAAAGAACACTTATAAGGAACAAGTTCATGTAATGCATTTGTGTGAAATAGAAAGACGAGGCGACCTTAAGAAAAGCTTATCTTGTAAAAGTCAGGTCCCTGAAAGCAATATCATCTTAAAAAAAAAACAGAGTGGTTAAATGATATAGTTAAAAACTTAATACAAGAAAATTAGTGTAGGTCAAGAGCGCTCGAGTACTAAAACAAATAACTAAAAAACATGGTCAACTGAATCATAAAAAAGGGTGGGGAGAAGAGACTACCGGTATATACATAAGGAGGCGATAAGAGTGATAAAAAACATGGGATAAAGAAAAGGACAGAGGGATGGGAGAGGGAGAGAGAGAGAGAGAGAGAGAGAGAGAGAGAGAGAGGGGGGCGTATTTTCACTGAAAGTATGTCCCTCCTCTCTCTCCTCTCTGAAACTTTCAGAAAAAAAAGAAAAGGAAAAAAACGATTAAATTAAAAAAGCTTGCTGCAGATGAGAAAGGGAAAGAAAGGAGAAAAGGGTAAAGAAAGAAGCAAGTCCGATATACGAATTGGACTTTGAAAGAATTGTTCGACGATTGTACTCAGTATTCTTTTTCATTCATAAGCTAATTTATGATATTAGTAAATTTAAATTCCAGCATAATCTTTAGTTATAGACAAGAGGATAGTCTCTGTCATACATAAACCTAACCACAAAGGAAAATTATTGTTATTCGATAGATTTTTGGGGCCTTACGGATTCGGAGGGGTGCAGATCTCACCCCCTAATGAACACATCTCTGGTAGTCAGTGGTGGACCCGGTACCAGCCTGTCACGTATTACCTGAACAGCAGGAGTGGTTCCGACTCCGAGTTCCGATCCATGGTCAATCGCTGTAACAATGTCAATGTTAACATCTACGCCGACGTCGTCATCAACCATATGGCTGCTTGTAAGTTTGTTTGTTTGTTTGTTTTACCAGACTGTTAAGAAAGCATGTATGCTTGTAAGTTAGCAACCACCAAAAAAACCGACAGCTCTAACTACTTTAAGTCCTCTCCGAGGGACTTGGTAATGAAGATTAATGCTTGACCAAAGGGCACTAGCGCATCGACTTGGTTTCCAACCGCGATCCGACTGAGCCATCCGACATTTTCCCAGGCGTCAATTGCTACTAGCTTTAATTCGTCCAATAAACATGGTTATGGTTAGGGATGTGGATGTTATTTGAATGTAGGTTAGGTTTAGGGTTAGATTGGAAACGCAAGGACTCAGTGGTAGAGCATTGATCTCGTAAACGGAAGGTCCAGAGTTCGAAACCAAGTTGACGCGCTAGTGCCCTTTGGTAAGCTGGCATTAATTATCATTATCAAATCCCTCGGAAAAGAACCCAAAGCCATCGGTTCCCTGGTTACTTTCTTAAGTTTACATATGCTTTCTTAGCCAGCCAAGGCCGGTATTCAACGCCGATCGGACATCGGAATCCTTTGACCAAACAATTTTAGTTGAAACAAGTTTTAGTAAAATATGTTGCCGTACAGTTGGTTGTAATTGAATTAAATAAATATGTGTAGAAAATTAGAATTCATGGATCGAATATCACATTGACTAATTTTTTTTTTTAATTCCGCGAACTTTTGTCACCCCATCATAATCATTTGTCGCACAGTCCATTTAGCCTTGTAATGATTAAATAAAACAATACAAAATAACAGTAATTTATAATTAAAACAGATTCCATGGAAGCCACAATTTTCTGCTTTATTGTTCTGTTGCCATTTCTGACGAAATTAACAACCAAAAGATACTTGCATATATATATACTGATAAATATATATTTCATTTCAGGGAATTACGATTTTCCCGGTGTGCCATTCGGTAGTAACGATTTCAATGTTCCACTTGGGCGCTGTCCTAGTGGCAATGGCGAGATCGGTAATTATGGAAATGTTGAAGAGGTGAGAAACTGCAACTTGGTAGGACTCAACGACCTACAGACTGGCTCAGAATACGTACGAGGTAAGACTGACGGTTTTTCTAGTATTGTGGATTACCAAGTAACAAGTTAACTCCAAAGGCGTTCCTTGTTTGAATAAGCAAAAATATGCATATCATCGACATCGCTCTATTTAACATGTAAAGAAAAATATTTGCATGTTTCCTCTAGTCAAATTTTCCTTATTAAAGTTCTCAACACAAATAAAACAGTTGTGTTGGCCCCCGGATCAGTCTATTTTGACTGACCACAAAGTCAACTTTTGTTTACAGCATCTTGAATGAGGATTAGTTCATTATAATAGCCTACAGCATTTTTCAAATCTTTACTAACATTGTAACTCTGTATTTTTCAATTTTCTCAGGAAAAATTGCTGATTTCCTGAACAGCATGGTTAACGCTGGTGTTGCCGGGTTCCGCGTAGATGCAGCAAAGCACATGTGGCCTGGAGATCTGAGCAATATTGTCAGCCGACTCAATGGAAACCCATACATCTTCCAAGAAGTGATCGACCAAGGTGGCGAGCCTATAACGGCTGGTGAATACGCTGGTATAGGAGACGTCACTGAATTCAAGCACTGTGGCCACATCTCCGACCTCGGCCGCTGCTCAAACAACCTTGCAAACTACCAAAACTTTGGTGAGAGCTGGGGCATGCTGAACTCTGACGCCGCTTTTGTCTTCGTCGACAACCACGATAACCAAAGAAACCACGGAGGCGGTGGAAACATCGTTACTCACACAGACCCCGCTAGTTACAAACGAGCTGTGGCTTTCATGCTTGCCTGGAACTACGGTACGAAGAGGATCATGAGCAGCTTCAGCTTTGATGGCGATACCGATAGGGGTCCACCTGGAAACGGTCCTATAATCAACGGTCAAGGTACTTGTGATGGTGGCTGGGTGTGCGAACATCGCTGGCGTCAAATTCGTAACATGGTTGGCTTCAGCAAGCAGGCAGGAGGACACGGTGTCGAAAACTGGTGGTCCAACGGCAACAACCAGATCTCCTTCTCCAGAGGTAACCAAGCCTTCTTCGCAATGACATGCGAAGGCTCAATGTCAAGGGACTTCACTACTGGACTGCCCGATGGAAACTATTGTGACGTCATCAGCGGAGATCCCACGGACAGTGGCTGCACAGGAATGTACGTTACGGTGAGTGGCGGAAATGCTCACATCACGGTACCTTCTGGAGAAGACTCCATGGTAGCTATTCATGTAGGCGCTAAGTCAGGTGGTGGTAACGGAGGTGGGGGTAATAACCCAACCTCATCCCCTCCAGAAGACAACGTAACCTCTCCGCCAGGTACTTCCCGCACCATTATCTTCATCCGTAAGGAAACTTCCTCTGGTCAAGATATGTTTATCCAAGGTGGAATAGGTCACGAAAGACGTCAAGGCTGCACCAGCAACGCCGACAGCAGTGCCTGCGCTATCCCTATCACCCACAGAACCGGCGGGTCCGATCAGACCCTTAATGACCTAAGGAGGGCGACGACTATCTTGACTGGTATAGTTCTGAGAGCGACCAGAGTTCCGAGGCCCCGGGATCACCTTTAGTCTGGACAACCAATAATGCCAATCACGGCAGTACGGTCGACCAGCAAGGCTACGGTTATTTTCCCCTCAACCAGTGGGGTGACCATTACTGGATGCTCGACGTCGACATGGACTGCAGTAAAACGGAGGACGGTTGGTTCGAGCTCAAGGGATACGTTAAAGGAGGCCAGGGCTGGGAAAGCGATCGTGCCCAGGGATCTTGCAGTGGATCTGCAGGAGGCTCAAAACCCTATAGCTCGTCTAACCACTTCGGTCGCTGTGGATTCATCAACAAGTTTGACTTCGAAAGCAACAGTTGTGAAATGAATTACTTTTAAATAGCAAGGGCAAAATGAATACAGGCCTACTGTTCAGGCCTTACTCCTTCTTAAACCAAGTATCACAATATGGTTTTTAATCAAATACTTAAAGACACCGATCTTGAGAAACGAAACTGAAAATTAATAATGGTTCTGATATCCTCACTTTGAAAAACAAAGAAAACCAAAGAAAAGTCCATTCCATCAGCAAAAATGTTTTCCGTTATGGTGATGAATACTCAAAGTAATGATATAATATTGGATCTATATGAAATACATTATTATCCTCATTACACGTACTCCAGAAAGTGCATGCCCTTGCAATAAAGACAAATACTTGAAATTTAAATCTATCTCTATACTGTTTGTCATTTCCACGGTCTCATTGTTTTTGTTTTATTTATCTCTTTATGCTTTTTTTTCCCCACCTTCACCCCCCTCTATATTCATATTTTTCTGCTACCATATTGTAATCCTGCTCTTCAGAGTCTACATTCCTCTTGTGAAGGGCAGTGAATGAAAAGAATGGTGATAAGGATGACAATAGTATGGGGAGTAAAGACTAGGAAGATAATTATAATGAGAAGGCTGACGATGAAGGGAGAAGGGGTGAAGTTGAGGATGATGAGAAGGAGAATGAAGGTGTAGATGATATTCGTATTGAGGAGATGTACAGGAGGAGGGTCATATTTATGATGAGAACGAGAATGTATTAGTATTGAAAATTCGAAGATCGGGAAGATGAGGAGGAGGAGTAGGGTAGTGTTTACGATTCCGATGAGGATAATGGTGAGGATTATATTAGTATTGGGGGGGGGGGGTGGGGTACGAAGATTGGGAAGATGAGGAGAAGGAGGGTCGTGTGTATGATAAAAATGAGAATGTATTAGTATATCAGGGAGTGAAGATTAGGAAGATGAGGATCATGTTTACAATTCCAATTCCGATGATGGTGAGGATTATATATATATATATATAGTATTGAGGATCGAGTACGGATTGGGAAGATGAGGAGGAGGTTCGTGTTTACGATTCTGATAAGGATGATGGTGAGGATTATATTATTATTGAGGAGTGCGAAGATTGGGAACATGAGGAGAAGGAGGAGGAGGATCAAGTAGAGGATGAGAATGATGATGAACACATTGAAAATAATGATAGTTAGGAGGAGGATGACGAAGAGGGGGGGGGGGGGGTCATGTTGAGGTTGAGGATGAGAATGATGGTAAGAATGTATAATATTGAGGGGAGTGAATATCGAGGAGATAAGGAGGAGGAGGGTCTTGTTTACGATGAGAATCCGGATGGGGGTCAGGATATTACTATAGAATGAATATTGAGAACATCTTTTAAGAGGAGGAGGATAAGAGAATGATTAGGTTGCTCTAGATAACGATGTTACATGTCTATCATGGCAATTGTTATCATACTTGAAAGGTGACATTCTGTCATCTGTGATGGTATTATTTGCAAGTCCTGTCATTTAATATTATGATAACTGTTATAATCAAATAATGATAATAAATATTGTTATCAATATTATCATTATTGTCATCATTATGAATTATTATTAAGTTCTTGGACAACTACCCTGTGGGCAATCACCCCCTGCCAATTACCAGCTGGACAATTACCCCCCCCCCCCCCCCCCCCCCCCCCCTCAGGACAAAGACCGTACCCATTTCTATCAGTGTCTCAGGCTCTTTCTCGATCTCTGTCCCTCTCATTCCTTTTCCCGATTTCTTCTTCTATTTTCCTTTATATATTTTCTCTTTCTTTATAATTGTCTCATTTTTTCCACTTAGGTCGCCATGCAAATTAAGGGGGCGGGGTCGCTTGGGCCTCGGCTCCACTGCCCCTGGATCTGCCACTGCTGAAACGTATTCCCCGCAACTCCCCCCCCCCCCCCCCCCCCCCCCCCCCCCAATAAATAGTAGACTATTTGACCTTTAGACATGTCTGATCCTCGAACTCCTCATTAATCCACCACGGCCACGTAAGCACTGTTTATGCGATGGAGAGTGAGTAATGTATTATTTGCGACGTGGCAATTAATACTCAAAATCATCGAATGCTTTCTAGTTGCTTTTTAGGCTAGGTGCATGTTCTTAGCAGAAACTTTCGAAGGTAAGCAGTCGATTTTCTTTGACTACGGTCCCAGGTACTTTATTCCATGTTTCTGAATATAACTGTAGACTATCTGTTTTCGTAGTCTATTGTACACACATAGATCTAGGTGCATTACTATCCTAGCTGTGAAAAGCTGTGCTATTGATTTTCAACATTTCAAACACCACTGTACAAAACTTAACTGATTTCACTAAAATTAAAAATCGGTACTTAAGGTTTAGAATCTAGTGACGAACTGACGATTGATGACACCTAGATTCTAGATCTAAATAGACTAGATCTAGATCTAGAATCTAGCAGTAAAATACAATTTTTTTTTAACTTTCCGATGTTGGAAACTAGTAATACTCACTCCAGCAAAGCATATAGAGTCAATGCTAAAGCGTATTGACCTTTAGCACTGCATACATGCTGTGAGGCAGGGACCTAGAAGTCTATACACAAATACACACACCACACAATATCGCATAGACTGTACACAATCATGTCGATGCAGCTGTAAGCAAAGTTTGACACTAGACTTACAATTTGAATTTTTAAATTATTCTTTTTAACATTAGTAAGTTGAAATAAATGTATTTTACTGCTATTTAGGTGTCGTCAATTGTCACAAAAGTACTGATTTTGAGTGAAATCAGTTGAGTTTTGTACAGTGGTGTTTGAAATGTTGAGAATCAAAAGCACAGCTTTTAGTACTACACAGCCAGGATAGTGATGCTCCTATGTGTGGTAATAGAAAGGTGTAGAAAGAATAATTTAAAAATTCAAGTTGTGAGTCCACTGTCAAACTTGCCGATCAGCAGCATCGGCATAATTGTGTGGATGTGTGTGTTATGACTGTATTGACTATTCATGTATCCAAAATGCTGCCTATTATATTAATACGTAGTAGTAGTGCAGTTATAGAGGTCAATGACTCTCTATGCTTTGCTGGAGTGGTATTGTATTGCTTGTATCGATTACATTTTGAGGAGCTTGTATAGGGCTGGGTGATAATTCATGATGTTGATATCGATTGATTGATATTGATTTCTTCGTCCACAATGTGGAAATATGCTTCCCACCAGCATTACAATAATACAAGAAAAAGAGTACAATAATATGAAACATGCAAAACAATTAAGCAAACAATGTCAGAACAGAAAAAACCTTATATACGCCTTCCAAAATTGTTAAAAGTCCTTTCTGATTAGAAGATTAAAAATATCTCTCCACTGCTTTTAACGGGCTATTCAACATAATCATTGTTGATGTATTAAGCTTAATGACTATGAGGACAGTTTTTGAATTCAAATAATTATAGTCATTATTGCTATTATTATTATTATCAACGCCATCAATGTTCATCAAAGTGGGTAGATAACTGCAGTTATATCATTGTGGTCGTATTAAAATCAAATTAAAATCATATATACATGTATGTATACTAACAATAGTTGGTAACTGAAATGCTATCGTTAATTACTGTATCTCTTTACGAAGTGGTTGAACATGTGAATATAGTTTGGTACGAAGGAATAGCGGAAGTGTGCTCGGTTTGTGCGTGGGATGTTTAGTCGAATTCCGGTTGAAAGAATACTGGGTGTTGAGAGGGTGACTTTGATCTTTCATGATTTTGTTTGTTTTGGACATGACTCTCTGTTCGAACAAACAGTTTATATCAATCAAATCATGCCCTGTCACTCTCTGTGCCGCTCGTCGCACCCAGTCTAATCGAGTCCGTTTTTTCTCGGTCCCATTTCCGTAATAACAAATCACATTGTATGTTAGTATGCTTTGTATTAATGACTGATAAAACAAAACCAGAATTGTTCTGTCAACATGAATGTTTTTCATCATTCTCAGAAAGTAGAGTCTTTGGTTTCCCTTCTTAGTAAGAAGAAAAAAATCAAAGTGCTGGGACACACTGTATAGAAAATATTCATGATTACATGTATTGCTTGTTGTAACTTCTTCAAATTACTTTTTGAAATTGCCTGTTCGGATTCAACCAATCTGTCCGAACACACAACGTGAGGGTATACTGTTCATTGAGATTCAAGCTTACATTTTTCTTAATCCATCAGAACATCATTGCATTTATTCTAACCATAATTCATTCATTTTCCCATACAGATCATCTGTCTTACCTCTATAAGTGAACTGAACGAAGAACACCTCCACATCTCACATTCAAGATGAATTACTCAGCCTATATTCCGGACTACTCCCTCTTTGTAGAATATGCCAACACGTACGCCCAGCTACCCCTGTTCCCCTTCTTTGATGTGGCCCATTACATCATGATGATTCTAGCCCTCAGGAACGATGCAGGAGATGGTAAGAAATACACAGGGATTTAATGGTTTTTAGACAGAAGGGTATTTCGCAGCAGAAAATGTTACATTTGATCTTCATGACCTTTAGGGCCGCCCCCCCCCCCTCCCCCCTCCCACTTCGGGGTCAGAGGGACCACATTCGTGTTCCCAAAATCTCCGGTAAAGGGGTACTTTTCATGCAACAAAGTCCGGCCCATAATACACAAAATTCTCTCTTGTCATCTGTCTCCCTCTCTTTTCTCCCTTCTCTCTCTCTCTCTCTGTCATTCTACTATCCCCATCTTTTTTTTGTCTTCATGTGAAAAAATAAAATTGTTGTAGAAATTTACTTTTTAACCCTGACCAAAAATTATGTGTGTAATACATGCAAAAATCCATTTGCCTTTTAAAATAAGTATGATTTACATTCCACTGTGGAAAGGCACCTGTGTTTGTTTTCACTTGCTATCTCTCTGCTGTGTTCATGCACGTGTTCACAATTCATCATTCCATTTTCATGCAGGGTTTGTGTCACTGGCCGAGAACAACCCCCTCGCTTGCTGGCTTTGTAGCATGCTATCCTGTTTTGCTGGATACATACTTAGCAATGCCCTTCTGGGACAGTCCCTCTTGGCCCCTTTTGCATACCACTCGAAGATTGGCATTGCAACTATAGTGTGGTAAGAAAGATGTCATCTTCTTTGTTTATCAAATTGTAAGTACAGTGAAACCTGCCTATAAAGACCACCCAAGGGAGACAAGACAAGTGGTCTGTATAGGCAGATGGTCCTTTTAGTACATGTTTCAACGAAAAAACATTTTCAAGGGAAATAAATATGTGGTCTCTGTAGACAGGTGGTTGCTAAAATAAGTTTTATTGCACATGTAGATACTGATTTTTTTTGAGAATTTACAGCCACTTCACAAATACATATTTCTTGATAACTCTGTTGTAGTTATAAGTACATATATTATCTAATTTTTGAGTAAAGTAAAAAGGAAAAAAGTCTAAAACTAGATTGAAAGTTTTGGGCAATAGGTTATCATTAAGTATGAGAAAACTATTTGATTTTTTGTTTGTCTCCAGGTACATGATATTTTACTCACCTGCTGATATATTCTACAAGCTGGTTACAAGCTTCCCTGGCAAGCTTGTGATAGGCCCCATGAAGGAGGCAGTCAGGGCACGTAAGGTTGGACTAGGAGTGCTTCAGGCTGCTCAGGTCTATCCTCAAGGCTTTATCATCATGGTCATCATCGGAACCGTCAGAGGTATACTCACTGCCCATCCAGTTTTCAGGCTATTATACAAATAATACACAGGAGTGAGGGCATTAGTAACAATTACCCACACAAGGTACCTTTGGAACAGTCTAACACGCCCAAGGCGATAGCCGAGGGTGTTTGGACTGTTTTGAAGGTACTGAGTGTGGGTAATTTTAAGGATGCCCGAACAAAATGATGTGTATTATTTGTTTTATGAGATTATGTTTAATTTGTTTTATAAAATGATGTTCATAACATGATTTTACTAATGACCGGTCATTATCAAAATTACGTGTCAGGCAAAATAAGTGCCTGGTCACGTGTACGCTCTCAACCAACCATTTGATTAGGATCCACATCATCATCTTATAATGCTTATTATACAATGGATTCTGGAGTGTTAGCTATCTAATTGGTCCAATGACTCAATGACAGTGCTTCATTCTTTCCATATGCTGCCAACCATGCACAAACGCTTCCATCATAGAGTGATAACCCACAGCTAAGAGTGGTAATGCATGGCTAATTTTGATTTAATAAAGATGACTTTATATCAAATATATACTCGAAAATCTTATCGATAAATAGTGTCCACTCTCCATCTCTGCTGAGTGCATAACATTTAGTGTTACTGAACAATGTGATTTTTCTTGCATATCCCTAAATTGTCTTGACTTTCTTTAGTAAATCAAATTTCAATTCTCATAATAATGTTTTTCTTATGCCTATTTCTTGTATTCATTTTTCAAGAGGGGGTCGTTTCCAAAGCTGGTCTATACCTTCAAAATCATCATAGATTCAGGTTTCTAACATATCTGACTGACTAAACAACAATACTTACTATTTTTCTATCCGTCTCGACAGGATCTGGAAGTGCCTTCATGAGGTTCTTTGAAAGAGTTCTGAGAGGAGCCTGGAAACCAACACAGAATGAATTACTCAACCCATCATTGTAAGTACAGTCTAGTGTGCATTCAAAGATTTACATGTAGGGATTGTTGTTTCATGTCCTCTACACTCACAGGCATAGCAGAGACACAAAACAAAACAGAATAAATTGTTTGAATCCTTGTTACCGGTTCATACGTGTGTCATTCATAATTAGACGACACGAGAGAGAGAGAGTAAGCACAAGCTCATGTATACATACACTATTCTGTATATAGGACTGGGGAAGCTAGATGGCATAAGTTTCTGTAAGTATTTACATGTAGGGGTAAACTAAGAAGTACAGATACATAAATGGCATAATAAATAACTCAAACCATCACTGTATGTACATACCATGTAGACTAGCTCGACATGTAGAGATTGACGATATATGCATGTAGGGATTGTTGTTTCATGTCCATTACACTCACAGTCATGGCAGAGACACAAAACAAAACAAAGAATAAATTGTTTGAATCCTTGTCACCGGTTCATGCTTATGTCATTCATGATTAGATGACACGAAAGAGAGAGAGAGAGAGAGAGTGAGCACACTAGCTTATAAATGCAATCAGGTGTTCGGTGTTAGGTGTCCGTTGTTAGGTGTAAGGTGTTCTTTCTTGCCGGTTTCCTCACTTGTATAGATATATATATATATATATTTGTATTTTATGTTTATCTTTCGTTATGTTATTTGTATGTTCCTTATCTGTAAATATCAATGTTATAATTCGGTATGTTTTTATATGACGAATGGAATAAAATGAATTAATAATAATAATAATAATAATAATAATAATAATAATAATAATAATAATATGTCTTGTTTACCCAGGGTAGCCTCATCAGTATTCATACTGTTCTCCCTGAGGGCCCTGCAATCATATTATTGAATTGAATTGAAAAAAGCTCATGTATACATACAATGTATATAAGACTGTGGAAGCTAGATGGCATAACCTCTGTAAGCATTTACATGTAGGGATAAACTAAGTAGTACAGATAGATAAATTGCATAATAAATAACTAAAACTATCACTGTATGTACATACCATGTAGAATCTTATTTCTCTACATGTAGAGAGTGATTGGTAAGTACTTGGTTAGGAAGATAGAGATAGATGGATGATATACTAAATTTCCCAACCTGGCAAGTTAGTTGAGAATCCTATGATTGCTTTACCTTCTTTATCTCTGTAGGCTGGTTCAGATATGGGGATTGTTTATGTGTAAATGAATAGCAACAAAGGTCTTAGCTCTGTTTTAAGATACAAAAATATGAAGTGTATTACACCTTATGTCATCATTAAAATAAAATGCAGTCAGTTACCACTTCATATCTGACCAAGGCATTACCATTGATAGGGGTGTCGTGGTCGAGTGGATACGTAGCAGGACTGTCGATCACAAGGTCCGTGGTTCGAGTCCCGCCGCGGCATTAATGTCCTTTGGCAAGACATTGATCTACATTTGCCACACTCAACCCAGGTGATGTAAATGGGTACCTGGCAGGGATTAATTCCTTGAAATGCTGGAGCGCTGTAATGATTGATTGATTTGACTTTATTCCATTTCATACATCAATTAGCAGCTAGGCTAAAGCTAGATTAATGCGCCTCGTAATAGAATTTCTAGATAGATGGCGCTATAGAGATGCGTATTATTATTATTATGTGGCCCTCTCTTGATGCATCTTAGTGTCTTTTCTCCTTGTAGCATGACCCAGGCTACCATCCTCTGCAGCATCCTCCTCACCATGGAAACCCTGGACTACATCCCTATAGATGCACCGGAGCTCATGCTGATGCTCACCACTCTCCTGGTAGGCTACAAGATGGCGTCGGTCGTGTTCAAGGTCGGCGACCCACTGGCGTCCATAGAGAACACCTGCAGACCCCTGCTCTTCGGAAAGTGGATTGGAAAGGACGCCCCCATAGACAAAAAGGGCGATTCCAAGAAGGATGGTAAACCGAAGAAGGAATGAAGGCGTTTTAACTGATGGGATGAAATCTTCTTGTTGGTTGGAGTAGTCAGCGTCCTTCAATGTTGAAGATGCAGAACTTTATGAGATAGATGAGCTTTGAAAGTACCATACAGTATTGCAGTGCAGCGCACCACCTGGTTCTCATCATTATTACACCGTTACTTGTGAGGTGAAGGGTAGATTAGTAGAAGAATAGATCCCGGGGAGTGTTTCACAAAGACTAAGATCAACTTTAAGTTGGACTTAACTATGCCAGGCCGTTCATGCCATTAGTTGCTATCACCATTGGTCTCTCAATTATGATATTTGGATTATATTTTTTCCTTCATTAATAAACAATCAAAAAATGTAAATTCTGTAGATTTGTGACAACGATTGGTACGTCCCTTGAGAAACCAATACCAGTAAATGATGAGAGAAAATAGTGGCATGAACGGCCTGCCATAGGTAAGTCCAAGTTAAAGTCGATCTTAGTCTTTGTGAAACACTCTCCAGTAATGAATGCATTGAGTAGAACACAAGATTGCAGTGCCACTCTGGATGATCGTTATCCACTTTTGTAGAAAATTGAGTTTGACACGAGAGGTAGGATTCAAGAAGTCACGAGATATGAAAAACAAAGAGCTCAGTCAGTACTAATATACTGCATTCTCTACACCTTTCCATAAGCACCCAAGTAAACATATTACAGAGAGAAAGATATGTATCATGTTTCTATAAAGTTTAGGGGTGCAGTGTTGCAAGATATGACTATAGTACCCATTGAGTATAGTTGAACTATAGTTGATGGAAATATTAAAGTGCAGGATCTTTAAATAATCTGCTCTGTTACAAAGTATTCACAGTTATTCACAATAGAGAGGATTGTTAAAATTTAAAGCATTTGCAGTGCATTTGTTGATTCTACTCGAACATATAACAAAAATAGGGAGTTTTCATTTAATATATTTATTCCATTTAAGAGTGAAATGGAGTACAGTAGGTAGTATGTAACCCCAATGCCTCTAATGTATTTATATCAATGGTACTATGGCACTTTATTATTATATTGGGTACATTCAATGGTTTTATTGTGCTCATGTCCAGGATGGGAGAGCTCAAGGTTCAAGTCTGTTTAGTTTAGTTTTATGCCCAAATCACATTCAAGATGTGCAAAAATGCACATTGATAAAGAAAAGGAAACTATTAAACAGAAAGAAAAGCTTGTGTATGGTGTAACTCCCTCTACATAAACGTATACATATTCCAATCTTAGGCCCACTCTGAACTTTGGTAGGCTACCGATTTCAAAGTTCACAGCATTCTAGGAATTCCTTTTCTCCTCGAATCCATTTAACTCCTTGATGGAGAGTAGCATATATAGATTAATGTCTTGCCAATGGACAGTACGTGGTGCCATTCTGAGGCTTGACCCCACAACCTCCCCATCTCGAGACAGGTGTGTAAACCACTTGACGACAGCACCTCTATACCTCATGATCAGTTCAAGCTGTCAGTGTCAGGTATTACTGGTTTTCAGGATTTCATCCTGAAATATGGGGACAAAGCTGATTATTATTATTATTTATTTGACCAATCAGAAAATTATACAATGAGTATAACAATCAGATAATACCTAGAAATGTCATAATACATGCAAAGTGGAGAGGAGGGAGAGAGAGAAGGATACAATCTGCTTGTCAGGGGTGACAAAGCCATTGAAATTGCTACTACTCGAAAGCATGTCACCCCCCGATGGCTTCATCCAATTGCTCATTATGAAATATATGGTTTCTGTACTGTTCTGTTTTGAGAAATGCTACTACCCTCCACAACAAGTTAAATGCAGGCACTATGTAACTACAGTTATAGTGAAATTTGACAGAGCTGTGAAGAAGGCTGCGAAGCTGATAAAGCATGGTGCTATTACAAAATTTACCCCATAAGTAATGGGATTTTCATGCAAATTAGAATAAGAGACATTTTCTACGGAATAAGAAGCCTTTGTGTTTTACTTACATGTATCTCAGAAATACTGATAAAACTCTAGAACCTCTAGAATTACCGAAAGGTTACAGTGAAAATATTTCTGTTGGGATATGCTGATGATTCACTGATTATCAGCCCCAAAATAACTTAAATCTTCCAGTGAAAGTTGATATTGGTGATTTTTATTTAAAAATCCCCCTATATGCTTAGGGAAATGGGATATTGTGCAAAGTTTAATGTAAAGTAATTTTAAGGGATGAAAGGATAATTATTGGATCATTCTTATTGCTTAAGAGGTAGAGCTGTCGTCATGTAAACATGAAGCTGAATGTCATTTGTGTCCTGGGCCCTGTTTCATAAAACTTGATATCAATAACAAGTTACAAGCTACTGTTATAAGCTACTGAAATCATGGCATCTGATTGGCTGAGAGCAAACTTGATATCAATAACAAGTTACAAGCTACTGTTATAAGCTACTGAAATCATGGCATCTGATTGGCTGAGAGCAAACTTGATATCAATAACAAGTTACAAGCTACTGTTATAAGCTACTGAAATCATGGAATCTGATTGGCTGAGAGCAAACTTGATATCAATAACAAGTTACAAGCTACTGTTATAAGCTACTGAAATCCTGGCATCTGATTGGCTGAGAGCAAATTTTTCATATAAATCAAGCATTTGTTATAGATAAGTAGTTTTATGAAACGGGCCCCAGGTCAACCTGCAATAATAACCCAAGTATCATCTCACTCTTGTCACAGGTGGTGCTTCTTAAAATATTGCCATTTTGTTATGCTTGTAGTTTTAATCAGAAAAATATACAAATAATTCATGTTTACATGTGTATTAGTGAATATGCACTGCTTACAGCTTAAGTTACAATAGGATAGTGAACAAGTCTGTTATCTGTCTCATTGTGACTCAACCGTGTGCGGTACGTATCACTTGACTTATGCCCTAGCTGCCAAACCTGAATTGTTTTATAAGACGGGACTATAATATGAGTATAAAGTCAACAATTTTTTTTTTTAAACTGATCAAAATGCAAAGAGACGCACATTCATGGAGGCTGCCATTTGCTTTTCGGGTGACGTTACAAAGCACAGCCAAACTGTATAACATGATCAAGAGTTCTGCATGGAGCTTGCCTTTTGCTGGACATAAATTGCAACAGCTGGGCGTGATAGAAAGAATTAAAGCATAATTACGCAACTTGAACCTATCTTGTAAATGTTATCAAAATGAAGACACACGTAATATAACTTGTTTTGGATTGTAAAGTTTGCCTATAGATTCTTGCCCCATTGAAGGACATGTAAATTAGTTGGAATAGACACAGTGCAATATTGTCAATCATATTTGGTTTAGTATTTCATAAAGTAAATTTATAGAATATTTTTGAAAATCAAAGACAAGCCATGTAAGTTATATTTGATTGAAAATGATATCATCATGTAATTTCCAAAACTAACTCAAACAACTGCCATGAGAGTACTATTTATATTTAAAACATATTTGATAAAGCATCTCAAACATAAATTATGTATTATGTTATAATTATAATAATAGTGTGTTCTTGTATAGCGCTCATGTCAGTTTGAGTTGACCCTCCTGGCGCTCCCGATTATTACCCTGGCTTTAGCACGGCTGCCATACGGCGCTCTAGCATTTCAAGGAATAAATTCCTACCAGGTACCCAATGGCCTACAGATCAGCAAAAATATTTGTTCTTAGAGTAACATTGTCAAAAAATGTAAGTTTTGTATTTTCTTTATTAAATGATAAGTCAAATATCTCATTCTTTCCTTCTTTTCTTTTTTTTACAGAGTAATCATGTATTTTAATTTGTTGTGAACCCGGTGATTATTTTTGAAATATCACATTCATAGCTGTATTCCTTAAAGGGCAATCCAGCTTGAGCGCCCCTAGTATCAGGGCACAGGGGAGCTAGAATTATAAAATAAAGAGAAGAAAACAGTTGCTTGTGGTGAAATTGGTGTCAGCATGTAGAATGGCACATGGCACCATAGGCACTTCCTTCCTTTGTTTCTCCTCATTTAGGTTTCTGGGACTCTTCCATTCTCCAAAGGGGAGGGGTGGTATTTCTTTCAGTCATCTACAATGTATTCGACTATTATAAGTAACTGATTTAGGGTTTATAAGTTCAATCATAATCATGTGTTTTGCTGAATTGGATATAACATGTTTAAATGTTTCTTTTGTACTTTTATATGTGCAGTATATATTGTTGGATTAAAATTTGAACAATGATTTAACAATGTTAGTTGAGATTTGTACTGATTTTGTTCTTGTGTGTTTAAAGAAAATATGTTAGAAAATTGTGATATACAGTTTTAAATGCTCCTTTAAAATACATAATGGCAATAGTAATTTGTTGCTTCAAAATGACCCAATCAAGAATTTCTTATAACAATTCAAGTATAATTGAAAAAGAAAAGAAAAACATTCAGATTGTAATTCATGGGGTAGTATTGCTATAGTTCTAGCCCGTACGATCGACATGTGAGAATAACTTTTCAAATGGAAACAGTAATTTTCATGTCGTCACTCAATTAAAGTTATATAAAGCAATAAAGACTTACAATAAATGACAATGAAATTATCTGAGTATCATGTAAAATTATTTTATTCAATATTTCATTCAATATCACATCCAAATCTGTGTTGAAAAGAAAGTGTAAAAAGGTAGACTCCTTTATTATCCAAGAAGCAAAGACCTCTTGTCAAGTGTGTTTGATAACATTAATAATAATATTAATAGCTAGTTCTCATATAGCGCTTTTCAGGACCGAAGGCCCTCTCAAAGCGCTTTAAAGATATATATATTAGAATGGTTTTATATTTGTTCCTTTATTCATTCCATCTCTTTCCGAACCCCACGGAGTCCATGTGAAATAAGCAAGCATTTGCTCTCGAGGCCAAAATGGGGTGAAAATGTCCTCATTAGGTAGATTTCGACACCCCTTGTACCAAGTTGAGTCGCCCAGTCTATGCAGTTCAGGGGCTGTTCCATTGTATAAATGGGGTATAATTCGACAAAGGTGGGTAATCTGGATAGGAAATGTACTAACTACTTCGTAATCTCGAATCCATTCTAGGTATTTCATATAAGACTCGTGATCGGTATCAAGTCTCTTAAGATGTCCCGCCAATTCTTTCAGTGATGAAAAGTCTGAGAGGTGGATAAAGGAGTTTGGAGGTCCTATTTTTTGAAAGTCCGATTTTGGCGCGCCGTAGACGACGGGAACGATACCCTGGCTTATCGTCTGATCCCAGAACTTTTCTGTGATGTACTCGTGGCACTCCGAGTTTGCAAGAGTCATGTAGAATTTATATTGTTGCAACATGAGCTTACACATTTCGGAACGTTGCGGTAAACAGGATAGCTTACCGCATCTTCCGTAGGTGTCAAGCGGTAACCGGCGACTGAGTTGCTCCACAATCGGTATTCGAGGCCAGAAGATCTGGGCGCAGTTGCTCGCCATCCAAGCAATGAGTTTCGTCTTGTTTCGTCCGTATCTTTCATTAAATTCATAATCTGTGAGAGGCTTTAGTCTTTTTTGGTAATACCCAAAAGGAATATGAATATCAGAATCACTACGATAGGTCATCATTTTGTGATACCTTAAATCGGCAACGCGAACATCTCGGTTCCAATGGACGACACGGAGTGGTGTTTCAGTGCTATAATAAAACCAAGTTTGCGTAGGCTCGGGGTCCTTGGAAATCATATCATGGAGTCTTCCTTCAAAGGCCTTTGGAAGTGCGCCAAATATGACAGCATCCTTTCCCTTCAAATGAGTTAGATTGGTCCCAATCGTGAAACGGAGGGTACAATTGTAGAGAGGGCAGAAGACATCTGCGGTGTGTTTAAAAAACTGACCCCTCTTGAACAGGTTGTACCATGATGACAGTTCTGGCCAGATCGCCATATCGGTCAGGTTGCCGAAAATGTGGACTCTCTTCACACAGTTTGTAGGCACGTCAGGGAAAGATTTAAAGGTTAAAACAGTGACATGATGAGGCCCATTGACATAGTTGCTACCATCCGGAACCTGTGAGGTGTTCTGTAAGGACTTTGTCTGGAGGATGGCGTTGAGGATGAAAACACCAATGATGAAGATTACCATGCCAACTATCTGCTGCCTGGCGTTTACCTACAATGATAAATTATGAGATACATAATGGAAATTGATCTAATGTGAAATACATTTATTAGTGGTAGAGAAATACGAGATGCTGAGGAATATTTCGTTACGTACCATCTAAACTAATGGTGCGTGTAGGCCAACAATGAATGTACGCCCAATGATGGTCTTTCTGAAGACATTGTGGCAAATTAGCCCTTTTCTATACAAGCTATCCAATAAAGAATACTACTACATTGCATTTCTACTGCTTCTACTATTACAAGACCGCATCAAAACAAATAGAGTGACACTTTATGTACACCATTGCCAAAAGGGAATGCCATTTAAAAAAAAAAAACTTTATCTGAAAATTCTGAATATATTTCTTTTTCACCGAAAGTGTTGCTTCTTTTTCACAATAGAAGAAATGGAGAAAAAAAATTATGAATACTACGTGTACTAGGTAAGTAGGTATTCTACTAAATTTGACGTAGGACCCTATTAAAGTTTCACTGGGTATCATCTTAATATAGTTATACACAATTCAAGATGTTACTGTCATATTGTTAATCAACTGTTGTTGACCCAAATGATATTAAACTATCACTGTTTCCATTTTGACAACGAGAAACAAAGTGATTACCTTTTATGATTTCATATACGTGGAATCAGTAATGCTATCAGTATCAGAGCCAAGAGCTTGAGATGATGCCCAAAACGTTCAGTCTAAATGTAAGGTATCCAACAATAGTGTTTAAAATAAGATATTTGAATCGTGCGTAGTATCTACGCAAAATTAGTAAGTTCTACACAGAAAGTCTTAACATAAAACTGGGGTCTTACCATTCTTCGCCTGGTCATAAATATTGTCCATTTCTGTATAGACCTTCTCATTCTACCGGCAATTTAAGCAACTTCAATGTTTGAAAGGTGAGACGATAGATACTTGACTCAATGTGGACTTCATGTTCACCAAAATGATATACGTGTGTGTACAGTCCAGTGTAGGACTTTATTGAAACGAACGCTGAGATGGGTGAACAATCGATTTACCTTTCCTCTGTGTAACGTATAAATACTAATCAATACTGTGACTAGTCTTGCTGAGATAAACTGTTTGAACTCTTCGGAAATGAACGACAAACGAAATTTTCATTCGTAAGAGCATAATAACCATGTGATTATTTAAAAAAATATATATTTATAAGCAAGGTAATATCAATATTGACCATCACACGTCTTATCGGGGAAATAGACATATGGCTTCGCAGTGAAGAGCTAATACCCCATGAAGGTGTGTTTAGACTTAACATAATGTCATGCTTAATGTTTTTTTGTTGCGGTTGGACATGACCTCGGGATGGAATAAATAAAAGGATGTTTCCTTGTTCGAATCCGTAAATAATTTAATAAATTTGAATATGGTATCGGGGAATTTGGTTTCTTGTGGGAATCTTGTTACATCGTTTGTTGCACAGCGTCGATCCATTCTCCGCACTGACTATTACACAGTCCTATACATGTTTAGTTCCGGAGACTGGTTATCGATTATTATGTTTTCTTCGTCTTGGGGGATAATGATCACTTTGGTATGTACGATAGGCCTCTTATGTTGTCACATGACCATGATCGACACGTTAACATTTCAGGCAGGGGCGTCGCCAAAGGGGGGGGGGGTGTGGGGGTGCGACACCTCCCCCCCCCCCCCCCACCTGTCAGGACATTGTCGGTAAAATTGCGCTGCCGTCGGGAAAAAGAGAAAAGGGGGAGGGAAAAAAAGAGACGGAAAAAAAGAGAGGGAAAAAAAGAGAGGGGAAGGGAAAGAAAAGAAAAAAAGAAAAGGGAAAGAAAAGAAAGAAAGGAAAAGAAAGGAAAGAAAGGAAAAGAAAGGAAAGAAAAGAGAAGAAAGAAAGAGAAAAAAGAAAAAGAGGGGGGAGAGGAAAGAAAGGAAAAGAAAGAAAAGAAAGAAAAGGAAAAAAGAATAAAAAAGAGTGAAAGGGAAACAAAAGAAACGGGGGATGAAAGAGAGGAGAGAGAGGGGAGGTAAGAGTCTGAGAGAGGAGGAGTGGGAGTAAAAGAGAAAAGGGGTTGTTGGGGGGAGTCGTCTCGTCGAGGGAGCAAGAAAGACACGGGTAAATATGTTACTGTGTCGGGTCAGCTGTGTCGGTATTCTTGCTCGATCCTCATCAATGCATAAGTTTGAAGTCGGTGAGATGTATATTGTCGGTCGGTCGACAAGTTTTTTTCCCTACGAACTGCGACTTCTTATCCGCTGTGACGACTTCGAGAGTGACTACAACTACAATACTTGTATTTTCTCGAAGTTTCACTTTCCTATAATATCAGCTAAAGAAATCAGAGGTTTAAAATTTTCGGGGAAACTAAATTCAAACAAGGTTAAAGAGTCAACAACGGTACGACGAATCATTTTCCTTTCTTTATATTGTGATGAAACGCCAAAAATTCCGCGCTTCGCGCGAAAGTGGGAAACTGAATTCAGACAAATAGGGCTTTCTAGAAGTCGAAAACGTTACAACGAATCGTGTTCTTTCTCTAATAATTTAAGGAAACGTCAAAGCTTTCGCGCGAGAGGGGGAAACTGAATTCAGATGAATAGGGCTTAATAATAATAAGATTCGAAAACGGTATGAGGAATCGTCTTCCTTTCTCTATATTGTGATGAAACCCCGGAAGGGGAAAACTTCATTTAGACGAGTCGAGAACAGTACGACGAATCGTCTTCTTTCTCTAATAATTTAAGGAAACGTCAAAGCTTCCGCGCTTCGCGCGAGAGGGGGAAACTGAATTCAGACAAAATTAATAGGGCTCATTTAGAGTCGAAAACGGTACAACGAATCGTGTTCTTTCTCTAATAATTTGAGGAAACATCAAAGCTTTCGCGCGAGAGGGGTAAACTGAATTCAGATGAATAGGGCTTACTAAAAGTCGAAAACGTTACAACGAATCGTGTTCTTTCTCTAATAATTTAAGGAAACGTCAAAGCTTTCGCGCTTCGCGCGAGAGGGGGAAACTGAATTCAGATGAATAGGGCTTAATAATAATAAGATTCGAAAACGGTATGAGGAATCGTCTTCCTTTCTCTATATTGTGATGAAACCCCGGAAGGGGAAAACTTCATTTAGACGAGTCGAGAACAGTACGACGAATCGTCTTCTTTCTCTAATAATTTAAGGAAACGTCAAAGCTTCCGCGCTTCGCGCGAGAGGGGGAAACTGAATTCAGACAAAATTAATAGGGTTTATTAAAAGTCGAAAACTGTACAACGAATCGAGTTTTTTCTCTAATGATATGAGGAAACGTAAAAGCTTGGGGAAAACTGAATTCAGATGAGTAGGGCTTATTAAAGGGAAAGTCCACCCCCAAAATAAGTTTGTTTCGATAGAGGCAGAATAATAAGAAAATCAGGTGAGTGAAAGTTTGAGCAAATTCTGAATGAAAATAAGAAAGTTATGAATTATTGAAGTTGTGATCAATCAAATACAAATTGGCAACTCTGTGACTTATTATACGAGCTCTCCTTCATTTGCTTTGTGCATAATATTCCATAAAATCATGTTTTCTTCGTTATTGATGACGGAATATATATTTGTTCCTTGCAGGGGGAGTATAGAAACATATTTGCAATTATTATATTTAGGGTGCATGTATGGTTGAAATTTTTCTTGAGGGAAAATGAAAATTTTAGATTTTTTTAGTACTGAGCAAATGGAAGTTGTGCTCGCGTGATACGTCATAGAGTTGCCAATTTGTGTTTGATTGATCACAACTTCAAAAATCCTAACTTCCTTATTTTTAATCAGAATTTGCTCAAGCTTTCACTGACTTTTTTTTTCACTGACCTGTTTCTCTCATTTTTCTACTCCTATCAAAACTAACTTAATTTCAGGGTGGACTTCCCCTTTAAGAGTCGAAAACGGTACGACGAATCGTCTTCTTTCTCTAATAATTTAATGAAACGTCAAAACTTCGCGCGGGAGGGGGAAGCTTCATTCAGATTAGGATTAAGAGTCGAGAACAGTACACCTTCGTCTGCTTTTTCTCATAATTTAATGAAACGTCAAAGCTTCCGCGCTTTGCGCAGGGGGGAATACTAAATTCAGAAAAGGATAAACAGTCAAGAATGGTACAGCAAATCGTCTTCTTTTTTTATAATAATTTAATGAAACGTCAAAGCTTTCGCGCTTCGCGCGGGAGGGGGGGGGGGAACTTCTTTCAGCCTAGGATTACCAGTCGAAAAAGGTACAATTAATCGTCTTCTTTTCCTAATAATTTAAGGAAACGTCTAAGCTTTCGCGCTTCGCGCGGGAGGCTCATCACCCACACCCCCTTATGAGCGCGCTTTTAAGTGATTCTCTTGCTCACTACCGCCCCTCCCTAAAATGAGGTCCTAGCTCCGCGCCTGCATTAAAATATATAGCTATGATGCTGACTAAATTTAAGAAATAATTCGTATATTAATGTCGTCGAGGAAAATGACCATTTTGCGCATATGCAAGTACCATAGATAGTCCATAGGAAAAACAATTTAGCCTTCGACCCCAGGTTTATAGGGTTGACTTTGTAGATATTGGAAATTTAATTTTGTCGGTAATTGGTAGCTACTTTTGTCGGTAATCGTTGGCCTCTACACCCCCCCCCCCCCCCCCCCACTAAAAAAGGTCTAGCGACGCCCCTGATTTCAGGCCAAATGGATCGAATGGCTGATGATGAGGCTGTTTAATAGTCAACAAGACATCGGAGCCCTGTTTCATAAAACTTCTTATCAGTAACAAATGCTAAATTTCTATGACAGATTTTCTCTCAGTCAAGCACATGTACGATTTCAGTAGCTTATAACAGTTATTGTATCTTGTTATTGATATCAAGTTTTATGAAACAGGGCCATGTACTCGGCTGTCTGTATTTCAAAGTCAGACTCGGTATATCAAAGTCATGAATTGAGGGAAGAGGCACGTTGGAAGGCTATTCATAATTGAGAGAGTCTGTCAATCCACCGAGTATCTATCGGTGTTTAGGAGATCCAGAACAAACATTTTTTGGCAATCTACAAGATGTTATCCCTTCGACTTTTACAAACACATTACATTTCCTTAGTATCTAAGGACTCTCTTTAATTATATGTAAGTCTATTTATGATTTCACATTCAAATTAATTCTGCTGAGACCCCCCCCCCCCCCCCCCCCCTGTGAAGGTATCGTGTGTTTTCGGTACTACTCATCTCACCCACGCACCACGCGCAAACCCGCACTTTCCACTGACACTGCCATGCTTTATGACAAAATGACCTTCCCACATAATTATACATGGGGTGAAAATCAAGGATAGCGATTTGATGAAAATCATGTAATGATTGCTATGCAGATTTTCTTTTGTTTTCGGTATTCGTTTGAGTTTTGAATGTAGTGATTTATTAAAGTAATATTATTTTCATCCTTTTAAATGTTGCATTGCTTTTACTTGGCCTGGACACATCATACATCACCTATTTCAGATTTCACCTTGTTCTAATACCACTTTATTAACAATCATGTTTATTAACAAAAGAAGTAACGATATTTACAATTGTATGGAATGTAATGCATGGTGTGGCTCCACAGTACTTGCGAAATCTCATAACAGAATATGTCCCAGGCAGAAATCTCCATTCTTCTGGTACTAAACAGTTAACAGTCCAAAGAACTATGTCTACTCTGGGAGAAAAGGCGTTTATTTCTGCAGCGCCATCTCTTTGGAATCCTCGCCCACTGAGGATCCGATCATTAGAATCCCTAGAAACATTTAAAAAGAATCTAAAGTCATATATGTTCGCATGTTATTTTAGTTAATTATATGTTGAATGTACATGTACATCTATGCATTTCTTTCCTTCTCTTTTCTCTATGTAACTTTTTCTAATTCTATCCCTCTGCGCCTCAGAATAGTTTACTAGATCGATGGCGCATAACAAAATATGCTATATTATTATTTTTATTATTATTATTATTATTATTATTATTATTATTATTATTATTATTATTATTATTATTATTATTATTATTATTATTATTATTATTATTATTATACAAACTACCCAAAATAGTAAAGCTCAGGTAATGTTTGATTATTGATCTTTATATCTATATTGTATATTCCAGAATATTACGTGATTTTTACCAATTTGCGATCCTTGATCTTTCACTCCGTGTACATTTGGGATGCAATGATCTTATCATGTTTATTCTTCTTTTAGCTGCACCTGGATATGAATTCACATATCAGTATTATTCATCTGTCATGTTTCATCCAGTGTTGTTGTTGTTGTTGTTGTTGTTGTTGTCTGCTTTCTCTAGATTTGGCATAATGCCAGTGTGTTAATATCATTTGAAGAGTGCATGGCCTCGGTGCCGAATGCTCTCTTTAATCTTAAAATAGTCTTAGGTTACTTTTGTTTTTGTTCCCATCTCCCTCTTTCAATCACAAAGAAAAGAGGTTTAAAAATATACTTAATCGAAAATATCCCACCAAGTAAATTTGGAATGTTTACTGTAATACCCCCCGGAAGGGCTTATCTTACTCCGTCCATTATCAGGGCACGGTACTTCCCAGCCCCTCTATTGTTCGAAATATTTTGAAGCTATTGTGGGGTACGTGGAAAAAAGCATGTCGATCGCTGCCTCTTCAAAGGAAATGATAAACGAAGAGAGGAGGACAGTTCGTGTCAGAGAACGACATCCCGAGAATGAAAGAGAAAGGATGAAACACTTTAATGAGTGATGTTACAACCGGAGAATGTCCAGATTGATTGTTGCCGACGTAGTTCATGTGTTGATTAGGTGAGAGAGCCATTACGATCATGAAAGGCAGAATACACGTCAATGGACAACTCCTTAGGCATTAAATGCTATTATTGCATTCATCTTCCTCCTGCCATTTCATATCTGGATGTTAACTTAGTGATGTTTTTTATTAGCCATGCGAAGATTACAAGAAGAAGTAGGAGGAACCGTCCGTCATATACTTTTGATTTGAAGATATTTGGAGCAATATTGTAATGCATCATCATCATCTTCATCTTCATCATCATCATCATCTCCCAAAACACGGATGAGGTGTGATACATCTTACGATATATTTTAAAGTTCTCGTTTTGTTAATCCAAATTCGAGTATCTAATTCTTGTAGTGCAGATTGATCATAATGGATTGCCAGATTAATGTCAAAATGTTGGTGCTATGCTACCATCCAATAAGCACTATTATTCTTCAATACTTCGCTTTCGACGGACTACATGGAGATGAACCAGCGTTTCCAACCTTATCTCTTCTCTAATATGCGGTACCACTTCCAAAGACTACTACTCCAGTATTAGCAAGAAGATGATCATGATGGTAGGGGTACGACAAGTAAGGAGTTGGCTTCTCCGAGGGGATCGCTTCCCGACGTGTTATCCAACATCTACGGTACGTACGTGCTCCGGGGTATCCTTGTATTCAAGTTGAGGGGTGTATAATCACAACCGCAAGAACTTTCGAGAAATGAACACGAAGAAAAATTGTAATACCCTATTGTATATCAAAATTAATAGAAATGAAGTTCTGCTTTAATAAGTAAAACCTCATTAACTGTTTGCATATCGTATAAGGTGATGAACAAGCCTTTGAATTGTCTTAGGTTAATTTTTCGAAAGCTTTGGGATCGTTTTTATAATCAATGTTTTATGTCCATTTTAATGGTATCTAGAAGCAGGAGCGTGGAAACATCTTTAAAGTTTCAAGGGGTTTAAAGAAAAAATTAATTCCAAATTTGGTTAAACGCCTTCCCCTTAAACAAACAAACAGGCATTTATTACACCCGTGTCAAATGAACATTTTTCATCACCAATCACCATTATGTAGATCTAATCATCCAAAAATAAAGTTCTCTTAAATATACCGAAATGATGCTGAAACGTCTGGCTAAACAATTCTATTTTGAAAAAATATAGAGTTCTGTGATTTTGGTTAAGGCCATTTACTGTTCTATGCCACATAAGATTTAGTGTAGTTTCTTTAAATCACATTATCGATGAAAATGTTAGATGCGTGTACTTGATGTACGTGTACTTTTTATGACTTAAAGTGTAATACGGTTCACATTCCTGCATGTTTAACACCTTTGCTGCTCACCGCGATTCATTTCATTTACACTTACACATAAACCGCTGCCGGTTTTTTTTTTTGGTAGCGGTTTACCGCGTAATATCTATTAAAACGAGCCTTAAATTTCGATGAGGAATATTTTCTATGTCATGCACCCTTGGAACTTGGTCTGACAGGTTTTGAACAATTTGTTACGTAATTCTTGTACAAAGATCTACGTGGGGGAGAGGGCGGGGTAAAAAACGGTAACTATATCGATTGTTCTGTGTTATTATATCTTTTCTAAATTAACGGGGCGAAGCAAGCCATGGACCTTTGTACTAGGTCCATGGTCTCAAAGGTACCAGTCTATAAATATTTTCTACAATATGGGAATTTATAAAAATCAGAAAAGCATAACGCAAGTTGAAATATCTTTCTGATGGAAGACCTATATGTCACAATTAGACAATATTAATTTTCAGTGTTAAATGTGTATTAGCAAGAAAATTGGGTTAGTATGAAATTTATTGGATTGTCGTTGCCTTATGAGGGAAACAGAAGGCGCATTTTAATAGAACACTTTTTGTATTTTGCCGCTGAATTTCATCCAAAATTTCTGCCGATTTCTCTTTTATTTTACTAAAGATAAACTAGACATAATATTAAATTCAGGAAGTTTGCTCATATCTGCTAATCGATTTTGATATATTAAATCAACATTTGTTTTAAAAGATAATATGTTTTAAAAGATAATATGTTTTTCGTCTTGCCCTCGACAATTAGTGTATTTTCTATTTTGTTCATCATGCAGAGATATAACATTCGGCTGGCCTTGCTGTGCTTGATCATCATATGGTCAACGTTACTTTCTGGTCTTGTTCTTCACTCCAAACTGGTCATCAACCAGCGTGGGTCCAGCGTTGAGTCCAGTAGTGACCAGTCCATTCTAGAGCAATTAACCTTTAAATCAAACCGTACAGGTACTGGTCAGTGCGTCAAAAGTATCCTCCTATATGGGGACTTGGAAGGTATGAGGAGTTGGCCTGAGCTTTCAAAATGGGTGGAGCTTATGGAAACAAGTCTAAGATTGGAAAGGGAGGTGAATCTGGGATGCAGAACTGACAATATCAATTGCACGATCAAACTTTCCCTTGGGACGGACTTGAAACGTTTTCGCGGAAAAGACGCGGTTATTTTTGGCATTTTACCGCGTGCACTGAGAGGACAGATTGAGACGCTGAAAAATCTTGAGCCAGAGCAAAACCAAACGTGGTTCTTTTACAGCACAGAATCGCCTCACCGCATGACATTCTGGAATCAGAATCTGAACATAACTCAGCTCAAATACCACAAGTTGATTTCGTATCACTGGGATTCACACGTCCAATTATCGTTTGGTTCATACAGTTACCAACCACCAGCAAATACGTCCATGAGCTTGCCACCTCAATGGTCCACGAAGAAACATCTCATAGCATGGATGAACAGTAACTGTAATGAAGTATCGTGGCCAAGAAAACCGTTCTTAAGCCGCGTCCGCGCCCGCTTACCGGTGGACGAATTCGGAGCGTGCGGTACAAAGCAGTGTGAACCGCGTCATTCCTCTAAATGCTCAAAGTTGATACAAAGTTACAAATTTCTGCTCATCCTTGGAAACGCTGAATGTGATGGTCTGATTCCAGCCGACTTCTGGTCACTAGCTCTTGCCAATGACGTTGTACCGGTTATCTACGGGGTTCCTAAGGCTGACGTTGCCAAGGTAGCTCCTCCCTCGTCCTTTATCCACGTTTCTTATTTTAAAACGGTGAAATCATTGGCAGATTACCTCCTAACAATAGCAGACGACGAGAAAGAGTATAACAAGTTTTTTGCTTGGAAGAGACGCAGTGAGATAAAGTTGATGTACCCCGTCGCACCCAAACTCGTATGTAGAACGATACCACACATGTTTGACGGTACCCCACAATACCTGACGACTGTGGGTGAGTCGAGTTGGTTTAATGGTTGTCGGACACGGCCCAACAAGAATTCCTTGAAGCCGTTTAGTCCTGATCAACAGTACAAGGAATACAACCATTGGACTATCTGGCAATCAATGTGATTTTGTAATGAAACCGTGATGAATGGGAAATGGACAGGTAGAGGATATAAGTAATTATATATATATTAGAATGACATACAGTAGGAGCATTATGAATACGATGTGGTGATGATTGGCTGAAACAAATATAATACATTGAGAAAGGTGTGGAGGGAAGCTGGGACTTGGGTCCAAACACAGGGATATGGAATTAACAAGATCAATGTGCCTAGCAGCCAAAATTTAAAAACGGTACGAATTTTTTTTGCCAGCCTGCATTATTATATTCATACATCGCCTAGAATTTGCTCACTTGTTAATTTTTACTTTTCCCATACGAGTATAAAAGTTTAGGATGAATCGATTTTCTTTTCTATGTTTTTAATAGCAATTAGTCAATGGTACTTACTTATAGAATTGGCTTTATGCATGAAACTAGTAATTCCCTTTTCTCGGCACTGGGATGTTTGTATTTTGTTACTGTATTCTCAGGGTAGGATTCAGGATTGTCAGCTTATAGTGCCCTTAAGAGGAAAACACGGCTCCGTCACCTCTCTCTCTCTTCGCTGAGTCCACTCAAAGCCCAATTATATACGCGTTCGTTAATATTTTTTAAAGATATAAATGTCACGTGAATTGTAATCAAACAGATTTAAAAAAAATTACCCAAAATATATTTTCTGTCACGAGTTTGTGTGTGATCTAACATGAGCTGTGTAAAACAAACAATAATTACATCGTAGTAGAAATAAAATTTCGTTTTGTTGTTGTATTTGTCTAGAGGAAAAAGGGTTGCAAATATGAATTAAAAGAAATACAAAGTGAAATCAAAATTTAAGTTATAAGAACCGGTGAGATAAAAAGAGCGAAAGGAAAAACATAGCAAAGGAGAATTAGGAAAGAGGATGAGTGGGAGAGAGAGAGGAGGAGGGGAAGTCATGATAGATAAATGGATGCGTGAAATTGATCGGTTCACTCCTTATTTATGAAAGATCGCCCTCAAGGGGCAACGTTAGGGTTATTAGCCACCTCAATGCTTTTAAGGGTGCGATATACGATATACAGGCTTTCAATGATATGCGTCGTGTGTAAAGTAAATTGATATATGTGCATGAAATAGGTATTTGTTGCGAGATAGATGATGGTTGCAAACGTGGAATGCACACGAGCAATGTGTGTGCTATTATGAAGTTTATCAAAGAATGCTATATGGGTGCACATTGCACCTGATACGGAAAAGGTTAATTATGATGACACTAATGATAAGTTTGTGATGGTTTTATCCAACAGACTAAACGAACAATTTGTAAAGTCATTACGGAAGTGAAATATAAATGTATTGAGTAGGATTTATTAAAGTGAAAATATGATAAAAACTGAAAGTGTAATTAAATCAGAAAATTAAATCAAATCAACTGTACAATACTATTAAATTCTTTAAATAAGAATGTATCGACTTTAACATTTTATGAGAGCAAAATAACTTATTGTTAGGTCTACAATGGCAACACTTACAACATATATCCATTTCTAATATGTACAATTCTTTATTTATTAAAGAAATTAAATTAAAGAGATAATAGTTATTAAATAGGCGAGGAATAACAGATGCTCTTGCAAGATTTTCGCCCTGATCATGAACGACGTCTCATTGCAAGAGGGCAGGAGGGGTTGGTTAAAATTCCCATCTATGCGTGCTATGCCAAACCGTATACCAATAGATGTTTTCTTTCCATTATAATATACATCTTCAATATATGAATAAGTAATGATATCCCATCATGGTAATGTGCACAAATGTATCACGGTCGCGAGATGGCACATGCTTAACTTTATCAAGCGCGGTCGTCAGATTTGGGATGACGGGGGGGGGGGGGGGGGGGGAGAGAGAAAGGCTAAAAGCTCCATTTGCCAAAACGTCTGCTTAAATTTAGCTGGTCGATGGTAGTATCCCACCGTGGGTCCATGCTGGACGCATGTTTACTGGCTGATGGTAAACGTTAGCGACTCGCAAGATCTTGAAGGTCTATGGGGAGAGAGGGCAGAAGCATCGGCTTGCATTAAAGAGACAGTGTTCATGCATCGTAATGATTCCTCGGTAGTATTTTGATTATATGTTAAACGAATGTCTCTATGTTCGAGGGGTAGCCATTTTTTAATGTTTAAATAAAACGTACCGTCCATTCTTGGCGAGATGCTAGAAGGTGACGGTGGTGGAGCAACAAAGTGGGAGCTCAAGGGCATGTGCCTGCTCCCCATATCAAATGATAAAGAGAAAGAAGGCGAAAGAAATGGAGAGGGGAAAGAACATCGGAAAAACGTTAAGACCCCCTCTCATGCATACTCGTCCTATCCAAGCTAAGACACTTTCTTGCAATACTTGGATCAATGCTAGTGTACTGTATGAGATGTAATACACAATAATGTGAAAGAGTTATTAATACACACCTAAACCAGATAGATAACACGATGATATGCCTGCACGAACACAAATATTCAAAAAATCACTTCTACTCGGAAGGAGGACAGTATTTCTTTAATAAGGTACACATTGCTTAAAATGAACAAGATAGGGCCTTTAAGGAGAGGTGAGGTGGGTTAGCATTTTGTCAAAAATCAATACTGAGAGTGGAAAGGGATCTGAGGCAAACAGAACTGACGCCAAAAGTGAGTGGTTGTGAAAGCCGTCAGCCTTGTCTGCTGTCACGAGATGGAGAGAAGGGGTGAAGAAGGAGGATGAATTAGAAGAGGTGGATGAACGTTCTATCATCTCGAGCATGAGAGGAATGATGGTATTAAATGAGGTAATGCGAACGTGGGTGGGGTGGGGTAAAGGGTGAATGAATTGTGATGAAGACTAGGGGCGGATCCAGGATTTTCCAAAAGGGGACATACAATGTACGAAATTGCGAGCGCGAAGCCTTTACGGCATTGGGTCTGGCCGGGGCCCGCTTAAGAGCCCCGTAAAATGTTCAACCTTAAGATGATCTATGGTACATTCTGATGCATCTCTGAATGAGTAAAATCAACTTTTATGTTTTTAAAAGGTAAAACGGGGTGTGCGCCTCACGCACGCCCCCCCCCCCCCCCCCCACCCCTGGATCTGCCCCTGAAGACGAGCAAGATGACTTTGAAAACGGGCTGGAAGCCCGGAAGTCAGGTCTGGATCGTATTGCCTTGAGAATATTTCTGATATTTTGTATTTGTTTTCTTCCTCTCTATATTCTTTTCTCTCTCTGTCTTTGTCTCTGTCTCTCTCTCTTGGTTTCTTTCTCTCTCTCTCTCTCTCTCTCTTTCTCTTTTTTTTCTCTCTCTCACGATAACTCTTTCTATCCAACTATCTATCAATATAATATACCTCTATGACGCTTTTAGTCTTTCCCTCCATACCTACCCCCTCCCCTGTCTCTCTTTCTCTCTCTCTCTCTCTCGCTCTCAAAGTGTCACTCTCTTCATTTCTTCTTTTCATCTCCTTCATCATTTTTATTCTCTTTATTTTTTGTTTGAATTGTTGTATTTCTCCTATAACTCTCTTTCATTCCTTTCAATTTCATTTCAGCCACCATTATAACTTTTTTTTTCTCTCTCCCTTCATCTTTCTCTATAATCACCATCTCCCCTTACCTTTTTGTCAATATATATATATATATATATATATGCAGGTTTACTACATAATTCAAAATCAATTTATTCATGTTTCCAACAAAACATCACAAATCAATTATAAGCATTTAAAACAAATGTAAGAAATACATGTTGGAAACAGAGGGATCCACTAAAAAGCAATGCTTTTACAAGTGTGAACACCTCAAATGATACTTAGGGATAATGAGTAATTAAATCAACTAATCCGTAACTACAAAGGGAACTACAAAATAGGGGAAAGAAAAAGGGGGATGCCAACAGAGACGAGAAAGGGACAATTAGACAATGCTTTACACGACAAAGATAGAAGAACATGGTCATAATACAAATACATATATTATCGGTACTCAGCCTCTACCTCCAAATACATTTCTCTTCTCTTTCCATCTGTCCACCTTTTTCACAAGCATGAATGTCACCATGTCTACACACGCATACGTACACGCACACACAAACATCAGCCACCCACACATCATTCGTCTCGGCCATCCTCTCCCTTTAGTGTCTGTTGTCATCCAATGATTCTCATTTCCTTTACCATCTTCCCCTGTGGGACCAATCATAATAAACAGCTCAAGGTAGAAATTATTTGTCATTTCAACCTTCTCCTGAGCTCGTCTCAGTAACCAAGTCGAAGTGTAGACGCTATCAACGAAGAATTCATCGATTTTTCAGGAAAATTGTTACCGATGATAATCAGAACATTCTGGATTTATATGGCGGTTATACAAGCCACAAGTCTTGATGGTTATTTTACTGCGATTATTAGAGTCTTTCCAACACAAAGTGTGTGCACATTGTCCACTCCACTAGGATATTCCATCCAAACTGTCACTATTTCAAGTGAGAACGTAATGTTGATCCAACCGCAATGATATAAACATCCTATCGGGTTCGAGTTTACACCTTACTTGCACGTTTCCTGTTTGGGAGTTATAATAGAAAAAATTGAATGAACGTGCAAGGAAATCGCTCAACGTAACGAAATAGTTTTCTGCCTAAAACTGATTTACAATAAAAGGAAAGTTTTGTTTTATTGTGTAAATAGTGTTTAATAAAACCCCATGCGAAAATAATATTTTTTTCAGAGATAAGATATACTCCCTGGTGAATTCAATATTGTTAGGGTGGAGTATCTTATTTTTAGTTGGGGGGGGGGGCATAGTATGACATTGCACTGTGCTGGTTCCTAACGTAGCTCTAGGCAATGTGTTATGGTATAATGATGATAAGATTTACGGATAACTGCGTTTTTATTGAAAAATAAGTCACATAGGATATACGATACCATATTTATACAAACCTTAAACAATAACATTACATTTAAAATAGTGGCATTTCAAATGCACGGGGAAACGAAATATCTCCTGTGTAAGTTGAATTCCCATCATTATCATGTTTAAAGGTAAAGACCAGTATTGGTAACGCCCCAATTTCAAAAAATGAAATGGAAGCTCTCATTACCAATCATGTGAAAGAATATGTTTTGACTAATACATGATGATAAAAAATTTGCCGGGAAACCGCCTACTAATTCATATACTTGGTAAATTTATTTCTCTCATGGTCGTGTGAGAGAGATAGGGTAGTCCCATATACATCTTTCTGTGTATAGTGCTTGTAACTTTACGAAGAATGGGCCACATTTCTTATCATTTTGATGATTCCAGAACCTTGCAGATGCTAGATGCTAGATGATCAACCTTTTCTGATCGATTCCACAACGTTTCTTTCACAATGCAATCGCATGACCATTACTGGTCTTTACCTTTAAAAAATCATCAAAATATTGTAAAACAAAGAAGCAATACAATGTTATCATTTACACATTATATGCATCATAAACACGTTTATTTTGCCCACTGCATTCTCAGTACATGTACATGGCGGGGCATGCGAGAAATTGAAATATATATAATTCATAATACGAGGAACATCCGAGTGCGTTTCCTCCCACCGACACGTTTGTAGACGATGGATAATACAGTCAAGTCGGTCACAGGGTAATTACAATGACAAACATCAGGACAAGATACAAATTAACAAGTAGTATCCCTTTGAACAGAACACCAATGATCATCATAAATGAATGACGAGGATATACAAAACAGTTCAGGATCGAATAAAAGCAACGAATACATACAGACCTAAACTTTTCGTCTTGCACTTATTACCATGGTCAGGGTAAATCGGACAATATCAACGGAAGCTAAAGAAACCAAATTTAAAAACATGCAAAGTTAAAAAGTTATGTGTGTATTTTTTGCTTTAAAATGCGTGTTTTGCCATTGAACCAATTGGGATTATTAAAGGGATATAGGAACCCGGACGCTATGCATCTGATTATGATGGTATTCTATTTCCTTGAAACCGAAACAAGACTACATATTGACCCCCCCCCCCCCCCCGGAGAGAGAGAGACAGACAGACAGACAGACAGACAGAAAGAGAGAGAGAGAGGGGGAGAGCGAGAGAGAGACAGAGAGACAGAGAGATAGGGAGAGAGAGAGAGATAGGGAGAGAGAGAGAAACTAAACGGTTAGATCTAATATATGCATAGTTTTAATATTATCTTAATTGCCTGAAGCTGTTATCACAACCCTGACTAGATTCCTCCGGAATGGACACCTTAACAAAGACGCTGGTTACCCTTAAAACATCCAGACTTGATTGAACAGACAATACATATAACAAGAGCTCAATGCGAAGGTAATTAGAGGAGTTTCACTCGTCCCATTAAGCACACTCACAAGGTCTAATCTCCTATTGTAATCTGAACAACGCTCTATACGAACATCTCCAATATAGTTCGTCCGATATTCGAGAGTATTAGCATTTAGTCAAGAGTCCGGGAGACATTAATGAGGCTAAAGGAACGCGGGAGACTGAAACAGACGGAAATATTGGAGGAGGAAAAGACAAGAGCACAAACACAGGGGCAGACGGATGGCAGTTGGCGGTAAATATTTACCGAACCACGTGATTTCGCTCAACACGACAATAATCAAGGAAAGGGCGGGAAAATAACGTCGTGTTTTTCTCAGCTGCGACTCGTGACAGATCATGATGTAGTATGAATGTAAGTACACTCATTTACATTTGAGAGCGTTGTTGTTTCTAGGTGGGAAACATGAATGATGGAGAAAGAAAGAAAGAAAATGAAATCTCGAAATAAAGAGGGGGTGGTAGATAGAGAGAGAGAGTGGAGAGAGAGAGAAAGAGAGAGAGCGAGAGAGAAAGAGAAGGGAGAGAAAGGGGGAGGTGCAGAGACGAAGTGAACGGAAAAGAAAAACAAATCGGAAAAGTAGAGAGAAACAGTGAAAAGGTGAGGGGGGAATGAGATCAGATAAAGAAAGCTAGAATGAAAGAGAAAGAAAGAAGGAAAGAAATAAAATAATTAAAGAGAAGGGGCTAGAAAGTAAATGTACGTTTCTACACACTAGATTAAATGTATGTATCAAGTAGGGACAATAATTTATCTCTCATTCTCCTCATGGATATATTTCTTTATTTTCACATCAACTTAACATGATCATTTCTTATCACAATCCTCACATCTTTAAGGTGAACAGAACGAAAGAAAATGTATTTTCCTTTGAGTATACATATAAACGTACACATTCTGAGTGTTGCTTATTGCTATGACTAACTCTTCATTATTATAGACGCTAGTGGAGCCCAGCCTAGAATAATGAAGTAAAATGTCTCGTGTAGTTCATCAGAGTAGGTCAAATATTGTCTTTATTTTTGTCTTAGTGAAACTTCTTTACTGTCGCACTACATACCTGGCCTTTACATGCAAAAAAAAGTATCTTTATATATATCTTGGTAAGATGTGAATATATCAATATCTCAAACAAGTGTACGGAATCATGGTATTATGATAATGTGAATTGAGATTGTGATTTTTAAAATACAGCTGTATACGCCATTACGGTATATGGCTGGATCGCATTCATTAATAAACGTTCTTGTGTATCCAACTGCATATCTATGTAAGATGTTGATTTAGTATAATTATACTGGCACTAATCTAGTAAAAAAAAAAATTAACGACAGCATCGTAGTAATAACGTTTTTTAATAGACCGTTAAATAGGTTACTAACGTTTACAATAATTACCCAGGAAACACTTTATTTTAACCCATTCTTACTGCGGACATCTCATGGCCAGCAAGAGAGTTCAAGTCACTGATAATAATTCGATATGTACGTCTACAGCACATTATTCATCAGCTTGTCACCTTCATTGTTTTTAATGTCAACAAATGTTTTTTTTTGTACATTGTGATTATTAGTCTTTTTCCATCTAGGCATAGGTCCCTAGCATTAAACCTAATTATTTTCAATTTCAGATCAATGTAAATCGTACTCTGAAAATGTGACTATTGTACATTTATTCATCTTCATCTAAATAACAAGATTCTTATTGGAAAAAAAAACAGATTAAATATTAAGGTTCTGCTCCTCCTTTAAAGCAGACGTTGAGTGTGCCGACCAGACGGACATTGGAAAGATAAAGAACTATGCAAATTTTGTCCCCCTGGTAGCCTACGATGATTATCAAGGAAATATGTGGACTCCTCAACGAGGAGGATAATGGGAGGCTTCTCTGCAGTCAGCGGAAATAATGCCCCATGGTCAATATACTGTCCGAGAGTAAATGGAGGGAAGTTATATTATTTAAAATATCGACAAAGTATGAGAAAAATGCAACCAAAAATGTCACTTGATGTAGCCTATTATTTACGAATATACTGTAAGAGCGTCATGTAATGCAGCCAAAATGTACAGACCTATTTTAACTTTGCTTCTTACACAATAACTATTTTGTAAATTGTATCATTACTTGTGTGACAGGTATTTAATCATGATTTTTTTTTCTCCAATTCTTACTTTGGGAGTTATAGATTTACAATTTTCTATATAACACAGCCAATAATGTTACGTTTCGATCGTACAGTACGAAAACAAGAATAACATTAAATCAGGCATTGAATATAACATTCATTTCTTATTTTAAGTGCTACCATGTCAAATAAAACGATGTATAAATGATAACTAAACAATAATTAAGATCTTTGGAAGAAGAAGAAGGGCGTCTTTGTAATGGCTACCCTACCGTTCATCAAGAAAGGACATATTTTGTCAGACGAGGACAATAATTACTCCATCATTGAGTCAATGATCCACCTTTTCTGCCACTATGTCTGGCATATAGGCGAAGCAGCGGCGATGCTTTATTGAAGACCCTGTCTTATTGGCCACATTTCCTGTACATTAAACAAATTGATTCCCGTAATAAGAAAAAAACAAAATAGAACAAATATCCACTCTATCCGAACTCCTATCTGATCTCCAAGCGTGATTAACATACTATTTTCTCGTTTTAGCAGTTTTTTTTTATTAAGTTTGAGTTTAACAGAATTTCTATTTCTATCTACTATTTTTATCAATAGTTTGAAACTAATGAATTTCACATTGTTTAGTTTCTATTCATCGAATTACCGGGTATTTTTTCCTCCGCCACTTTTGTTTCCTATTATATTACTGTTCCCACTTCCCTATTGTTTGTTTGTTGAATTTCTTTTTAGAAATTTGAAACCTCTCGAGAAGAGGAAGCAACGTTCAAACGATCATGCATCGTTACACAATGGTTGTTCTCTTTCTCTCTCTCTCTCTCTCTCTCTCTCCCTCTGTCTTTCCCCTCTCTCTCTCTCTCTTTCTCTCTCTCTCTCTCTCTCTTTCTCCCCTTTCTCTCTCTCCTTCTCTCTCTTGCTCTCTCTCTCTTCCTCTGTTTGTCTGTCTGTCTGTCTGTCTCTTTCTGCCTCTCTCGCTCACCCTTTCTATCTCCAACCTCTCTCTCTCTCTCTCTCTCTCTCTCTGCACTTCCACTTGCTGTGAATCAAATATTTGGCGGAGCGTCCTAATACTTGATGCATTCCAACCGCCAACTTGATTCTTTTAGGCCTTCAAATGTACTTTTCCGAATGTAGTTCATCCTCATCGATTCGCGGGAATCAAGTGGATCATGTTATGAGGATTTCATAAACGAATCATGTGACTTTGGGACAGGCACACGATAACATCAATGCCAAGTCACAGAGACATAACCTGCAAGAACAGCACACTCATACCCATCCAATTTGCCTTGTCTAGCTACACTCAAATCAATAAAGCCCTTTTGGATGGGGGTTATATGGAATATAGGCAGACCATGGGTGATTTGGGTTTCCTCGGGGCGAGAGACCGCTTTCACATTGCGGTGGTGTGTCGTAGTAGAGTGCGATCTGCATCACTGCAAATCCTAACACAGAGTACACCTTTCCCTTCGGCTATGCATGTTGAAGTGTTTCAAATACAGGCGGAATGGAATAAATTTTCGATGTGAAAGTATCTTCTTTGCGGAAGATTGATACTACAATACATACTATAGATGACCCAGATGTCTGATCTAGATCTGGAGTACCAAAATATATCAGCCAGATAATTTACATTACATTAATGTAGCATGTATTCCGACCGATGATTTTCGAAACATTACATTACCTCAGTAAGTAATACTTTATTTGGAAGGCATGCTTCTAAGATGCATCTATCCTATTCATGTCCGCTGATGTGATTTCAACCACTTTGACTCGATTTGCGCTCTTAAAACAGACATGATCGAAATGGAAGAATAATTAGTCAATAACTTTGCTTCGTTGCGTTTTGATTTTAGGTACTTCGTGAATTGAACAACAACAGCAATAACTTTCAAAATTCAAATCAAAGCTGAATTTCGTTTGCGTTGACCCAAGAGCATTTTTTTAACTAGAAGTTAAAAGATCTCTATTTCATCCTACTTCATTTTATAGGGGATTTCATGTTTACGAAAGGATATATTCACTTGCAAGCATTCAGTATACCAATCTTGACACCCTTAATATTAGAGTCTTTACGTGTAATGTAGTTTAAGTTAAAAATGACATTGTAAATGTTATAATTGTGAAAAGTTATATTTATTGTTTCTCTCTCTCTCTCTCTCTCTCTCTCTCTCTCTCTCTCTCTCTCTCTCTCTCTCTCTCTCCTATCTCTCTCTCTCTCTCTCTTTCTATCTATTTCGTTTTATCACCCTCTTCACTATTCATTCTATCCTTCCGTGCTCACTCCCATCCACCCTCACTCATGTCTACATCTTTCATGACCTTCTTTCGTCGAACGTCGCTTTGAAGTCAATGTGACGGAGGATGAAGGAATCTTGTTTTATCAGCTGCCCGTGTATGAAGTTCACGGAACACTCTTCGTTTGCTTTATCAGTACGGGTCATTCTAATACTTGGACGGCGTCTTATGAAACTAAGCTGAGCAGCCATGCTTCTAAATCCATCAGGAATACTCGATTGAAAATTTCGAAAACAAGACCATTAAAGTAAATTTGATACTCATATTGCATGCTCCATATTCGGCATTCCTTTGCTCTCCTACTTCGTTTTGTCCCTCTCCGCCCCCACCTTCTCTCTCCCCCTCTCTCTCTCTCTCCCTCTCCCTCTCCATCTCTCTCTCTCTCTCTCTCTTTATCTATCTATCCAACTCTTCCTCTCTCTCTTTCTCTCTCCTCTCTCTCTCTCTATCACTCTCCGCCGCTCCTGTTCTCTCTTATCGCTCACCATTTTGTCCCTTTAGTAATCCATTGATTTTTCAATGCAGTCTCTTTGCCTTTGCCTTCTTTGATATTACTCTCTAAATCTTCGGAATTACATCAAATAACTATCGACTGATATGCATGAAATGTAGGAGTCAAATATACAACTTTTATTTCGGTAAAGGTAAATTTACCATTTTGTAACAATAATTGGTAAACAGTAGATTATACAAAATGCAAACAGGTATTGTTAGTTTCAGATCGGTGCGATTTTCATTATCATCTAACAGAGATAAAAATTAACAATGCGTGGAGTCATTATCTTAAAATTGTATGATTATAATCGTCTTTTGATAAAAAGAGGAGATATATTGAGATTCTATATTTAAATCGGTGTGAAACAGAACGATGAAACTTTAAAATGCTAAATGATGATGCTTTTAAACGTGCAACTGAGTTGATAGGCAAACAGTTTAAAGGTAGAAAGTTTATAGAGTGTAATTTAATGCCTGATGTGTATTTTGATTGAAATTCAACGCCAGTCTTCAAACGTAACAAAAGGAGAAACTTCCACCTATCTCGAATGTCCACTTTTCGAAATAAAGGTCACGTGATGCTAATATCTTAACCACTTATTTCAAATGGATGAAATACGAGAGGACATGAAATTCTATCTAAATAGAAAATGAAGAAGAAGATGCGGATAGTCAGGGAGAAAGTGGGATGGGACAAAAAGGGAGGTATATGGACAGACAGAGAGAGGGGAGAGTGTAAGAGAGACGGAGGGAGAGAGAGGGAGAGACAGAGATTGGGAGAGAAAGAGCGAGAGGGGAAGAGAGGAGGGGACAGCGTAAGTGTGAGAAGTTGGGAGAGAGAGAGATCATTCTTATTGTATTAAATGATGCAATTCAAATGGATTTCAATGTTACCAATGCTGTGCTGTTTAAATATGATATCATTCTAAATTTCTTTACCTGAATGTTTCCTAAAAATGTATTACCTAAGAAAAAGAACCGTTGTATTTAGCTATCAAAAATATAAGTATCTTCTAGGGGACCAAGTCAGAAGCTATAATGTCTCGTCAATTATCAGGTTTTTTGTATGATTCTTAAAAGCTCAATACAAATTAAAAAATAAATCGTTAGCGTCCGAACACAACAATAACAGCAGATTTAAGATTTAAAAACTTTGCATCATCTGAGTATCTTTATAATGATCCCTTCCTTTACTATCCTCGGCTCAGTGCAATTCAATGACTTCTCTGGATGTGTAATGTTAATGTTAACACGCCCGTGAAATTAGGTAGACTTTCCCCAATACAGCATGGGGTAACTCCGCCAAAGACTTTCTTATACTGTCAATGGGTAATTGTTGACAGTGTAAACACATCTCACAGGTATCCCGATCTCGATCTTGGGTCCTACTCGCATTCAGAGAAATATCTTCTGTGCCGGTTGCTTTTAATGCTTGAATGATTCTTTTTCATTTTATTCTGTTTCTTTTCAATCCTTCAACCTTAATGTCTTTTCTATTCTTTAAACACCTTGTTATATTTTTCTTGTAAAATTTAGTTTGTCATTATGATAATAATCTCTCTTTCTCTCTCTCTCTCTCTCTCTCTCTTCCTATTCCTTTTTCTTTCCATGTCTTTCCTTAATCTATTAAACTTAATTATATTTTACTTCTTTTTAATTTAATTATTGTTCATATTGCTGAATTATCTGTGTAGTGGAATTTTGTATTCTTTCGTTTGCACCATGATTCAATTATTGACGAGTCATCGATACTCGCACTAAAAGTCGCAAAATAATAGGCAAACAAAGTGGATGATTGTTTGGCGCCACTTAAGCCGTGATCACGTGATCATGAATAGGCGTCCACTCTTATCCCACGTCTCATGTAGCGTCGGTGCGAGTCTGCTACCGGCTTAACTCTCCCATGGTAAGCGGGTATATTATCATGTAACCAATCAGATGAGATTTACAAAAGCCAGGTGAAGGGGATTCTAAGGTAGAATTCTCTTCTGTCGAGGCAGAAAATTAACCCAAATACCATCTTCAATCCTTTCCATGTGTATGTCTGCCCCCCATGGGCCCGATCCTTTATTTAATTTCGAGCTTGGTTGGTAAATAGAATGAAACGGATCTGATTACTAAAGTGACGATAGAGGTATCATTCTACGAGGCTTTTCTTTGGATCTTACCTTCTTCTCTTCTTCTTCTATACCCCTCGCTGTTGTTGTTGTTAAGGTCTAATCATGCTAATATACCATTTGGTGCAAGTGCATGCTGTCTGTTCGGAGCCAGAATTGCGTTAATGCCGTGTAAAAGTATATGAGGTAAAGTTCGTCTGGCTCCAAGCTAATGATACATGCCGACAGTATCACAGGTGCGAACCCTCGTAGTCACAAATTAAATATGGGTGCAAATAATGAAATTGAAAGAAATATCAATCGCATAAAATGATAAAATATGCTCTATAATTTCTGGAAGCCTCATACTTCGGAATGGTTTTAACATGTGTCAATCTTTTTAGCTCGACGTAGTATGTCCGTTTGTTAAAACAAATATACATGGGAACTTGTGAATCATACCATGCATGTAATTTATTGGTAACATGACTCTCGAACGTAATCTGCTTATCATTTCTAAAGTATCACAATTTGTACCACTACATCCACCACTACTACTACTATTCATACTACAACCGCCATTATTAGTACAACTACTGCCAAAGTTACTACAGGTACTAAATGTAATGGTGGTGATGATGATAATGGTAATAATAATAATAATGATAATAATAATCCATCCATCCATCCAAAAGATATTCGATATAGCGCCTTTTCCTTGCAATTACAAAGCGCTGCACACACGGTCTACAATGTTTGAGCCACTTAAAAACAAAATTTATACACTTCTCAGAGATCAGTCAAATATATGAAGGCTGGTTATTTCTAGCTAATAATTATGATGATAGTAACATTAACAATAATAATGATAATAATGGTGGCTTTTTATATAGCGCACTTGTCCGTCACGTCGCTGCCCCCCCCCCCCCAAATGAAAATTATTATAATGATAATGGTATTAATAATTACCGTTAAATAGTAATAACTAACAAAATAATAAAAATGATACTAATGATGTTAGTAATAACAACAATGCATTTAAAATCATGCTTTTAACATTCCTGCCTGTGTCATACATGGACATCCTGAAGCTTTCTTGTAGGAGTGATCCTGGTGTAGATTCTAGTCATAACCTTTTTGACACTCCTTGCTGGGTGTTTAATGCGTTTCGCTTCGACACCATCCTACCTAGTATGGGGCGTCCTTGCCCCGTTCACTCATTTATTCTAGACGCACAGGTGTGAGGAGATACTCAAATGGGCACAACCTACTCCATCGGTAAACTATCGAGAAGGGGAGAAGAAATGAGAAGAGCAGGGGTAGAAGAGAGCTAAAGAGATGCGAACAGAGAAAAGAGGATGGTGGAAAAAAGAGAGAGATGGACAGACCATATGCGTTAGCTAGGGAGAGAGAGAGAGAGAAGAAAGAGAGAAACAGAACAGACTGATACCATGCTGATACATAGAGAGACTGACCAGAGAGAAGGTTTAAGGGAATAAAAAAAAAGCGAGACAGATACAGAAAATATGAAAAGGGAGAAACCGAAGAAAGTGAGAAAAATAACATGGAAAGAGAGAGACAGAGGAGATAGAGAGAGAAATAGAGAGAGGGTGAGAGAGAGAGAGAGAGAGAGAGAGAGAGAGAGAGAGAGAGAGAGAGAAAAGAAAGTGGGAAATAAAAAATACAGAAAACACAGAGAGAAAAAAAGATCAATGGAATTGGATACGGGAAAAGAAAATATGTAACAAAAAAGGATAGGACGACAGAGAGAGAGAAAAATAAGAAAAAGAGAAAGATGGAAAGATAAAAAGAGAGAGAGAGATAGAGAGAGAGAGAGAGATAGAGAGAGAGAGGAGGCGGTGTTTGAAAATCTGCCCATGTTGAATAGTATACTCAACTCTAGGTATGAAAATGGATATCCTCGAATTATGGAATTCCCCTGTCTTGACTAAAGATTTTCGTGCGTGTACGTTGTGTGTTAGTATGGGTGTGTGGGTGAGTGCGTGTGCGTGTACGTAGTGTGTTAGTATGGGTGTGTGTGTGAGTGCATGTGCGTACATGAAGTGTGTTATTATGGGTGTGTGGGTGAGTGGGTGTACGTACATGTAGTGTGTGTGGGTGAGTGCGTGTACGTACATGTAGTGTGATAGTATGCGTGTGTGGGTGAGTGTATGTGCGTGACCGGTCTTGTGTATAGGAAAAAAGGTTACTTCAGGTTGAAATACATACCTCCAATTATCTGCAATGATTCCTCACATTACCCTAACTAGAAAACCGAAGTTTATTTTAAGGGGATATATCGAGATAATTGAGCTTTATGGAACATTCATTTCATGAAAGAACTAACGACAAATTTAATTGGCCAAATATAATTTGTTTCGAAATAATACGTGCATATTTTAGTACGATAGAATTTTGTGCTCGAATTATTAAGATATTATCAGATGATATATATATATATATATATATATATATATATATATTAATGGAAATAATAGGCCGACGTCCAGATGTCTGTACCATTTCAAGATTTGGGGTTCTAACTTACATTTTAACTTAGAAAAATCCTTTCCACGTGTCTAAATATTGCTGAAAATGAAATTAACGATGCAGTAACTCATAAGAACCTTTCTTGTCATTACAGATAAAGGTGAGTTCTGGTCATGTGATTGCATTGTGAAAGAAAAGGTGTGGAATGAATAAGAACAAGTCAAGTCGATCATGTAACATGTAAGTATTGGTGTGTACTGCAAGGTTCTGGAGTCATCAAAATCATAATAAATAAGGCCGAGTCTTGGTAAAGTAACAAGCACTGAAAGATGTATATGGGACTACACAAATGGTGTCGGGTTTACTTACCTTGATTTCCTTATCTTTCTATGCTCATTACTCAGCTAGTATACATTTTCTACCATAATTGTTTGGCAAATGACATTTATATGTAATCCTGAACATTCAGTGTAAGTTTCGTTTGATTCTGTGAGAATTCATTTTCTTTTTTTTTTACCAGAACTCAAGTTTATCTTTAACCTTTTTTGTGTGTGTAAATAAATATATTTAAAAAACGAAGCATTGACCCAGAACTGTTTGTTTCCATAACAATACATCGCTTGTTTATGTATGCTTTTAAATGCATGATCTGGATACAATTTATCTTATTTCATGTAGATAATAGCCTTAGGCCTATGATTCTCAAACTTGTCCATAACAATGAAATAAATAGAATCGAACTCTTTTGCAGCTATGGTGTTTTTTCAGAATCACTTACATTCATACGATGTTCTCCAACCTAATAGAGATCAGCGAATACGTACAGAAACACCACAATGTATGTAATAGAGTTGTCGTGATCGTTTAGAATCCCAGTTTTAGTGATGCCCAATGAAAAACGCCAGAAATTTGGCCTATGACATCCGATAGTCCATTTTCATTTAAACTAAAAAGTTTTCAAGGATTTACTTTATTAAAAGATCGTCAAGTTTTTTTAGGAGGAATGCGTCAGGAGAATTACTGTAGATTATCTATTTTGTAATTTGTCAATATTTATATTTCATTTAAAATGTTACATATTTTGTTTTAGAAAAAGGAATTTCTATATACTTTCAGTTTATTTCACTTGAATTAAATACATCAGAATTTCTTTGTGGATAAAAGATTCATTATGAAACATTTATAACATTACAAAGAATCGTATACAGTAAATCCTCCGTTTTAAGATCGTAAAGTGTTTTTTTACCAGTCGAATTGCAAAGCCTACCATTTTGACGTCGAAAAGATTTTCACTTTGGGCATTATTTTCACCTACCGTATAAAATCTCCATGTCATTAAAGTATTACCCCTTTTCAGCTGGCTGTGCATAAAATCACAATGATAAAGACAGATCACCAATTCGAATCTTCTGGAATATCTTATTTTCTGTTTTCTAGGAACGTCGGGGGAATAGCATGAATTCATAGGGTCATAAGTGGTCTATAAACGGGTAGTCTAACTCACAGTATATCGTCACCATGTGTTAAAGGAACTATGTGGTGAGACAAAATCGAGGAGATAAGAAGTATAAAGAACATAAAATAGTTCGGTGAGTATACTTTCATACATTAGACAAAATAGATTAAACATTTCTTCTATAAGTATTACATGTAGAGAGAGAGAAAAAAAGGAGAGGGTTTGAGAGAGCAAAGAGAAAACGAAAACATGCCCATTTGAAATGTGTACCATTACAGTGAGAGGCATTTTACTCTTGAAAAAAAAATCTTTTCAAACAGGCTTTACACTTGCTTTACTCTTATCCATCCATCATGACAAACCACAATATTATGAAAAGTCTACCTCCAAATGCTGTGTATAGGCTATTAGGTGGTCAAGATGTTCAAACTATGGAGATAAACAGGGAGGTAAATAATGAGTTCGTTGTTAATGGCTAAGAAGGCATCACTACTGAAATCAGTGGATGTTATGTTTGATTGTATATTACACAATAATCCTTCCAGCACTTATGATGCAGCAACCTCCATTACCCCCCCCCCCCCCCGCTCTTCTCTCTCTCTCTCTCTCTCTCTATCTCTTGCTTTCCTAATGTCGATCTATTTATCTAGCTATCAATCTCTCTCTCCCTTTCTCTGGATTTCTATTTCTTTTCTCCACACCCTCTCTGTCTCTCTCTCTCTCTCTCTCTCTAAACCTCACCCTCAACCTCATTCCTCCAAGGATTGTGCAACAGGATCCCTGCCTTGTTAATGCAAACAGTTATTCATCTCCAGGGTATGTTGTCAGCAGTCAGAGTGTTAATTGGTTGTCAACACAATCTATTGCCGTGATGATCATGGTCTATCGGGGCATATCTCTGTTCACCAATCCTTTCTCTCTCTCTCTCTCTCTCTCTCTCTCTCTCTCTCTCTCTCTCTCTTTTCTCTCTCTCTCTCTCTCTCTCTCTTTCTCTCCCTCACTTTCTCTTTCTCTCTCTCTCTCTCTCTCTCCACCAGTACCTCTTTCATCCGAGGTTATAGAGCGGGCAATTATCTCGGGAAAAGGGGACAAAATCGCGCATCCTGATAGCCCTTGATTTTGAGAGGCATGAATATTTGATGATTTTGTCATTCAACCCTGTCTGAAAACACAAAATCCCGCAAGTGATACACAATATATACCTGAAAACACAAACTCCCGCAAGTGATACACACTAATACCTAGAAACACTAACTCCTGCAAGAGACACACAATATATATATATATATATATATATACACACATACGTGTAGGAGGCTAGTTGAATCATAGAGCATATGCCAAAATTGGATAACAATTTCTTTAACAAAAATAACTCATCTATGCCCTTAGCTCTTTGGAAAGCACCATACTAAGCACATTTTGAGTGCATTTAAAAAAATTGAATTATTAGCGTATAGAAATATATAATTGTAGAATAGCTTGCTTGGGAAGTATTATGCTTGATGAAAGATATATAGGTTATGCCTCATATCTTCATAGAACCCACACATTGTTTTGAGCCAAAATGTTTCACGAGCATCATAATATGATTATGCCACCACAGTTTTCTTTCTTTTCATTTCATTTCATATGTTTATTTTCTGCTAACGTTTTTTCCCATGCAATAAATAATGTTTTTCAATGCACAAAAAAGGTATCATAGTACTGTGCATTTCTTTTAATATTCTCGATGATGTTACCCTACATATTCCGGGAAACCGAGCTGCTTTTTTAAAGAATTTTTGCGTCAAAGTTGCGTTAATTTATAAAAAGAAAAATTTGCAGGAATATTGCGAATGTAATAACGGTACCTTAATTTTTGACATACGTAAACTTTATGAAAAGAAACCACAACAAAAAAGAGAAAAGGGGACTATAGAATTGATCAGTTCGGCCGTTAAAGGAAAATGAAGGAGCTTGCCAGTTGCGCATTCTCTACCTTGGAAGCTCTGTGAGCTTTTGCGCCATCAGTGATTGTACGGTAGCGTAAAGAGAGAGGGAAGACCGTTTGTATACGATCCGCACATAGAGATAACATACCCTGAAAAAGTGGGAAGCACTCGCATACGGATCACCGTTTGTGCAGTGTAGGCGCAAAAAAAGACAAGTGATGAAAACTGTCAATACTGCTCTATCATCTGAAAACTTCTAACAGCGTCTTCTTTTTACGTCATCTATTGTTGATACCCCATCTGGAATAATCTGATCGATTTCCTATGATGCGTTCTCTGGCCCGTTTTTCTTTTGTCTGGTAGTCTACTGTTGTTGGTGGAATACACAAAGAGGGAGTAGAAGGACTTTGCCAGGCCCTGGGGCAGGACAACCCATAGCACTCTCTTCTGTTTCCAATAGGAGGGTCTACTCTGTTTACCTAGTACTGGTGGAGGGGTATGTTTCGTTTCGAGGAAGCTTCCCCAGAACCCAAGATGGGAAGCTAAGGAAAGAGAAGAGCTCGCGTTCAGGAAACTAAAATATAAAAAGAAACGTGTGGATATCATCTCTGTCTCTTTGACCCTCTCCCCTTTTGAATGTAACCACGGGATTTTATTGCATTTTTATTTTCGGAATATCTACAGCGACGCATTGATCTCAAACTCTGTTGGATACTACCGTCTGCATGACGCGATTCGTCAAGTGCTAGTGCCCATCCATGTCCCATCTATGAAAGGTGAGGATCTCGTTTAGGTTTCTAATGAGATTACTTCTGAATTGTTCAGGACTGTTGGATATCCTTTTCTTGTTATCAAGTGTTTATTTGCTTTGATGATCTCACTGCGTCTGAAAAAAAGTGTATTTTATTCTCAATATCATACAACAGGAAGGTGGTTTTAAGGTGAATACAGAATTTACTATATCAAAAGCCCGTCCGAGGAGAACATAGCTAAAATAGATCGCTCAAAATTCTCAACATCGGATTATATATATGCGATCATATTATCTCATAAGGAAGGAAAATCTGGAGGGATTAAACACACTGCCTGGTGAGTAATTATACTGTTTCCTTGAATTTTTGTTATCGCATTGAATACATTATGTATGTGTATAGATATTTGCGTAAAGGCCGATTTATGTCAATGATGAAGGATTTTTTTCAAGCGGGAATGTATGCACACCTGTGGTGTTGCAAGTAGTACATTTCAAAAACGTTTGTTTTGAAGACATATTAAATGATATGAATATAATTCAAGGAATTCCCTAAATGCTGTGAGCACCGAAATCGGTAGCCTAGTACTAGTAGAGCCGGGTTAATATTGGAGCGCTTTGAGCATCTATAATCATAATTATAGTGGGATGCAGCCCCTATCCCTTCCTACCATCGCCTAGTCCGCCGGATTTTATATCCATGAAACATGAGATGTGATAAGTATTGCTGGTTAACAAGCTAGGTGTGACAGTGTTATTAAAAGTATGACAGCCTCGACTACATGCACACTTTATTATCCATGAACGCAGATTTATTTTGCAGTGAGCCTCACAAGCAGAAATCAATTCCTAAGATAAAGATTTTAAAGGCAAAACGTTGCAAGTCTCTGGAAGTTTCTTTTTAATTATTATGATGAGTGAATTTCTACGAAAGAATCACAATATCAGCGCGGAGACTGTTTTTCATCTTCACAAACCTTAAAGGGAAATCCAACCCCAATAGACAACTACTCTAAAACGAAGGCAGAAAAATCAGAGAAGCAAACTGATGAAAGTTCAATTGAATCTGACTAAATATAAGAAAGTAATGCATTTTGGGCAGTTGTAATCAATATAAGTATGGGCACTTCAAATTGGCTGAAGCGGCAATGTCAATGTGATGTAGTGCCGGACTGCTTTCCCTTCTGTTCCAACAATGACTAAATTTTTAATTTTACAAAAATTAATGGCTCAGGAGGGTCTATTCTCTTTAGAATAACAATGATGATATGTTATTTATAATATATTTTGATTAATGCCCCTAGGGAGAAGGAACTTACGAGAAAAACAGAAGTTAATGATATTTTTGTACACAGGAAATGGGAGAGTTATCCGCGTCCTACGTCACGATTCACTAACCAAACTACCAATTTCAGATTCGCATAGACTTATTAATCTCATATTTCAAACATTCATAACTTCCTTATTGCAATTCTGTTTCTGCTATTTTTTTCTTTCATACAAATCAACTTATTAGAAGGGTTGGATTGCCCTTTAAGAACTCGAAAGAAGATTTTATGATAATCAAGATATACAATTATTTATAAGAGTAACGTGTAGTTTTCGCATCTGCTTCTGTTTAAAACATTGGAAATTCTCAAGTGCTCTGAGGTGTAGCCCCCAATGGGACCATTCAATAAAATGATGCTAGCATCTTCGATCGTTTACCACGGAATTCACCACAAAAACCACGACGTTTAGTCGCACACAACACGTGAACAGAAAGAGAGGGCATATGGCATAATGATTGAGACAAACGAAAAAAGATCAGAGAGATACATTCATTCACCACCCAATAACGCTTGTTGTTGAACGCTTGCTATTGGAATTGAACTTGGTAAACCATCTTCGGATTTATACAAAAACTGACATAAAATATCACATCCAATAAGAAGCCTAAATGGTGTATAAAAGAGCAGTGGCGGGTCTGGGTTGAAATGGGATAATGTGCCCCCCCCCCCCCCACCTTTTAGAATTCAATTTCGAATATGTTAAACACTTTTAAACAGATGTACAGGCAAAGAAAAATTGTGCGACGTCCCGCATAACATATTTGAAGAAAATAGAAACCTGAGAATGTGAAATTCGTTTTCCTTTGACTTGTGCCCTTCTCCTCCCCTGCAATTTAACTTTAGATTCTCCTTTTGAATATTATGTTCATCGATATTAAATCTCGCTCGAAATTCGCTTTTGATTCCTCTACCTTCTCAAAGAGACATGATACGTACTCCCAAAATGATAATTAAAGGGATGCCTATCTTGTATCATGATAGAAAATTAAAAAACATTAACACTTATATTGCTTCATTCGCCTCTCTGCACAGTCGCACGTTTGCCTCACGTACATTTGTGTATAAAACAATAGACACCAATTGAGGGAATGAATTGCTTTGTACAACACAAAGTCTTTTCAAAATTTTCATTTTCGGTCTTTATTAGCTGCATGACAACTCATTGAACACCACTATGGATTAACCTAGCGCTGGAAATATGTAAATGATCTTGAAGCCTTTGGTATATATCTTTTCC